CAGGATTTTATCTGGAGAGAGAGGGGAGAAAGAAGTCAAAGCATAGGGTAGGGCAGTGTGAGTAGGACCAGCAGTGTTATTAGACTTAACAAACGAGGATCGGATGTCGTCAACCTTCTTTTCAAAGTGGGGGGAGGATTCAGGAGGGAGGAAAATGTGGCAAAGAGCTTCCTAGGGTTAGAGGCAGATGCTTGGAATTTAGAGTGGTAGAAAGTGGCCTTAGCAGCAGAAACAGATGAAGAAAATGTAGAGAGGAGGGAGTGAAAAGATGCCAGGTCGGCAGGGAGTTTAGTTTTCTTCCATTTCCGCTCCGCTGCCCGGAGCTCTGTTCTGTGAGCTCGCAATGAGTCATCAGGGGAGCTGGAGGGGAGGACCGAGCCGGCCGGGAGGATAGGGGACACAGAGAGTCAAAGGATGCAGAAAGGGAGGAGAGGAGGGTTGAGGAGGCAGAATCAGGAGATTGGAGGGAGAAGGATTGAGCAGAGGGAAGAGATGAAGAGATGATAGGATGGAAGAGGAGAGAGTAGTGGGAGAGAGAGAGCGAAGGTTGCGGCGGCGCATTACCATCTGTGTAGGGGCAGAGTGAGTAGTGTTGGAGGAGAGCGAGAGAGAAAAGGAAACAAAGTAGTGGTCGGAGACATGGAGGGGAGTTGCAGTGAGATTAGTAGAAGAGCAGCATCTAGTAAAGATGAGGTCAAGCGTATTGCCTGCCTTGTGAGTAGGGGGGGACGGTGAGAGGGTGAGGTCAAAAGAGGAGAGGAGTGGAAAGAAGGAGGCAGAGAGAAATGAGTCAAATGTGGACGTAGGGAGGTTGAAATCCACCAAAACTGTGAGGGGTGAGCCATCCTCAGGAAAGGAACTTATCAAGGCGTCAAGCTCATTGATGAACTCTCCAAGGGAACCTGGAGGGCGATAGATGACAAGGATATTAAGCTTAAATGGGCTAGTGACTGTGACAGCATGGAATTCAAATGAGGAGATAGACAGATGGGTTAGGGGAAAAATTGAGAATGTCCACTTGGGAGAGATGAGGATTCCTGTGCCACCACCCCTCTGACCAGATGCTCTCGGGGTATGCGAGAACACATGGTCAGACGAGGAGAGAGCAGTAGGAGTAGCAGTGTTTTCAGTGGTAATCCATGTTTCCGTCAGCGCCAGGAAGTCGAGGGACTGGAGGTTAGCATAGGCTGGGATGAAGTCAGCTTTGTTGGCAGCAGAACGGCAGTTCCAGAGGCTGCCTGAGACCTGGAACTCCAGGTGTGGGGTGCGTGCAGGGACCACCAGGTTAGAGAGACAGCAGCCACGCGGTGTGAGGCGTTTGTGTAGCCTGTGCAGAGAGGAGAGAACAGGGATAGGCAGAGGCATAGTTGACAGGCTGTAGCAAATGGCTACAATAATGCAGAGGAGATCGGAATGAAATGAACTAAACATCTGGGAGAGGAGAGAGCAGGGCCTCCCTCACCAAAACTTCCACCTCAGAAACTAAAATTGTTTCACTGAACCACCCGAACAAAAACTCTCCCAACTTCCACCTTTAGAAATCAGAATTGTTGTGAACCACAGCGGTTCAATGTTTCAAGGAATGGACTCAACCCACTTTATTCAGCTAGCTAACTATGACACCATAGCTAACTAGCATGCTAGCATCCAATAACACACAGTTTAGCACCAATACTTGGTTACAACAAACCACCAATAGTGTGTTAACACACTAAACAGATAATTTGTGTCCGTGTCTAGTTCCTTTCATAACGCAGCAATAATTAAACGTTGGCTAGCTAGCACAAATATATTGTATTTAGCTGCCACAGTACAGCACACAATGGCTACTGTGTTGACTCTGTTCGGAAAAAATAAATAAATAAATAAATGCTAGCTAGCTAGCTTCGTGCTACACCCGGCACCGTCGAAAACAACATGTATGCACTCACTAAACTGTAAGTCACTCTGGATAAGAGCGTCTGCTAAATGACTAAAATGTAAAATGTACACCTGTTGTATTCTGCGCATGTTACAATTTGATTTGATTTGAACTACCACTATGCTTGAAAATATGGAGAGTGGTACTCAGTAATGTATTGGATTTGACCCAAACATAACACTTTGTATTCAGGACAATAAGTTAATTGCTTTGCCACATTTTTTGCAGTATTACTTTAGTGCCTTGTTGCAAAATGGATGCATGTTTTGGAATATTTGTATTCTGTACAGGCTTCCTTCTTTTCACTCTTTCATTTAGGTTAGTATTGTGGAGTAACGATAATGGTGTTGATCAATCCTCAGTTTTCTAATATCACAGCCATTAAACTCTGTAACTGTTTTAAAGTCACCATTGTCTTCATGGTGAAGTCCCTGAGCGGTTTCCTTCCTCTCCGGCCACTGTATCTTTGTAGTGACTGAGTACATTGATACACCATCCAAAGTGTAATTAATAACTTCACCATGCTCAAAGAGATATTCAATGTCTTTTTGTTTTTGTTTTTACCCATCTACCAATAGGTGCCCTTCTTTGCGAGGCATTGGAAAACCTCCCTGGTCTTTGTGGTTGAATCTGTGTTTGAAATTCACTGCTCGACTGAGGGACCTTAGAGATAATTGTATGTGTGGGGTACAGAGAGTCATTCAAAAATCATGTTAAACACTATTATTGCACACAGAGTGAATCCATGCAACATATTATGTGACTTGTTAAGCACATTTTTACTACTGAACTTATTTAGGCTTGCCATAACAAAGGGGTTGAATACTTATTGACGCAAGAAATTTCAGCTTTTCATTTTTAATTAATTTGTCAAAATGTCTAAAAACATAATTCCACTTTGACATTATGGGGTATTGTGTGTCGGTCAGTGACAAATAATCTAAATAGAATCCATTTTAAATTCAGGCTGTAACACAACAAAATGTGGAAAAAGTATGGGGGTCTGAATACTTTCTGAAAGCACTGTAATACAGTATAATACTTAAACACTATTTACCATAAAGAAAAGTAGCATAAATGGCTTTTACACACTCCACTACTATATTACTCCTGCCTGGCTCTCTGTGCACAATCTCATCAGCCGTTGGGCTCCCAGCCTCAGTACACTCTCCTGGGGCTCTGCCGTGTGAATCAGCCTCTGCCCATACTGTCTTATCAGTCCCTCCACTCAGACCGCTAAGTTTGTGATTAACATGAACATGGAGGTGCTTAGGAAGACGACTGAGGCCTCAACTAGGTAGATTGGAATGTGTGTGTATGAGGAATGTGTTGTTGTGTGTGTGTGTGTGTGTGTGTGTGTGTGTGTGTGTGTGTGTGTGTGTGTGTGTGTGTGTGTGTGAGTGAGTGAGTGAGTAGGTGAGTGAAACAGAGGACATACAGAGGCTGTCAGAGGGTAGATGGGGTGTGTAGAAATGTAATGCATAGAACCAGAAATACCTCCAGTAGTTTCACCAGCTAAAGGAGACAAAACTAAGAGCCAGAAAGAAAGAACTCATGCAGGTAGACCTGGAAGACATGTTTTACACAACCTGACTGAACCACGTTCTCATCAAAGATACATTTAACACAGCATCTCCGCTTTAAATAGAGTATTCCCTTTGCCAGGATGTGAGCAAATTGTTAGGCATGTGATGAGCTCCTAAAGTCATATGTCTGGATCAGGACTCAGGAGAGGGAACAACATCAGAGACAGAAGAACATGCTTTAAAACCCTCTGTTAATAATGCATAATCCATACTGAACAACAATATAAACACAACATGCAACAATTTCAACGATTTTACTGAGTTACAGTTCATATAATGAAATCAGTCAATTTAAATAAATAAATTAGGCCCTAATCTATGGATTTCACATGACTGAGCAGGGGCGCAGCCATTGGTGGGCCTGAGGAGTTGTTGGGAGCCAGGCCCACCCACGGGGTAGCCAGGCCCAGCAAATCAGAAAGAGTTTTTCCCCACAAAAGAGCTTTATTACAGACAGAAATACTCCCCCAACTCCCCCGCCCCCACCGGTTGGACGTACTGCCAAATTCTCTAATACAACGCTGGAGGTGGCTTATGGTAGAGAAATTAACATTAAATTATCTGGAAACAGCTCTGGTGGACATTCCTGCAGTCAGCATACCAATTGTACGCTCCCTCAAAACTTGATAAATATGTGGCATTGTGTTGTGTGACAAAACAGCACATTTTAGAGTGGCCTTTTATTATCCCCAGCACAAGGTGCACCTGTGTAATGATCATGCTGTTTAATCAGCTTATTGATATGCCACACCTGTCAGGTGGATGGATTATCTTTGCAAATAAAAAATGCTCACTAACAGGGATGTAAACAAATGTGTGCACAAAATATGAAATAAATAAGCTTTTTGTCCATATGGAAAATTTCTGAGATCATTTATTTCAGCTCATGAAACACTTTACATGTTGCGTTTATATTTTTGTTCAGTAGACTAGGGTCTGTATTGATGAAGCTCTCTCATGCACAGGAAATAAGTTCATTCCACACCGCGACTTATAGTTTCATGAATAAAGAGCGTAACCCAAATGGCAGGCTGTCAGAGTGGAGATATTCAGGGAGAAAGATGCTCCTTGTTTTGGTGGAAACTGAACATCCAAAGACCAGCTTTTTAGCCCACATGAGATCAATTACGATTTGGTTTTATAAGCTTTTCATGAATTCAAAACAGTTAGATCAGCAGAATTCTAACATTACCACACATGTGGGATGTCTCTCAACATTGGCACTGAAGCTGATTTTCTAGTTAAATAACTATTCAGTATAGGTCTTGACATGGCTACTTACCAGGGCAAAAACATGCATTCGAGGGGCCCAGACAGTGTATCAAATGACCATTATTTGTATTTACCAAACGTATTATTGTATTATTATTATTAGATTATTAGCAATATTAGTCTGAGATGTGAAGATAGCCTACCCTGTCTATTCTACATTAGGAGAAAGAGGTTGCAGTTCATTTTTTTTATTTCATAATCAGCTGAGATCAGATGTAAAGCGCGACATTTCACTGCAGTTCACATTTCCTTCCAGTAGGGTGCCGAATATCCATCTTTTTGAGACTGGGTACCATAGAAACGATTACAACAACAAACCATGTAGTGAGTGATGTTGCCACTTGCCACTTTTTCCAGACTTGGGTTATGTGTAGAAGCGAAGTAATAAGCCTAGCTAGCTAGCTAGCTAAGAAAAAAAATGAGTCAAGCCGGTAACCTACGTGAGGAGACGGAGGAGGCTGGACCTTCCGTGGACTCTGAAAATCCAGAGGAGAGAATTGCAGCCCGTCGCCTCCGGATAGCTGCACGAAATGAAGCCAAGAAAAGGTAGCTAGCTAGCTTCTGTTTGAGCTAGCACCTGTTAGCCACCTGTTAATGTTGATATAAGCAGCCGGAAACGTTTAGCTTAGCTGTTTAGCTATTGCAGGTGAGGTGTACTCTGTCCTCTGCAACTTTAGTGTTAGCTAAAATTAGCTATAAAGTATATGCCAACATAAAATGTGCTTTTCCCATCTGTCATTCAGACAAGAACTGGGAGATAACTCCCATGAAAAGAAAGAAATCAAAGAGGAGACAAGGAAAAGCCAGCATCAAGTGGAACAGAGTGAGAAGGTAACGTTAACGTTAGGCCTATGTTATTGTTAGCATTATAAATTAATTTGAAGCAATGAAACATAACGCCACACACACACTACATGTCTCTTTCTCCCCAGCGTATGATAAAGCTGCAGAGTGATGGGACAGAGCTGGTCACCAACATCCAGGTAGCAGCCGATTCTAGGGAGTCCCAGCGCCGAGCAGAGCTGGAGGAGGCCCACAGACACAGGTACCATACCCAGGATCAGTGACTGTGCCCCACAGCAGTTGTAGTACAAGTTCTCCCTCTGCTGGCCATGAACTGTAAATGCGTGCCGGTATCTCATTATGACAAAAAGCAGGTCAAATTGATACGACCTCCTCACAGCACCGCTCAACAAACAAACTGTTTTACGAATAATTGAAACGTTGTTGACTATCCACCAGACATTCATGTGCTCAAAACCTCCTCTTCTCTCCGACCTCCCTCTATCTATCTATCTAACTCTCTCCCCTCCCACCCCTTCCCCTGAGCAGGGTGGAGAAGCTGGAGAATGAGGCCAAGTCGAGCCTGGAGAAGTTTGAGGAGATCACCAGGAAGTGGACGGTGGCCAAGATGAAGGAGATCCCCCAGGACCTGAGAGACTCTCTGAACAGCCAGCAGCAGCTGTGTGCCCTGCTCATAGAGGACAAGAACAAACTCATCCACGAGCTGCAGCAGGTAGTGTGTGTGTGTGCTTGTGTGTATTAATTTGTTTTGTCTGTATGTATAATGTGTGTGTGTGTGTGTGTGTCTGTAGGAGATTAAGTTAAGTGACGACCGCTACGTCAAAGATCTAAAGAAGCAGGCAGAGGATGTGGACCTGATGATTGAGAGGATGGAGGACCAGGTCAAGTTTCTGATGGGCTCCTATAGGGATGAACTGGACCAGATAGAGGTAGGAAACATTCAGATTCAGTGTTTAATACTCACATGGACAGGGTTGCATGTGTGATTGTAGGGTACAGTGAAAATCTTAGGCTCCGAGCTCCAACATGTGAAATAAAATAATGAAAATGGTAATAAAAACAACAACAATAGAAATAGAAATAGCACTATATACATCATGACTGTAGCAGTGATGAATTAATAAATGTCCATTGTGGTGGAGGCAGAGTAAAGACCGTTTAGGGGGTGGGGGGGAATGACCATTGGGGGAGCAGCAGCATGACCATTGAGCGGGTGTGGGGACCAAGTGAAATAAAAACAATACAAATTATATATAAAAAATATATATATAATATACATATTAAATAAAAAATAAAAAAAATAAAATGTATTTGCCACATGCGCCGAATACAGCAGGTGTAGACATTACAGTGAAATGCTTACTTACAAGCCCTTAACCAACAATGCAGTTTTTTAAAGAAAAATTTGGAATAAAAAAGTGTTAATTAAAGAAAAATAGAAAATAAAAGCAAATAGCTAAAGCGCAGAAGTAAAATAAAATAACAGTAGGGAGCTATATACAGGGGGGTACCGGTACAGAGTCAATGTGCAGGGGCACTGGCTAGTCGAGGTAATTGAGGTCATATGTACATGTGGGTAGAGTTAAAGTGACTATGCATAAATAGTAAACAGAGTAGCAGCAGTGTAAAAGAGGGGGGTGGGGTGGGGTGGGGGGGGGCAGTGCAAATAGTCCGGATAGCCATGATTAGCTGTTCAGGAGTCTTATGGCTTGGGGGTAGAAGCTGTTGAGAAGCCTTTTGGACCTAGACTTGGCGCTCTGGTACCGCTTGCCGTGCGGTAGCAGAGAGAACAGTCAATGACTATTAACAACTGCAACAGTGATGAATGTCGTTGGGGTGGGGGCAGAGTAAAAGTCATTTGAGGGTGTGGGGGAAAATGTCCATAGGGGGAGCAGCAGGTACGGTAAGTGACCATTGAGGGGGTGTGGGGGGAAATGGCCATAGGGGGAGTAGCGGGGAGGTAATATTCATAAGAGGAGTAGCAGGGGGGAGCAGATAGCTGACTAGTGGTGGCTATTCAGCAGCTTGATGGTCTGAGGGTAGAAACCTTTGGCCAGTCATCCAGTTTTTGCCATGATGCTCCTGTACTACATGCGTCTGAGTGATTGAAGCGGGGAAAACAGGGCATGGCTTGGGTGGCTAGGGTCCCTGATGATCTTCTTGGCCTTCCTGGTGTTGTAGGTGTCCTGTAGGGCAGGCAGTGTGCACCCAATTTTGCGTTTTGCTGCACGTATCACCCTCTGAAGCGCCTTGTGGTCTGCGGCGGTGGAGTTGCCGTACCAGGCTGTGATGCAGCCCGACAGTATGCTCTCGATGGTGCTCCTGTAGAACATCCTGAAGAGTTGTTGTTGTGCCTTCTTCACCACGGTGTCTGTGTGGTTAGACCATTTCAGCTTCTCTGAGATGTGTACGCAGAGGAATTTGAAGTTATTGACCGTCTCCACGGCAGCCCCGTTGTCCAGCCTGGTTCCTCCTGAAGTCCTCAATCAGCACCTTTGTTTTGCTAACGTTAAAGGAGAGGTTGTTTGCCTGGCACCACGCCGTCAGAGTGCCTGCCTCTTCCCTGTAGGGTGTCTCGTCATTGTTGGTAATCAGGCCTACTACTGTTGTGTCGTCAGCGAACATGATGATGGAGTTGAAACTATGTGAGGCCACGCAGTCGTGGGTATACATGGAATACAGGAGGGGACTGACGATGCACCCTTGTGGTTGTTGACATGTTCATTGATCTGTTTGTTGATGGTTGTTGACCTGTTCCTGTTTTGTGCAGAAGTCCTTTGAGCATGAGCGGAAGATCTTGCTAACGGGGAACAGGACAAAATGGGAACAGCACATGAAGGAGCGCCGAGACAAAGAGGTAAATAGGATTCTAATAAACAGACATCTCTACAGACGGTATACCTTTCTTTCTCTCTTCTCTCACTGAAAATGAACTTGAGCTGTTTGTGTCTCTCTCCATCTATCTCAATACTATATCCCCTCCTTCCTCCTTTCTCCCTCTCTCTCTCTAGCTGGAGAACGTGATGCAGAGGATGAAGAGGGTGGAGGAGTATGAAGTGTTGCTGCAGCAGCTGAGGACAGAGGATGCCGAGGAGTACAATATGATCAAGATCAAACTGGACACAGATGTTCAGGTAGACAGAAAAAGTGGCAAAAGTTTGCAGGTGTGTTAGGGACTGTTTTCAAATGAGCTGTGGTGTGTGTGTGTGTGGGTAGATTCTGGAGCAGCAGCTGCAGCAGATGAAGGCTACGTACCAGCTGAACCAGGAGAAGCTGGAGTACAACTTCCAGGTGCTAAAGAAGAGAGACGAAGAGAACACCATCACCAAGTCCCAGCAGAAGAGAAAGATCACCAGGTAGCTACATCTACAATGCATTCGGAAAGTATTCAGAGCCCTTCACCTTTTCCACATTTTGTTACGTTACAGCCTTTTTTCCCCCTCATCAATCTACACACAATATCCCATAATGACAAAGCAAAAACAGGTGTTTTAGAAATGTTTGCAAATTTGTTAAAAATAAAAAAGGAAATATCACATTTACATAAGTGTCACATCTCCTCCCGTTGCGTCCCTCCGGCACTCTGATTCACCGGTCTACTGAGCCACCGGTCTGAGCGCACCACCTCGGCAACACCGGAATGGAAACCCAACGCACCCTAATCACCTCCAGCGCACCTGCACCTCGTCATCTCGTCACCACCCCTATATAGCCCTGGAATGTTCAGTTTTGTGTTGTGTGTGATTGTTAGTGTCATGTCGTGTACTCGCGCTTTGTTGTTCTCTTGCTCAGTGTTAAGTAAACCTTTACACTGTTGATTCCTGCATTTGCGTCCTGCCTCTTCGTATCCTCAGTACGTGTCACAGAATCACACACCTATCACGAAGATGGATGCAGCAGGTAATCCTCCTGGAGTTTCCCAGCACCAGCAGCAGATTGCCCAGCTGAACGCTGCCATGCAGGAAGTGCTACAAACGCTGCATAAACTGACTATCGCTCCGGTTCCACCTCAGGGAGCGGCGAATGCACCCAGTCCACCTCCTCCCGTGCTATCACCAACGTCTGAGGGACCCCTTGCGCTGCCGGAGCGCTATGACGGGAAAACGACAATATGTAGAGGCTTCCTGCTACAGGTTTCACTGTATCTGGCGCATCAGCGTGGGCCATCTCCATCGGACCAAGCCAGGATAGCACTGGTGATTTCGCGACTGAAGGGAAAGGCGCTGGATTGGGCCACGGCAGTCTGGGAAGGAGGTGAGGCCGCGGCGCTTCCCTACTCCACCTTCCTCGCTCGGTTCAGGGCGGTGTTCGATCATCCCATGGAGGGAAAGGACGGGGGTGAGCGTCTCCTCCGGCTACAACAGGGAGAGGAGGCCTCGTTCGAGCACGCCCTGAGCTTTCGCACAGTGACGTTGGGAGGACATCACGATGGAACTCGCATGTCGGGACGATGAGATGGACCTTGTTACCCTCATCGCCACGTCCATTCGTCTTGACGACATGTTGAGAGACCGATGGCGTTCCCAACACCACCCAGAGCCTCGACGCTCACCCCTCGACACTCGCCCTGCCTCCGAGTCCTCACCCATGGAGGTGGGCAGCACCCCCTACACCACCACTGACCACAGATCTCCTGGCGGCTCCCTATCTAGGCGGTATGACTCCCGTCGCCGCTCCGTGAGTGTTCCGTCATCACCTGTCACCAAACCATTGTTTTTAGGTCCCTTAACGGTGAATGGTTCTTCCTTCACTTACCACGGCAATGATAGATTCTGGATCAGCGGGGAACCTAATCGATAGGGAGTTGGTCTTTGAATGGGGGTTGCCCACCGTGCCACTGCCTTCTCCGTTACACGTCACCTCGCTGGTGATGGCCAGTCCCCACCACCATCAAGAGCCTACAGAGCTTCCTGGGCTTCGCAAATTTCTACCGGCGTTTCATCAGGTCCTTCAGCTCCATAGCCGCCCTGCTCACCTCTTTCCTTAAGGGTGAGCATCAGAAGCTGGCCTTGAACCCTGAGGCTGACGCTGCCTTCAAGAGGCTGAAGGAGAGGTTCACCACAGCAACCCTCCTAAAACACACAGATCCAGCTCGTCCTTTCATCCCGGTCGCGGCCGGCTACGACAGAGCCTGGATACGAACCAGGATCTCTAGTGGCACAGCTAGCACTGCGATGCAGTGCCTTAGACCACTGCGCCACTCGGGAGATCCGAAACACCTTAAGGATGATCAATGGAAACAGGATGCACCTGAGCTCAATTTCGAGTCTCATAGCAAAGGGTCTGGTATTTCTGTGTTTTATTTATTTGCAAACATTTCGAAAAATGTGTTTTCGCATTGTCATTATGGGGTATTGTGTGTAGATTGATGAGGAATTGTTTTTATTTAATCTATTTTAGAATAAGGCTGTGGAAAAAGTGAAGGGGTCTGAATACTTTCCGAATGCACTGTATAACACTATCACTATAGCAACATTATACCACCTGATTTACAAAGGACACGTTTTCTGCATCTTAGATGGACGCTGTTCCCTACAATGTGGCGCTGAACTTCTGAGTTCTGTCTCCATCTCTGTCTGCTTCTGTTGTGCTGAATCGCAAATCTCTGCTACTTTAGTACCGTTAGATCTTTTAAACCTGTTGACAAAAGTCAACAACAGACGTGCGTTCAAAAAGGCTGTAGTTTGGGGGAAACTGGTTAACTTGTAAATAACACATATGGAATCATGTAGTAACCAAAAAGTGTTAAACAAATATATATGTTATATTTGAGATTCTTCAAAGTAGCCACCCTTTGCCTTGATGACAGCTGTGCACACTCTTGGCATTCTCTCAACCAGCTTCACCTGGAATGCTTTTCCAACAGTCTTGAAAGAGTTCCCACATATGCTGAGCACTTGTTGGCTGCTTTTCCTTCACTGCGGTCCGACTCATCCCAAACCATCTCAATTTGGTTGCAGTCGGGGGATTGTGGAGGCCAGGTAATCTGATGCAGCACTCCATCACTCTCCTTCTTGGTAAAATAGCCCTTACACAGCCTGGAGGTGTGTTGGGTCATTGTCCTGTTGAAAAACAAATTATAGTCCCACTAAGCCCAAACCAGATGGGATGGCGTATCGCTGCAGAATGCTGTGGTAGCCATGCTGGTTAAGTGTGCCTTGAATTCTAAATAAATCACAGACAGTGTCACCAGCAAAGCACCCTGACACCATAACACCTCCTCCTCCATGCTTTACGGTGGGAAATACACATGCGAAGATCATCCGTTCACTCACACCGCGTCTCACAAATACATGGCGGTTGGAACCAAAAATCTCAAATTTGGACTCCAGACCAAAGGACACATTTCCACTGGTCTAATGTCAATTGCTTGTGTTTCTTGGCCCAAGCAAGTCTCTTCTTCTTATTGGTGTCCTTTAGTAGTGGTTTCTTTGCAGCAATTCGACCATGAAGGCCTTACTAACACAGTCTCCTCTGAACAGTTGATGTTGAGATGTGTCTGTTACTTGAACTCTGTGAAGCATTTATTTGGGCTGCAATTTCTGAGGCTGGTAACTCTAATTAACTTATCCTCTGCAGCAGAGGTAACTCTGGGTCTTCCATTCCTGTGGCGGTCCTCGTGAGAGCCAGTTTCATCATAGCGCTTGATGGTTTTTGCTACTGCACTTGAAGAAACTTTCAAAGTTCTTGAAATGTTCCGTATTGACTGACCTTTATGTCTTAAAGAAATGATAGACTGTCGTTTCTCTTTGCTTATTTGAGCTGTTCTTGCCATAATATGTACTTGGTCTTTTACCAAATAGGGCTATCTTCTGTATTCCCCCCCTACCTTGTCACAACACAACTGATTGGCTCAAACGCATTAAGAAGGAAAGAAATTCCCACAAATTAACTTTTAAGAAGGCACACCTGTTAATTGAAATGCATTCCAGGTGACTATCTCATGAAGCTGGTTGAGAGAATGCCAAGAGTGTGCAAAGCTGTCATCAAGGCAAAGGGTGGCTATTTGAAGAATCTGAAATATAAAATATATTTTGATTTGTTTAACACTTTTTTGGTTACTACATGATTCGATATGTGTTATTTTATAGTTTTGATGTCTTCACTATTATTCTACAATGTAGAAAATAGTAAAAATAAAGAATAACCCTTGATGAGTAGGTGTTCTAAAACTTTTGACCGGTAGTGTGTATATACAGTTGAAGTCGGAAGTTTACATACACTTAGGTCGGAGTCATTAAAACTCGTTTTTCAACCACTCCACAAATTTCTTGTTAACAAACTATCGTTTTGGCAAGTCGGTTAGGACATCTACTTTGTGCATGACACAAGTAATTTTTCCAACAATTGTTTACAGACAGATTATTTCACTTATAATCACAATTCCAGTGTGTCAGAAGTTTACATACACTAAGTTGACTGTGCCTTTAAACAGCTTGGAAAATTCCAGAAAATGATGTCATGGCTTTAGAAGCTTCTGATAGGCTAATTGACAACATTTGAGTCAATTTGAGGTGTACCTGTGGATGTATTTCAAGGCCTACCTTCACACTCAGTGCCTCTTTGCTTGACATCATGGAAAAATCCAAAGAAATCAGCCAAGACCTCAGAAAAAAATGTGTAGACCTCCAGAAGTCTGGTTCATCCTTCAGAGCAATTTCCAAATGCCTGAAGGTACCACGTTCATCTGTACAAATAATAGTACGCAAGTATAAACACCATGGGACCACGCAGCCGTCATACCGCTCAGGAAGGAGAAGTCTCCTAGAGATGATTGTACTTTGGTGCGAAAAGTGCAAATCAATCCCATAACAACAGCAAAGGACCTTGTGAAGATGCTGGAGGAAACAGGTACAAAAGTATCTATATCCACAGTAAAACGAGTCCTATATCGAAATAACCTGAAAGGCCGCTCAGCAAGAAAGAAGCCACTGCTCCAAAACCATCATAAAAAAGCCAGACTACGGTTTGCAACTGCACATGGGGACAAAAATCATACTTTTTTGAGAAATGTCCTCTGGTCTGATGAAACAAAAATAGAACTGTTTGGCCATAATGACCATCGTTATGTTTGGAGGAAAAAGGGGGTTGCTTGCAAGTGAAAAACACCATCCCAAACGTGAAGCACGGGGGTGGCAGCATCATGCTGTGGGGGTGCTTTGCTGCAGGAGGGACTGGTGCACTTCACAAAATAGATGGCATCATGAGGAAGGAAAATTATGTGGATATATTGAAGCAACATCTCAAGACATCAGTCAGGAAGTTAAAGCTTGGTTGCAAATGGGTCTTCCAAATGGACAATGACCCCAAGCATACTTCCAAAGTTGTGGAAAAATGGCTTAAGGACAACAAAGTCAAGGTATTGGAGTGGCCATCACAAAGCCCTGACCTCAATCCTATAGAAAATGTGTGGGCAGGACTGAAAAAGCATGTGCAATCAAGGAGGCCTACAAACCTGACTCCGTTACACCAGCTCTATCAGGAGGAATGTGCCAAAATTCACCCAACTTATTGTGGGAAGCTTGTGGAAGACTACCCGAAACGTTTGACCCAAGTTAAACAATTTAAAGGCAATGCTACCAAATACTAATTGAGTGTATGTAAACTTCTGACCCACTGGGAATGTGATGAAATAAATAAAAGCTTAAATAAATCCTTCTATCTACTATTATTCTGACATTTCACATTCTTAAAATAAAGTGGTGATCCTAACTGACCTAAGACAGGGAATTTTTACTAGGATTAAATGTCAGGAATTGTGAAAAACTGAGTTTAAATGTATTTGGCTAAGGTGTATGTAAACTTCCGACTTCAACTGTATCTGTGTAGCTCTGCTGTAGTTACTGTGACTTTTATCATCTAGACTGCAGGATGTTGTGAACAACCTGAAGATCAAGTGTGCCAACCAGGAGAAGCAGTCTCGGGAGGAGAACCAGAACCTCACTGATGACTACACACGCATCATGCAACAGTACAAACACATGCAGAAGAAGATGAGGTGAGTAACATACACACACACAGATACACACAAAGTTGCAAAGTGTCGCCGGAGAAGATGGCTGCTGTTTTACAGCCCTCTAACCAATTGTACTATTGTGTGTTTTTTCGCGTTATTTGTAATTTATTCTGTACATAATGTTTCTGCCACCATTTGTTATGACCAAAAAGAGCTTCTGGCAACTGCTCGGCCTCCGACCGCAAGGCACTACAGAGGGTAGTGCGTACGGCCCAGTACATCACTGGGGCCAAGCTTCCTGCCATCCAGGACCTCTATACCAGGCGGTGTTAGAGGAAGGCCCTCAGCCAACCTAGTCATAGACTGTTCTCTCTGCTACCGCACGGCAAGCGGTACCGGAGCGCCAAGTCTAGGTCCAAAAGGCTTCTCAACAGCTTCTACCCCCAAGCCATAAGACTCCTGAACAGCTAATGATGACTACCCGGACTACCCCCATCCCCACCCCATCCCCCTCTTTTACGCTGCTGCTACTCTGTTTATTATTTATGCATAGTCACTTTAACTCTACCCACATGTACATATTACCTCAATTACCTACATATTACCTCAATTACCTTGACTAGCCGGTGCCCCTGCACATTGACTCTGTACCGGTACCCCCCTGTATATAGCCTCCCTACTGTTATTTTATTTTACTGCTGCTCTTTAGTTATTTGCTTGTATTTTTTTTACTTAACACTTTTTCAATTTGACATTGTTGGTTAAGGGCTGTAAGTAAGCATTTCACTGTAATGTCTATAAAATTTGATTTGATTTGAGACACACACACACACACACACACACACACAAATACAGACAGACAGAGAGAGACACACACACACACAGAATGTAATTGTCAGTCTTTGCATTTTCATATCTCTCCCTGTCTAGTGCTATAACCTAGGGATGGTCAAAACTGCAATATAACTGCACCAAGCAGACCAACAAATGTCACGTCAAGAGCAATGTCTCAAGCACTTGAGGAGACTTCGACACAATTCTTAATTGCTTTGTTGCTTCAGAAAGCCTTGTTTTACCCATCCCTCCTAATAACGCTACACTTCTTCCCCTCTTTCCATTCAGGCACTTTGCGACCATCGATGCCAAGAAGTTTGAGGAGGTGTGGCTGATGAACGAGGAGGAGGTCAAGGCGCTGGTGGAGAAGGCCCTGGACACGGACCGGCTGGTCCACGAGCAGCAGCTGGGCCTAGCCTGGCAGCGCCCACCGCTGGCCTTCATGGAGCGCTGCGGACCCCTCCAGCCCCAGAGACAGGCCCAGAAGACTGCGCACCAGGCCATCTCCGAGCTGCTCCGGCTTGGATGTAGCCTGGGGAAGGGGAAGTACCAGGAGGCCGGGGTTGGGCCTGAAGCCGGGGTTGGGCCTGAAGCCGGGGTTGGGCCTGACGCCGGGGTTGGGCCTGATGCCGGGGTTGGGCCTGGGGCAGAGAGCCCTGGGTTGGCTGTGGAGGTGTATGAATCAGGAGCAGGGCTGGAGAGTGGGAGCAGTGAGGTGGAGAGGGAAGGGAGTGGGGGGGAGCACAGTGGGACGGTGTCGGTGAAGACGGTCAAGAAGCTCCTGGAGCTGCTGTGTGACGAGGCGGTGAGCGGGCTGAGTTTTCAGCTTGTGTGTCTGTATGAAAGAGGGATAGAGAGAGGAAGAGGAACTGTGTTATCTACCTAAACTAGTTCAACATTTAGCCTTTACAGTTTCTCTGTCTCTCTCTCCTTCCCTCCTTCTCCCTCCACAGGGTTTTCTGATAGAGAGTAAACTCCTGAAGCTCCTCTCTCCACTGGAGAAGGATGAACAGTCCCTCATGAAGCTGGATTCCATCTTCACTGTGAGTTACACTGTAACGGCTATATGTATGTTATGTCACCTGTAACTATACATTTACTGTCACATAAACACAAGACAGTAGTGATAGAGGAGCTGTATCAGTGTTGTCTCCGCTCTCTGTTCTTCTCTGCCAGGCCATGGGGATTGAGAGCGAGGAGGACGTGTACAAGCTGGCTGATTTCTTCATGAAGTACAGACAGACACAAGGGGAGCAGGCCCAGGTAAGGAGGGAGGGAAGAAGGCTGGTGTTAGTAGCCATGGTTACCAGCTCCACACTGACATCTTGTAAGAATCCTCTCTTTCTTTTCTTGTTTTCTGTATTCAGGATGTGTCTGCGAAAGAGGGCGTGGCCAGTCCTCAGGCGGAGGGAGGGGAGCATACCTCCTCCTGTAGCCCGACCTCTGACCTCATCCACCCCAATGATGTCCTGGTCGCCCTGAGGGCCTACACTGCCCACCACTGCCGGCCCAGGTCAGCACTGGGGCTCTCTGTTTCAATACCCACATTTGCATACCACTTAGAATGAAGCAATGTATTGGGCATGCATTTCTAAGTGGCTTGCCAATGTATTAAGCAATAAGGCCCAAAGGGGTGTGGTATATGGTCAATATAACACAGCTAAGGGCTGTTCTTTAGCACGATGCAACGCAGAGGTATATTGGCCATAAACCACAAACCCCGGAGGTGCCTTATTGGTATTATAAACAGGTTACTAACGTAATTAGAACAGTAAACAAGTTGTTTTGCGTCGTGGTATATTTAAGCAATAAGACACATCAGGGGTTTGTGGTATATGGCCAATATACAACGGCTAAGGGCTGTTCTTATGCACGACGCAACGCAGAATACCTGGATACAGCCCTTAGCCGTGGTATATTGGCCATATACCACCCCCTCGGACCTTATTGCTTAATTAAATGGTGACACATATAATGGACTCAGTACAGTGAACTTAAATATGTGTAGAAACTACCATACAAATGTTATATGGGGAAGCGTAACATTACAAAACTATTCCCCCAGAGAGGTGGCTGCCCCTCACCAGCCCAGTATGCTGGGTCTAGGAGGGAGAGATGACTCTGAAGACGCAGCCTACTGGGAGGCCATGGCTGACGTCATCCCTGAGGCCAAACTCAAGATCTGGGGCGCCCTGGAGACAGCACTTGACAAGTACCAGTGAGTACCACACACACACCCACACATAATGACAAGATAGTATCTGCCTTATAAATGCATTCAATCCTGGCCTCTAATTGAGTTATAAAACAGGTGATATAAAGAGTGGTGACTGATTGAGCATCGTTTTGATAGATTATTTGAATCTGTTTGTTCCTAGCATTGTTCTGACAGAGAGGTCCCAGTTCATCACAGACACACAGAGCCTGAAACAACAGAACACAGAGCTACGGATGCTGCTTCACCAATACGTCAACTCCAGGGTATGTGTGTGTGTGTGTGTGTGTGTGTGTGTGTGTGCCTGTGAATGCATCTAGAGGGTTTGTGTCCAGAATGTGTGTGCTAATTTAATGAGAGACGTCTACTGACCTATCTACATTCTTCTCATAGGTCAATGCTGAGCTGGAGATCCCACCCACCCTGGTGATGCAGTTGGCTCCTGAGTGAACAAGCTGACCAATGAGGAAGAGCACACACAAACCCACAGTGCAGTGGAAATGCTTCAATATTTTATGATGAAAATAAAGCACTTCATCAACATACAGTATGAGAGTTGATGTTTAACACTTTTAATAGAAAATATAAAGTACATAATGGGAGTATTAAGATTATACCAACACTATGTGATAATAGTGCAATGCATTAGAGCTTGTACAAAGTGCCTTTCGAATACCATAAATGTATAAGATAGCGCAAATACATTCAGGGATCAGCCACATTGAGAGAGAGAAATGAGAGAGTTTGCATGTGTGTGGTTGATAAGTGTGTTCAGCCAGCGATGTTGAAGATCTTGTTGCTGAGGGCAGAGGGCATGGAGAAGAAGAGCAGGCCCAGGAACAGTAGACCCAGGACAGCCCCCAGCAGCAGAACACAGTGCAGCTTATACTGCCTCCAGGCCAGGATACACACCACACGTACTGGGCTCAGCAACCACGACAGACTGGTGTTGGGACGACTGCAGGAAGAGATAGAGATGTTACACACACACAAAACTGAAATGCACACGCACGGACACACAAACACTACCCATAACGAGTCATATCGATACTAATGCAACCTCTGGCATTCATTCAAACACAAAGAACACACACTGTATGACACATTGTAACCAGATACAAAACCACATTCTTTGTCAAAATGGGTATTTCAATTAATTCCATTTATTTTAAATAATTGTTAAAACAATGTTTATATTGCATACTCGTCAACAGGAGGATATAATACACCCTTTATCATACAAACAGGCGAGAGTTACTGCAAACATTAAAATATTTTTTTGTCGGTTTGTATTTTGTGAACATGAGATCACTAAAATGACTGCAACACAAATGATGTCATAACTACTGGTAGGTCAAGCAAGAGAAAACCAGAGAGAACTGCACACTGCAAACCATGTCATCTGATAGGCCGATAGGGCAAACCAAGCAATCTGATAGGCCGACAGGGCAGAGGTCAAGAGGCCAAGCCGCACTCCCTTTTACAGTACCGCTTATTTGCAATAAGGTGCACATAACCACTTCAGGTCCTGCATTGATTCAAACGTGTCAAGAACCAGACATAGATAAAAGGTTTAGAAACCGACTGTAAAGCTACAGTAGAAAGGAAGTCATGCCATATCTGATGACCATGTAAACTGAATCACTGTGAGATGTTAGAATACAGATGCATGCTTATATTTCTCTAAACCTACTGTACATTTTCTGGATAACAGTAACAACCAATAAGAGCGTTCCAGGTCACTGAAGAAAGCAGTGAAGAAACATAAAATGGTGGTGTTTGAGGACATCATTTAAGCCAAACAATAGCAAGTTTACCTCTCTAATTGATTCATATTCAAAAGCTATACTTGTATTCTTTGTTCCTCTTTAAATCTTGTTAAACTACAGTAGGTCCTAGGAAAATAGACATTTTTCAATATTTTCATCATTATTTTAGATGTGTGCAAGAGCTAAAGAGGAACACTATTAAACTGTTGGAAAACATTTTATTTTGTCCAGTTGAAGAGCTCACACAAACCCAATGATTCCCATTTCAAAACCGACATACAGTGCCTTCAGAAAGTATTCATACCCCTTGACTTATTCCACATTTTGTTGTGTTACAGATTGAATAAAACAATTATTAAATACTCGATAATGACAAAGTGAAAACATGTTTTTAGAAATTTTTGCACATTTATTGAAAATGAAATACAGAAACAATATATATAATTTACCTAGGTATTCACACCCCTGAGCCAATACTTTGTAGAAGCAACTTAGATAGCGATTACAGCTGTGAGTCTTTCTGGGGCTCTAAGAGCATTATTATTTTCAAAATTCTTCAAGCTCTGTCAAATTGGTTGTTGATCATTGCTAGACAACCATTTTCAGGTCTTGCCATAGATTTTCAAGTAGACTTAAGTCAAAACGGTGACTCGGCCACTCAGGAACCTTCACTGTCTTCTTGGTATGCAACTCCAGTGTAGATTTGGCCTTGTGTTTTAGGTTATTTTCCTGCAGAAAATAACCTAAAATAACCTGGTGGAAAGCAGACTGAACCAGGTTTTCCCTCTAGGATTTTGTCTGTGCTTAGCTCCATTACGTTTCTTTTTTATCCTGAAAAACTCCCCAGTCCTTATCGATTGCAATCATACCCATAACAAGGATTCTTTTTTATAACTAACCCAATATAGACCACAGCCTTTCATTTCCAATGGGAGCAAATTAATCATAGTGGGCAGAACAAGCAATGTTGGTAACCTTTTTACCCATCTACCAATAGGTTCCCTTCTTTGCGAGGCATTGGAAAAGCTCCCTGGTCTTTGTGGTTGAATCTGTGTTAGAAATGTTAAATTCAGGCTGTAGGACAACAACATGTTGAAAAAGTCAAGGGCACTGAAGGCACTGTATCATAGAAGTAATGGAAATAATTACAACATCACTTGAGAAATGTATGTCCATGCAAGACCAACAGTACCAATCAACTGACCGCTAACCATGTCCTTCCAAATAATTTAATATGTTTTTTAGGAGACCGGGAGCTCCGATCACCTTCCATATTTGTTATTATTTTATTGACAGTACAGAATAGGAGACAGGTAACGGAGAGGGATACAGAAAGGAAGGGCACAGACAATCCGCAGAGCTGGGGATCAAACACCCGTCGCCAGGGGGCATGTGTAGTCCGGAATCTGGAGCTTAGATCGCCACACCAGACTCCGGCACCTTCCAAATAATTTAAGTCATAAATAAACAAACACATACATAGATAAATAAATAAATAAACAATCTCTCAACTATAACGTCAGGGTATGCTGCATCGTTGATGATGAGATCAGGGTTGAGTAGTTTCATTGGTTAGTCAGTGGTCAGTGCAGGGATGAGGTTTCTGATTGGTTAGCGTCCTGATGTGAAGCATTTGATCGGTTAGGCCCACTGTGCTACTGTAGAGTAGATGGTCGTTCCTAGTTTTTAGAAGTCCAAGGGATAGGAAGTCATTGAGTATGTGTGTTGAGCAGCACTGCCATGGTTAGAGGGGTGGCGGAGCGGGGGAAAGGCTGGGATGCGGAGGGAGTGCTGTCAGCTTGTCTTCCCATCTATCCACCCTTCCCTCCCCTATTTTCTCCCTTACGCACCCAGCAGCACTGAGGCGAGTCTGTTTGGGGGGAGGGTACTGAGGGATAGACGGGGGGATGTTGTTTGAGGTTGTGAGTATAAACAGTAGAAAGTGGAAGTGCGTGGTACCCCACCCCTCCTCTGCGTCTCGACCACCCCCCAACCCACCCTGGTACCCATGCCTGCAGCCCCATCCAGCCCCCTCAAGCCCCCAGCAGCTTCTTGACCAGGTAGCCAGGCATGCTGTAGAGGAAGAGCCCCAGCATCATGAGCAGCAGCAGGGCCACAATGATCTTGATGATAAGCCACTTGTAGCGGTTACACACCAGGTAGCGGATAGCCTTCAGCGGGCTCAGGAACCACAGGAAGGTGGTGTCTGGCCGACTGGGGGGATGGGGGGGGGGTAAGGTTAGAGGGGTAGATAGCGGGGCATGGGATGGACGGGATGGGGGTTGAGGGTTAAAAGTGTGTAAAGGAGGGTATAAGGGAAGGGAGTGGGGAAAGATATGGGGTAGATAGGGGGCGGTTGTGGGAGAGGTAGAGGTGAGGGGACAGAAGGGTGAGTGGGATGAAGGGAGGGTAGTGGGTGGGGTGGGGAAATGGTGATAAGGGGGCCGAGGTGTGGGGTAAAGAGAGAAAAGAGGAGAACAAGCGTTAGTGGTATGACTAACTGATCACAATTTCTCCATACACTACTACACAAACAAACCTGTTTACAAAATAGCAACATTCTTTTTATTTTATACAGAACCAAAAGACCACTGCACAATTCGCAAGCACAGATATATTACTCAGACGATGGAGACACAGATATACAATGAGATGTTTGTTTGACATCTCACTTGAAAATAGCTACATATAATAGGTATTTCCCTGAAGCCTCCAGCGTAATGACAGTGTGATGCACAATGGAAGACTCAGGATTGATGCCAGACACTGGCAGGTTGAGCGACAAGAGACAGAGGACAGTATAGGGGACAAAGACAGAGAACAGTATAGGGGACAAAGACAGACAGTATAGGGGACAGAGACAGAGAACAGTATAGGGGACAAAGACAGAGGACAGTATAGGGGACAAAGACAGAGGACAGTATAGGGGACAAAGACAGAGGACAGTATAGGGGACAGAGACAGAGGACAGTATAGGGGACAGAGACAGAGGACAGTATAGGGGACAGAGACAGAGGACAGTATAGGAGCAGCAGCAGCAGCAGGCCCAGGGCCTTGAGGATCAGCCAGAGGTAGTTGTGCCAGATGAAGTAGCGGATGGACTTCAGAGGGTTCACAAACAACATGACACTAGTGTCCGGGCGACTTCAGAAGAAGGGGGAGGAGAGGAAGGGAGAGGTGGAGGGGATGTATATGGAAGGAAAGACAATGCAGGTTGGAGGGGAGGGAGAGAGGCAACACAGAGGAAGGAAGAAAAGAAACAGCGGGAGACAGGTGAAGGAATGACAGGAGAACAGATTGATAGTGTGAAGGTATAAGGGTGGCATTTTCACAGCGCAAAGAGGTGCTGTTGATAAAATAGGCCGTATGTCTTGTGTGCACCATATATACTCTGAATAAACTATCACTAGCTTCTGATGGATGCACAATGAGAGGTTTTGAAATCAATTAAATACGGTCTCTTGTAACACTAGCACAGTTTTTTTGCGTTGTGTGAATAGGACTCCTGAAGGAAGTGGATGAATATAGGAAAGTCTGACTCTGTGCCATTATTTTCTTTCCCAACTTGTATGTATCGTCTTGATGTGTGTGTGTGTGTATGTGTATACTGTAACTGTAAATATCTTACTTTGGTTTCTCCAGAGGGTCAGGCTCATTGCGTCCCAGACCAACAGGACTTTTCTCCGCTTCCTCTGCCGACATCAGATGAAGCTCCGCCTCCACTTTACCCTGAGAAGATGACACAATCAATCCAATCATCCAAAGTGTGTGCCGTGCGTGTGTGCGTGTGTGTTCGTGTCTGTGTGTGTAATCTCTAGTGGGAAGACTACGTAACATAAATGGTATCGTAACGTCTGTCAAAAGATTCTGGGATGCAACGACTAACGAGCAACAGTAGTTCCAGTGCCCAGGTTTTTAGTCACTGGTTATTTGGACGTAACAGGATTGGGTGAAGGTAGTGCTTAAAGTGATGGGGATTTCAAGCAATGATTTCAAGCGGGACGTTTTCAGAAGGGGGGGGGGGGGGGGTTGGCTGAGAGTTTTCTTGTTAGGGGGGTGGAGACTTCGCTAGTCGCGTTAGTATCATTCTCTCAACATCTTGACCCAGAACCTAAACAAGCATCTGATACAATTACGATATATTTTTATTCTGGGTTTCCAAGATTAGTCTCTCTCTTTTGCTCTCTCAATTCAATTCAATTCAATTCAATTCAATTTAATTTAAGGGCTTTATTGGAATGGGAAACATATGTAAATATAATAATTGGAAAATAAATAAATATAAATATGGGTTGTATTTACAATGGTGTTTCTTGTGGCAACAGGTCACAAATATTGCTGCTGTGATGGCACACTGTGGTATTTCACCCAGTAGATGTGGGAGTTTATCAAAATTGGGTTTGTTTTCGAATTCTTTGTGGATCTGTGTAATCTGAGGGAAATATGTGTCTCTAATACGGTCATACAACTGGCAGGAGGTTAGGAAGTGCAGCTCAGTTTCCACCTCATTTTGTGGGCAGTGTGCACATAGCCTGTCTTCTCTTGAGAGCCAGGTCTGCCTATGACGGCCTTTCTCAATAGCAAGGCTATGCTCACTGATGTGTGTGTGTACATAGTCAAAGCTTTCCTTAAGTTTGGGTCAGTCACAGTGGTCAGGTATTCTGCCACTGTGTATTCTCTGTTTAGGGCCAAATAGCATTCTAGTTTGCTCAGTTTTGTTGTTAATTCTTTCCAATGTGTCAAGTAATTCTCTTTTTGTTTTCTCATGATTCGGTTGGGTCTAAATGTGTTGTTGTATGTTTGTGTTTGTGAACAGAGCCCCAGGACCAGCTTGCTTAGGGGACTCTTCTCGAAGTTCATCTCTCTGTAGGTGATGGCTTTGTTATGGAAGGTTTGGGAATCGCTTCCTTTTAAGTGGTTATAGAATTTAACGGCTCTTTTCTGGATTTTGATAATTAACGGGTATCGGGCTAATTCTGCTCTGCATGTATTATTTGGTGTTTTTCGTTGTACACTGTGGATATTTTTGCAGAATTCAGCAAGCAGCGTCTCAATTTGGTGTTTGTCCCATTTTGTGAATTCTTGGTTGGTGAGCGGACCCCAGACCTCACAACCATAAAGGGCAATGGGTTCTATAACTGATTCAAGTATTTTTAGCCAGATCCTATGTTCCTTTTGATGGCATAGAAGGCCCTTCTTGCCTTGTCTCTCAGATCGTTCACAGCTTTGTGGAAGTTACCTGTGGCGCTGATGTTAACGCCGAGGTATGTATCGTTTTTTTTGTATACATTTACATACATTTTACATTTGTCATTTAGCAGACGCTCTTATCCAGAGCGACTTAACAGTTAGTGCATACATTTTCATACGAATCTCTTCAAATTGCACACTCTACATTCAATACAATATTCAGGGTTTCGCGAATGAGCTGCTTAGTTTGATACACCGACCACACGGTTAACCTGCCCTTCAGGGTCTGGAGAACATGTTGGGAGTAGGTCAGCAACCTGATTCTGCACCGCAACACGTCAAGAGAAAACACAGGATGGGCAGCCATTATGGTGGGAAGCCCCTCCACCTCTATGGAACCAGAGGGCTGTGTGTGATGGAGGAGTCTGGGCCGTAGGCTACAGGTCATGTGGTCTCAGACTGACCAACCAGACTGCAGCACACCTGAGGGATGGGGTGAGGGCAGTTCACATAGACTGACACCAGACTGCAGCACCCAACTCCTGAAGAGGTGGTGGCAGCCTCGGATATCATCGACTTCCTACAGCCGCCCTTGTAGACAGACCAAAAGCCTCATTTCAGAACAGACCAGCCTCAGTGCCATCAGAACCCCAAAGGTATCGGGTCATTTTATGACGGATGCATTGTATTTTCTGTACGGCTGCCAAAGACAAACTCGTTTTATAATGACAGCCATAACGTGGCCAACAGACAGTCTTGAATCAGATCACATTTGACTTCAGATTCTAGTAGGGTGAGGCCGGGTGCTGCAGACTGTTCTAGTGCCCTCGCCAATTCGTTGATATACAGCTCTGGAAAAAATTAAGAGACCACTGCAACATTATCAGTTTCTCTGGTTTTACTATTTATAGGTATGTGTTTGGGTAAAATTAACATTTTTTTAATTCTATAAACTACTGACAACATTTCTCCCAAATTCCAAATAAAAATATTGTCATTTAGAGCATTTATTTGCAGAAAATGACAACTGGTCAAAATAACAAAAAATATGTAGTGTTGTCAGACCTCGAATAATGCAAAGAAAATAAGTTCATGTTCATTTTTAAACAACACAATACTAATGTTTTAACTTAGGAAGAATTCAGAAATCAATATTTGGTGCAATAACCCTGATTTTCAATCACAGCTTTCATGTGTCTTGGCATGCTCTCCACCAGTCTTTCACATTGATGTTGGGTGACTTTATGCCACTCCTGGCGCATAAATTCAAGCAGCTCGGCTTTGTTTGATGGCTTGTGACCATCCATCTTCCTCTTGATCACATTCCAGAAGTTTTCAATGGGGTTCAGGTCTGGAGATTGGGCTGGCCATGACAGGGTCTTGATCTGGTGGTCCTCCATCCACACCTTGATTGACCTGGCTGTGTGGCATGGCGTATTGTCCTGCTGGAAAAACCAATCCTCAGATTTGGGCAATGTCAGAGCAAAAGAAAGCAAGTTTTCTTCCAGGACAACCTTGTACGTGGCTTGATTCATGCGTCCTTCACAAAGACAAATCTGCCCGATTCCAGCCTTGCTGAAGCACCCCCAGATCATCACCGATCCTCCACCAAATTTCACAGTGGGTGCGAGACACTGTGGCTTGTAGGCCTCTCCAGGTCTCCGTCTAACCATTAGACGACCAGGTGTTTTGCAAAGCTGAAAATTGGACTCATCAGAGAAAATGACCTTACTCCAGTCCTCTACGGTCCAATCCTTATGGTCTTTTGCAAACCTCAGCCTGGCTCTTATTTGCTTCTCATTGATTAAGGGCTTTTTTTTCTAGCTTTGCACAACTTCAGCCCTGCCCCTAGGAGCCTGTTTCGAACCGTCCTCGCCGTGCACTTCACCCCAGCTGCCATTTGCCATTATTTTTGTAGGTCACTTGATGTCATCCTACAGTTATTGAGTGACATTCGAATGAGTTGGCGGTCATCCCGGTCAGTAGAGAGTCGTTTTCGCCCTCTGCCGGTCTGTAGCTTTGTTGTCCCCAATGTCTGCTGCTTGAGCTTGTTCTTATGAACCGCCGTCTTTGACATTTTAAGGACGGAAGCAACCTGATGCTCACTGTATCCCTCTGCCAGTAAAACCAGAATTTAACCCTTCTTTTCCTCACTCAAAACTTTCCTTTTCAACTCTTTTGGCAGGGTCCATAGTTATTTTTTGATTAATATAAAACTGTTTTTTCCATCCAGCTGGTCCTATTGCAAGAGGATAGTGATGACCACAGCAGTGTTTTTTAAATACTTTTCCTCGTTAAATAAGATTTGGTTCAGGTGATCACCTAATCAGTACCTAATTCAGTAGAATGAGGTGTGCCTGTGTTGGAATTCAACAGACACTGGAATGGAATGGCTGTCATACATGTAGAGATGCTGATGTAAGAAACATTTGCAGTGGTCTCTTAATTTTTTCCAGAGCTGTATATGTTGAAGAGGGTGGGGCTTAAACTGCATCCCTGTCTCACCCCACAGCCCTGTGGAAAGAAATGTGTGTCTTTTTTGCCAATTTTAACCGCACACTTGATGTTTGTGTACATGGATTATATAATGTTGTGTGTTTTTCCCCAAACACCACTTTCCATCAATTTGTGTAGCAGACCCTCATGCCAAATTGAGTCAAAAGCTTTTTGAAATCAACAAAGCATGAGAAGACTTTACCTTTGCTTTGGTTTGTTTGTCAATTAGGGTGTGCAGGGTGAATGCGTGGTCTGTCGTACAGTAATTTAGTAAAAAGCCAATTTGACATTTGCTCAGTACATTGTTTTCACTGAGGAAATGAACTAGTCTGCTGTTAATGATAATGCAGAGGATTTTCCCAAGGTTGCTGTTGACGCATATCTCACGGTAGTTATTGGGGTCAAATTTGTCTCCACTTTTGTGGATTGGGGTGATCAGTTCTTGGTTCCAAATATTGGGGAAGATGCCAGAGCTAATGATGATGTTAAAGAGTTTAAGTATAGCCAATTGAAATTTGCTGTCTGTATATTTGATCATTTCATTGAGGATACTATCAACACCAGAGGCCTTTTTGGGTTGGAGGGTTTGTATTTTGTCCTGTAGTTCATTCAATGTAATTGGAGAATCCAGTGAGTTCTGGTAGTCTTTAATAGTTGATTCTAAGATTTGCATTTGATCATGTATATATTTGTTGCTGTTTGTTCTTTGTTATAGGGCCATAAAGATTGGAGAAGTGGTTTACCCATACATCTCCGTTTTGGATAGCTCTCTCTCTCTCTCTCTCTCTCTCTCCTCTCTCCTGCTCTCTCCTCTCTCCTCTCTCTCTCTTCTCTCTCTCTCTCTCTCCTCTCTCTCTCTCTCCTCTCTCTCTCTCTCTCTCTCTCTCTCTCTCTCTCTCTCTCTCTCTCTCTCTCTCTCTCTCTCTCTCCTCTCTCTCTCTCTCACACACTCTCACTCTCACTCTCACTCTCACTCTCTCACCGTGAGTTCCATCTCATCGTTTTCGTCACGGGCCACGAATGGCCACCAGCCCTTGACTCTCTTCTGTTTGAAGATGGAAATGCAGGGCTGCTCAGCCTCGTTCTGGACCATGCCTATGGAACACTGCTTGGCTGTCTTCGCCCCACGGGGAAACCTGTTCAGGTCTAGCTCTATCGCACCTGTCAGGAGAGACAATACAGGGCATTAGTGAATAACTGAGGAAATATCTGAGGAGATACAGATGTCGGATCCTAATTTGAGCCAGTTTCCTACAGCAGGAAAATAACCCTGCAGCAACAGGAAATTTGAAATATTAAAAAATGTATCCTGCAACAGGGTGATGAAATTAACATCCTACACAAAGATGGAGAGGTAGAGACAGACTGAGATACAGAGAGAAGAACCTGGAGAGAAAGAGGACAAGAGATGAAAGAGGTTGAGGGATGAGATAAAAGAGCTATAGAAGAAGTGGCCGAGAGAATACTGAACATTTTAGAAAATAAATCAATAAACATGAAAATAAGAATATGTAGCGTTCCAGAGAGCCCCAGCAGTGTATGCCTACCTAGGAAGTCATCAGCGGAGAAGTGGTCAGCGTCCCAGACCTGCAGGGTGAGGCGTGCAGGGATCTTGTACTCTGTCTCGTCCCAGGAGAACATGGACTCCTTCTTAGAGATGACAATTTTCTCCTCGGCCATCAGGTAGTCAAAGGGGAACACGAAGCGCCAGTTGAAATTCCCCTCACCTGTCAGAGAGTGGTAGTGGACGTCTGTGTCCTGCTTGTCCTCCTGCTGCCCTTTCAGCCACCTGATATAAAGGGTTAAATATCACATGTAATGTAGTAAATTGGGTGTAAGGACCGTATCAGCTAGCTTCACTCATCATGCTCTGTGTGAAGGTTGTCTGTGGAGGTTAGGCAGACGCAGTGAAAATCAGATCACCATCTTACATCAGTGAATGTGATTTGAGATTGTTATGGATAATTCATAGTATGACACTATGTGTTTTATGCATTACAGGTGTGGTCCATTTAATCAAAAAAAGGGACGTTAGTATTTCAAAAGCAACACACATGTATGATGTGACCCTCCAATAAAAAAACAGTCAGTAATGAGAAATGTACAGTGAGGGAAAAAAGTATTTGATCCCCTGCTGATTTTGTACGTTTTCCCACTGACAAAGACATGATCAGTCTATAATTTTAATGGTAGGTTTATTTGAACAGTGAGAGACAGAATAACAACAAAAAAATCACATGTCAAAAATGTTATAAATTGATTTGCATTTTAATGAGGGAAATAAGTATTTGACCCCTCTGCAAAACATGACTTAGTACTTGGTGGCAAAACTCTTGTTGGCAATCACAGAGGTCAGACGTTTCTTGTAGTTGGCCACCAGGTTTGCACACATCTCAGGAGGGATTTTGTCCACTCCTCTTTGCAGATCTTCTCCAAGTCATTAAGGTTTCGAGGCGGACGTTTGGCAACTCGAACCTTCAGCTCCCTTCACAGATTTTCTATGGGATTAAGGTCTAGAGACTGGCTAGGCCACTCCAGGACCTTAATGTGCTTCTTCTTGAGCCACTCCTTTGTTGCCTTGGCCGTGTGTTTTGGGTCATTGTCATGCTGGAATACCCATCCACGACCCATTTTGAATGCCCTGGGTGAGGGAAGGAGGTTCTCACCCAAGATTTGACGGTACATGGCCCCGTCCATCGTCCCTTTGATGCGGTGACGTTGTCCTGTCCCCTTAGCAGAAAAACACCCTCAAAGCATAATGTTTGCACCTCCATGTTTGATGATGGGGATGGTGTTCTTGGTGTCATAGGCAGCATTCCTCCTCCTCCAAACACGGCGAGTTGAGTTGATGCCAAAGAGCTCGATGTTGGTCTCATCTGACCACAACACTTTCACCCAGTTCTCCTCTGAATCATTCAGATGTTCATTGGCAAACTTCAGACGGCCCTGTATATGTGCTTTCTTGAGCAGGGGGACCTTGCGGGCACTGCAGGATTTCAGTCCTTCACGGCGTAGTGTGTTACCAATTGTTTTCGTGGTGACTATGGTCCCAGCTGCCTTGAGATCATTGACAAGATCCTCCTGTGTAGTTCTGGGCTGATTCCTCACCGTTCTCATGATCATTGCAACTCCACGAGGTGAGATCTTGCATGGAGCCCCAGGCCGAGGGAGATTGACAGTTATTTTATGTTTCTTCCATTTGCGAATAATTGCACCAACTGTTGTCACCTTCTCACCAAGCTGCTTGGCGATGGTCTTGTAGCCCATTCCAGCCTTGTGTCTACAATCTTGTCCCTGACATCCTTGGAGAGCTCTTTGGTCTTGGCCATTTTGGAGAGTTTGGAATCTGATTGATTGATTGCTTCTGTGGACAGGTGTCTTTTATACAGTTAACAAACTGAGATTAGGAGCACTCCCTTTAAGAGTGTGCTCCTAATCTCAGCTCGTTACCTGTATAAAAAGACACCTCGGAGACAGAAATCTTTCTGATTGAGAGGGGGTCAAATACTTATTTCCCTCATTAAAATGCAAATCAATTTATAACATTATAGACATGCGATTTTCTGGATTTTTTTTTTGTTATTCTGTCTCTCACTGTTCAAATAAACCTACCATTAAAATTATAGACTGATCATTTCTTTGTAAGTGGGCAAACGTACAAAATCAGCAGGGGATCAAATACTTTTTTCCCTCACTGTATGAGATTATTAATTCAAACAAATTGAATTATGGCTATGAAATAATGGTGATATTGTGTGGACCTGGGTAAATTCTATATCAAGTGTACCATCTGATAACGACTGAATGAGAATACAGTTTGAACTGAGTATTTAAATACAAATAACCTGATTTGGTGTTGGAGGGTCACATGATTTCAAATGCCATGCACACACACAAATTTCCACAAAAAAAATAGTAAAATAAATGATTTCAAAAGCGTTTATGACAGTGCTTTCCTTCATTGGAGGGAAGATGCAGATACGACAAGATTAACATAAGCAGAAGTGTCATACAATGCAACATTTGTCTAAATGCAGTCTCAGTACAGTACTGTATGTGGTGGAAGAATGAGGTTTTTTTCGCTGTAGTGGCGCCAAGCGAGCAGTGGTTGGTGAGGTGGGTTGGGTTCCATTCAATTTCAATTCAGAAAGGAAAGCAAAATTCAAATTTCAAGGATAAAAAATGTATCTTTCAAAATTGATTGCAGTTTTAAATTCTTCAACTAGAATAAAATAAAATAAAACATTCTGAATGGACTGAATTGAAACCCTGAAGGTGGGCACATTAGAGAAGCTGGAGGGGAGGAGCCTCAGCCAAAAACATTTATACGACTTTCAACGTCCATTAGTATTGATATTCTATTAACAACATAATTATTAAGAAGCAGCAAATTACAATAAAATTGCAAAAAAAAACAATAAGGAATAATAGTCAATTTCCCATGCAAGCATTCTTTACTAGTGCTGTAGTTTAACCCCTGCCCAAGACAATGTACATATGCTGCTGTAGGAAGGCAGGACCATACCAGTTAAACAAGGATGTAAGGATTATTAGAAATTGGCAAGTCAAAACAAAATACTGTTATTGACTTACCCTGGCTTATATCCAATATAATGTGTATGAGAACTGACTGAAAATAAAAATTCTAAATCAATAAGTGTGTCATCCACAGAACATATTGCAAACCGTTTACAATCCATTATTTGGTTAATTCAATAACGATTAGTGAATTTCAGATTAGTAGATGGCCTGGCCCTAGTGTCATTTGTGTGTTGTCTTCAATGACACTGACCTCTTTAGGCTGTTTTAGTGGTATGGCCCTGATTGGCTTCCTCTGTCTGTAGGCGTGAAGGCATGGGGGTTTACTGCGTGCTGATAGGAGGGCTGAGGGAGAGGGGTGGGTCTTGAGCAGTCGTTCTGGTTGTTTAGGTGAGGGAGGGGCGGATAAGGGATGGCGATGGGTTTGTACGAGCCATGCGATGGAATCATATGTGTTTTACCCCCTGACATAAATGTCAGACATCTTCTCTCCTGTCATGAAAGCATCGTCCTCTAGAACTACGTCATCAGTGTTCCAAATAATAACACGCAGCTCAAAGCTAGATAACAGCACAGCATCGACACACAGGAGAGAGAGAGGACGACAAACAAGAGACACAACAAACAAACACCCAACACACAGAAAACGTGGAAACAAAAAAAACAATGATTAACGCCAAGAAACGCAGCACGCCACTTCGTCACACCCACGGGGCGATCGGGGCATAGCGCCATGGCCCTCTGTGGTACCTACCCCCTGACAAATATGTCACTGGACTTTTCCCCAGTGAAGTAATCATCGTCCTCGAGTATTACTTCGTCTGTATTCCATATAACCACCCTGAGCTCATGTCTGGCGAGGAGGGAGGAAGGAACACACACAGTTGGACTGCTGTTGTCTGGTGCTAAATTATCCTTGGAACATGGCTGTGTAGACTCTACAGCTATGTCCCAGGGCTAATGCTAGATAGCCAACCCACTCTAAGGACCTACAACACTTCCCACAGAAAACCTGGAATCTGAATTAGTAGGAAAACTACAAGTCCATATGATTTAAGACTTATATATACACACACAGCACTTCATATTGGACCATACATAAGATGCAATACTTCAGTCAACCTTTCAGAAAGGAGTTCCTATGTTTAAGTTGTCACATGATCTATCTGTGATGTATAGTATACACTGACTGGACACTTCCGCCAGCCCCAGACTGGACCTACTTCTTTGGTTTCCGTGGTGATATGTCAATGGCGGGTCCAGGTGCTGGCATGTCCATGGGGAACATGTCTACCCACATCTCAATCCGCCCCTGTGGAGTTTAACATAGGTCACAAAAGGTTATAACCACTTATTACAGATTAATTATCCACTCCTCTTTATTAAGCTTTGCCTACATTTAGATAGACCTGGTATTTAGTGTGTGTGTGTGTGTGTGTGTGTGTGTGTGTGTCTGTTTATAGAAGAAGAGATAGACGAGCATACATATCTATTTGAGTACCTGGTATTTTAAATACTTATATGTATTTGAGTATTTTCAAATACACAGCCCAAAACAAGTACTTTTATTTGAGTATTAGAATGGTTATTTGAAAAACCAAATAGACTACCAAATTGTATATTCAAATACTTAATTCAAATACTAAACTCAGCAATAAAAAGAAACGTCCTCTCACTGTCAACTGCGTTTATTTTCAGCAAACTGTGTAAATATTTGTATGAACATAACAAGATTCAACAACTGAGACATAAACTGAACAAGTTCCACAGACATGTGACTAACAGAAATTGAATAATGTGTCCCTGAACAAAGGGGGGGTCAAAATAACAGTAACAGTCAGTATCTGGTGTGGCCACCAGCTGCATTAAGTACTGCAGTGCATCTCCTCCTCATGGACTGCACCAGATTTGCCAGTTCTTGCTGTGAGATGTTACCCCACTCTCTGAGGGGAATGGCCCTAGCCCTCACCCTCCGATCCAACAGGTCCCAGACGTGCTCAATGGGATTGAGATCCGGGCTCTTCGCTGGCCATGGCAGAACACTGACATTCCTGTCTTGCAGGAAATCAAGCACAGAACGAGCAGTATGGCTGGTGGCATTGTCATGCTGAGGGTCATGTCAGGATGAGCCTGCAGGAAGGGTACCACATGAGGGAGGAGGATGTCTTCCCTGTAACGCACAGCGTTGAGATTGCCTGCAATGGCAACAAGCTCAGTCCGATGATGCTGTGACACACTGCCCCAGACCATGACAGACCCTCCACCTCCAAATCGATCTCGCGCCAGAGTACAGGCCTCGGTGTAATGCTCATTCCTTCGACGATAAACACAAATCCGACAATCACCCCTGGTGAGACAAAACCTCGACTCGTCAGTGAAGAGCACTTTTTGCCAGTCCTGTCTGGTCCAGCGACGGTGGGTTTGTGCCCATAGGCGACGTTGTTGCCGGTGATGACTGGTGAGGTACTGCCTTACAACAGGCCTACAAGCCCTCAGTCCAGCCTCTCTCAGCCTATTGCGGACAGTCTGAGCACTGATGGAGGCATTGTGCGTTCCTGGTGTAACTCAGGCAGTTGTTGTTGCCATCCTGTACCTGTCCCGCAGAGGTGAAGTTCGGATGTACCGATCCTGTGCAGGTGTTGTTACACGTGGTCTGCCACTGCGAGGACGATCAGCTGTCCGTCCTGTCTCCCTGTAGCGCTGTCTTAGGCGTCTCACAGTCCTGGCCACATCTGCAGTCCTCATGCCTCCTTGCAGCATGCCTAAGGCATGTTCACGCAGATGAGCAGGGATGTGACGAGGTGTGAATGAAGGAGTCAGGCGCAGGAGGTAAAATACCGAAGTCCAGAGTTTATTCCGTTTACATAAATCAAACACCCAAAGCGTCAAACGAAACTATTACAAGGGAAAACATCCACCTTGGCATAAACACAGTGAATAGTAGCTCAACCGAGCTACACGCTCTCACAGCAAACAATCACTCACAAAGACAAGGGGAACACTTATACACATACTAATTAGGGGAATGAGCACCAGGTGTGTGTGATTGACAAGACATGACAAGTGGAGTGATGAGAATGGGATCGGCAGTAGCTAGTACTCCGGTGACGACGAACGCCGAAGCCTGCCCGAACCAGGAGGGGAGGCAGCCTCAGCGGAAGTCGTGACAAGGGACCCTGGGCATCTTTCTTTTGGTGTTTTTCAGAGTCAGTAGAAAGGCCTCTTTAGTGTCCTAAGTTTTCCTAACTGTGACCTTAATTGCCTACTGTCTGTAAGATGTTAGTGTATTAACGACAGACCGTTCCACAGGTTTAAACAGTGTTTAAACCCTTTACAATGAAGATCTGTGAAGTTATTTGGATTTTTACGAATTATATTTGAAAGACAGGGTCCTGAAAAAGGGACGTTTCTTTTTTTGCTGAGTTTATTTTCAAATACCTGGGTTAAATGCAAGGAAGTGTATTTGAGTCAGTGTATTTGAGTATTTTCAAATACTTTCCAAGTGTATTTATACTACTTGTATAAATATTAAACTACTTTTCCTTTTATATAAAATATATCTGAATACTTATTTGAAATGCATGTGAAAGTAATTGAGATATTTGAAATAGTATTTGAACCCAGGTCTGATTATTTCACCCTTATAAGGCGCTCCATGACATTTTATTAAACTCAAAAGCGAGTCCGTTGGGAAGTTGCAGCGATGAGACAAGTTTGTAACTACCAATTGGATATCACGAAATTGGGGAGAAAAAACAGTAAATAAGTTCCAGATAAACCCTTATAATAATGTTATATAATAATAAAACATGGATTGTTTGTGAGAACTAGGAGTGTGTGTGTGACCTGTTCGATGCCAGGTTTCTCGGGGTGGAGCAGGGGTCTTGTCTCGACGTGTTCTGGGATGAGTTTACAGCCCACCCTGGGGATCTCCTCCCAGTGCTTCAGCACCGTCAGGGCCAGGTGCTCATCTGTCTGCTTCTTTAGACCTGTAGACAGACACACACACACACACTAAATACCAGGTCTATCTAAATGTAGGCAAAGCTTAATAAAGCTTGCTCTGTTGAACTGCAAAAATGCATCAAATATCAACAACATACCAGTCTCATCCTCGATCTCTGTGGCACCCATGAAGATACGATTGGCAACCTTGACCCTTCCCCCGGGGCCGTAGTGGGGTCCGTCCAGTTTGCCCTCCTTACACAGCTTGGCCAGGATCTGGCTTGGCTTCATGGGGTCACGCCACATGTTGTAACCATGCCTAGCAGGAACAAACAACAACAGACTGCTGTCGAATTTTACTTGGAGACAGGCTGACAGAGTAACAAACTAACAGACAGACAGAAACTCACACAGAGTAGTTGTTAGCGATGCCACAGGTGGCTCTGTGTTTGCTGTAGTAGCGGTTCTCCAGGTCGATCTTGGTCTCCCCGATGAGGTCATCAGTGCCCACCAGATCCCAGTCGTACACTGACACGGTCAACATGGACTCCATGGGGAACGTAGCCTCAATGTCAAACGCCCTAAGAGAGGGGGTGGAATCAAATGGCTACCCAGACTATTTGCATTGCCCCCCCCCCCCTCCCCCCCTTTACGCTGCTGCTACTCTCTGTTTATTATCTATGCATAGTCACTTTAATAACTCTACCTACATGTACATATTACCCCAATTACCTCGACTAACCAGTGCCCCCACACATTGACTCGGTACCGGTACCCCCTGTATATAGCCTCGCTATTGTTATTTTACTGCTGCTCTTTAATTATTTGTTAGTTTTATTTCGTATTATTTTATATTGTATTTGTTTGTGTGATTTTTTTTGGGTATTCTTTCTTAAAACTGCATTGTTGGTTAAGGGCTTGTAAGTAAGCGTTTCACTTTAAGGTCTACACCTGTTGTATTCGTGACAAATAACATTTGATTTGATTTGATTTGATTTGAAGGAGTGGAGGAACGGAGGGAGGCAAGGAGAGGAAGGGATGGAGGGAAGGGATGAGATGAAGAGAGTAGGGAGGACATTTGAGATTCTGATACTGTAGACAAACAAACATTTAACTGTCACTCCACAATGATACACTAATACAAAATACAGATTATTTTAAAAACCACATTGTGGACCACTCAAATTGAGTTGAGACACTAAAAACAATCATAGTCAAACATGGGACAGGCGTCATCTATAATACATTACATCATCTATACCCGGGGTTCAGTGAACAGAAACGAAGACCGAAAAATAACATACTTTTTTGATGAACGTAAACAGAACCGGGAACTAAAGTGATCTCTAGTTTTCCGGAACAGAACCGTTATTTTTAAATCTTGAGAACCGGTTAATAATATTCCTAATGTCTAGTATATCATTCTGTAATTTGGTGACGTTATAACGGTCATAATAGCCTTAACACATTCCAGTTCACCTCATGTCATGATGTTCAGTGCTTCAAGCCAAGCCCCCTCCATGTCCACCCCTCTCTCTCGCTCTCTCCCCATCATGACATTTTTGTTGCGTCTCGCGCCTGCACTTATCTGACCAATCAAACATGTAAACAACTAGCTTACGTGTTCCATAGCAAGATTCTCTATCCGTGCTAATGGGTTGAGTAAATTAATTAGCCATTTTGTAAAAATTATGTTGATTTCACTGGTTAAAGAAAAACTGAAAAGGAACTCTATGAACCGTTGATTTTCTTGGGGGTTCGAACCGGTCGGAACACTGGGACGGAATGAGAAAAAAAAAAGGTATTCTGTTCGGAACGGAACGATTGGAAAATAATTTAGTTTCCAACCCCTGATCTATATACATGTATGCATAAAGAAAAACAATGCATAGTAGATAAAAGGACAATTAGCCACTTCTAAACAAACGTCTCCATTGGAGGATAAGGTGGCAGGCTTTGGCGCAGGCGTTTACATTATTGTTACCTGATAAAATTTCACAGAATTTATCATTTTCATCTAGCCCGTTAACATTATCATTTTATCTGGACAGCTGAAGAAAAATATCCGACCTAATTGTATAACCCACAGTAAAGCAAGGCATGAGCTTCTGTTTCAATGGAACCATCGTAACAAAAAGTACAAACACGTTTAAGGGAGTCTTTGTGTATCGAGCAGCCTCAATAGCGAGAGGGGCCACTCCACATCAACATTTTGCAAAAGAGCTTTGATATTGCTTGGATAAAACTGTACGTACAAAGGGTTCTGTGACCAAAGGTGTGTTTAAAAAGGCTTTGGATAAGAGCGTCTGCTAAATGACAAAAATGTCAATGTAAATAGGAAGAGATAAGCTTTTCATAGATGGCGATGCCAATGCATCTATGCCAGCTACAAGAGTCAAGAAATGCTTCAATACAATAGCTGAATCAGAAGCAAAGGGCAGTCAGTGTATCCATCCACACTCACTTGCCAAAGACAGGGTTGAGCTGTTTGGAGATGTAGTTCTCTTTATCCTTCAGCTCTGACTTGCCCAGTTTGATGACGACGTAGGGGTCCGCTTTCCCATTGACATCAGCAGGGTGGAGGTCTGTGGCCTGGAATAGAGAGTTGGAGTATGTGGTATGGTTTAGGTTTTTATTAATTAATTAATTAATTCTTAAAATCTATTGAAGCCTTACTTTACCAAGAGAGTTGACTGAGAAAACATGATAAGGTCGCTATGCTTTAGAGCAAAAACCTGAGAAAGATGTTGTTTATGGTCACTCACCCTGACTACGAAGACGCGCACCAGCACATTGATTGGGTCGTTGTGTGGAATGCTCTGGAACATGCCCATGTTAGGGTCGAAGCCCGCCTCCCGGGTGATCTCCTCAGACAGAGGCAGCTTGTACATGCACATGGAGCCCTTGAATCTGCCCACGATCCTGTCGTCATCCAGGGCAGCTTCGTCATCATCCCCTGCCTTCCCTCTGTACAAGTTGAAGGTATGGAGCCAGTCCTCAAAGTTATCATACTCTGCCTCCAACTCCTTGTTGTACACCTGGACAGCACACACACACACACACACACACACACACACACAGACAAACACACAGACAGTTTTATAACTGACCTTGTGGGGACACACAATTCAGTCCCATTCAAAATCCTATTTTCCCTAACCTTAACCCTAGCTACTAACCCTAAACCTAATTCTAATCCTAACAATAATTCTAACCTTAACACGAAGCCCCCTAGAAATAGCATTTGACCTTTGACAAAATGTCCCCAGTTGGTCAAATGTTCGTGAGTTTACTACTCTTGTGGGGACTTATGGTTAAACACGTTCACACACACACACACGTATCAGAAACATTCTGAACAGCAAGGGGTGTGTATGTTTGTGTGTGCCCAGTGGAATCTCTAGGCCTACTGACCAGCAGCTCGTCCACTTTGGGTTTGCTGGGGCGTTTCTCTGTCCCCTCTCCTGCATGGTGACTCTTCTTCTTCTCTTTGTTCCTGCTCTTGTCTCGGCTCTTCTCCTTCCCCTTGGAGCCTTTTACAGGGAGGTCATCAGGTTTGATATCTGAGTGTGGAGTGAGTGAAAGGAGTGGAGGAGGGGGAGTGGAGGGGGCAGGGGAGGGGAGTGGAGCGAAGGGAGGGACACGTCACAGCACTCCAGATATCAATCAACATGAAAGTTGACATCTGACCCCTCTGGCCATCCATTGCCAGGGCAACTGATATCCATGCCATCATGAGTAATGTCAATTGGAACATTTGTGTTATCACAAGAGCCACCTTATCCTTTCTTCAAATTCTGGGAGAATATCTTAACAGGAACTCGGTAAACAAGACATTAATAATTGATGTGTTTTACACTTTTGATTTAAAATTGAGTTCATGCTTCATGCTAGTAGATGTATATACTGTACATTATTTGCTTGATAGGGAATCCTTCATGGTTAAATCAATAGATTAAGGGAGAAAGGGATTTAATAAGGTAGAAAAGCTTTAAAAGCAATAGGTTACGTTTCTTAATGGCTTAGTTTATCAGCCAACTTTCATGGTAGTGCAATGCAGGGTTGGTCATGCTGGTGTGATGGTCTATTGGTATGATATGAGGTCATGTTTTCATTGTATTTTAGGTGGTGATGGATGGGGGGGTAATCAGGTGGGGGATCATAGGGATGAAGGGGGTGAGTGATGAGGATACAACTCAACTGGTGCCTTCTCCACCAGTCCGCAAGCAGGCAGAGAAAGACACTGATCCTATAGCTCATCCATCTATTAAAGCACACATCACAGCCATCCACTACTCCCATTCTTATCCACTATTCAAAGCTATACAGAACCGTTATTTTTAAATCTTGAGAACCGGTTAATAATGTTATATTCCTAATGTCTAGTATATCATTCTGTAATTTGGTGACGTTATAACGCTCATAATAGCCTGAACACATTCATCTAGCCCGTTAACATTATCATTTTATCTGGACAGCATTTTATCTATTCAGAGCCTGCACAGAATCCTATCATTCTGAGAGACATGTTAGTCATCCTGAGAGACCATTTTTATTGCTCAGCACCAGCAGTGTTTACCTTCTCCCTCTGCTGCTATCTCCTGGTCCTCCCTCTCCTCGGCCTCGGCCAGAGCTGCCTCCTGGGCCCTGAGGATCTGGGAAACACAACTACACATCAGGATTATTCCCACAACACACACTGACTTTATTCTAGAACACTACAGTTGTCTAATTGGAACTACTCAAACACTCAATTTCCGGAATATAACCATATTTCTACCAGACAGAACATAAAGCAACATAATAGATGAGAATAGATCTCTCACCTCCATCAGTGTCTCTATGGAAGCGAAATATTTGGACCACCAGTCCAGCGTTCTCTCGTCGGTCTCATCGTCCTCCTCCACCTCTCCCTTCTTCTTCTTCTTCTTCTTTTTCTTCTCTTCTTTCTCCTCCTCGTTCTGCAGATACAAGAGCAAACAAACAAAAGTGCTACCTGGCATAGTAAATAAATGTTACAGGTGGCAATTGATGTCTGTCCACATTGTGAAGCTCTTTCAAATGAGGTGGGACAGTTCCATGCCACTTACCACATCAACTTTAATAACTGCATCAGACGTCTACAGGGAGAGGGTCACACAAAACAACACCAAAATACACACAAATGAAACGCAAAATACTTCAATATAAACCAATAAAAAATCTGCATTTTACACCACACACAGGACCAGAGGTCAAGCCATCAAGCTCAATTTCAGTCCTTGAGTGCATCTCTACTTCTGTCCTTTTCATTTAAAAAAAACATGCAATAAATCAAAAGCGATAAAATCTGAGACATGCGAGTCAAAGCTTACAGCATCTAACTTGACCACCGTGTCCATCTTCCTGACTGAGGGGTTGGCGTCCATGTTGACTATGACATCACCTGCGGGGCGAGAGAGGGTGCGGGGCAGGGTGTGGGAGTAAGGGGAGGAGGGGCGAGATTGGGACCCCCCGTTCGTCAGGACCATGTAGCCATTCATCAGTCTAGCTGGAGGGGGTTCAGAGGTGTGACCGAGGAGGAACAAGACACAACCAGGAAAAAGAGAGAGAGAGAGAGAGAGAGAGAGAGAGAGAGAGAGAGAGAGAGAGAGAGAGAGAGAGAGAGAGAGGGAAAGACAGGTTGGTACAGAGACAGTGAGAGAAGGGCAGTAGGAGTGGGAAAACGCAAGCGCAGAAAGCATCAAAGTAAGTAAAGCAGTAGGAAACACATTCATATTCATACAGGTCTGATTCAGTCTGAGAGGAAATCAGAAACTGTTGAAAAGAATATGGAAGATTAGACTCAGAGAATATACAGTATAACACCAAATGTCCAGTATATACTAAAATAGTATGAATACATGGTATTCGATTCCCCTGAACAACACAACAATTTAAAATCTTGTAATAGGAATAGAAAGTACTAGAAAAGCGTCTTGCATAGTGTGAGTATGTCTACCTGCGCTGGCCCAGTTGTTGTGTGTCTTGTCTGGGGGGCTGTAGATGAAGCGCCGTAGGCTGGTGACGGCGTGGGAACCCACCAGGGTGTATCGGCCAAACGCCCTGCAGTCCACTACCCGGATGTTTAGTGGAGGGTGGAGCAGCTCGTTCTCTGGCAGGTCCTGATGGGGCCATAGGGGCAAAGGTCAGGGGGTCACAGATAGAGTTAGGACTAGGGTTGTATGAAGTTGCCCTGATCTAAGGTTTAAACATCTGGAATCTATTATATATGTACAGTACAGTATCTGTTGTCTTTCATTGTCTGAAAGGCCATCAAGATTTGACCAGGTTCTACTCACCACCTCGAACCACTTGACCAGGGTGCTGAAGTTGGGGTTCTTTTTGAAGTTCACGATGAGCGCAGACTGAACTCCTCTCCCTGCACACTCTATGTCCACCCTGGGTCTGTCCACCTGTGCCAAATTCACTCTCTTCAGGTCCCGCAGGCCCCAGAACAGAACCTGGACCACAACCCATCACATTGGATCAGACCATTTGAACAGCACGCCCAGATCAACAACTTATTTGGGGGTTCCACTTCTAGTTCCCCTTACAGAATCTCCACGTCTTCGACCCACAGTAATGAGGGAGTTCCTCCTCCTTATAGTTTCTAGTTTTGGGGTACCTTCTCTTTGTCCTCTAGTTTGGGGTACCATCCCCCTATTTGTAGTTTTAGTGCCCTCTCGGAGCGCTGTTCCCTAGTCATAGAGTGTTGTCTCACCTCTATACGGTAGCGGCTTAGGACAGGTCTGATGCCCATGGGCACAGGGAGGATGGGTCCATGGTCTGAGTCTGTCAGACCATCGATGACAGGAAGCTCCGCCCTCCCCCCTTGTCCAATCTATTCAGTGAAGAGAATTGGGGTGAGGAGGTAACATACAGTATACATAGGGCCAGTTGTTTTGGTTGTTAATAAAATAAAATATTGACTGGTATTTCCAGCATTATCCACTTGGTTTGCTGCAGGTAGAAAATCCTAGGAAATGTTCTTTATAAGCTGTCCCCAATCAATCAATGTCTAGTTGTGCGCAAGTGTTTGGTGGGGAGATTGCCTAAGCCAGGGAAGGCATAGCTCTACGAATCTTAATTACACAAAGCTTATTATTTGGCAGGGATTACTATTTGCAGATCAGTGATACTACACCTCACTTTGCTCAAGCTGATCCTCTCTAATGGACTTGGAAGTTGTAGCTAAAAATGGGTCAATTAGGGGCAGTTTAAGGGGAGAGTAATTGAAACCAACCATGGAAGTATGTTGGGGGGTAGCCCCTACCGGGACTTGAACCTGGGTCCAGTGACTGTCACCTTAACCATTATGCCATTATCTCCCCTTAAACTGCCCCTAATTGACCCATTTTTAGCTACAATATCCGAGTCCGTTGGAGAGGATCAGCTTGAGCAAAGTGAGGTGTAGAATCACTGATCTACAAAACAGTATTCCCTGCCAAATAATAGGCTTTGTGCAATTAAGATTCGTTGAGCTATGCCTCCCCTGGCTAAGGCTATCCCCCCACAAAACTCACGCACAAACAGACATTGATTGATTGATTGATTGGAGACAGCTTACGTCAATTAAATAACATTTCCTAGGATTTTCTACCTGCAGCAAACCTAGTGGATAATGGTTGAAATACCGGTAAAAAAACTAACCAAAAAAACAAACAACCAAAACAACTTGCAGTAAGTATACAACAAATCAGAAAAATATATAAAAATGACACAAAACATATAGAAATGTACAGTAGGTCAAATTGATACACAACACAGTCAGCATCCGTATCCGTATGAAAATGTGTGCACTAACTGTAAGTCGCTCTGGATAAGAGCGTCTGCTAAATGACTAAAATGTAAATGTAAATGTATACCGAGATAAAAGTGACCCAACTGAAGCTGTTCTGGACTATCTTCCTAGTTTGTCTGAAGTTTCTAGTTTGGCTTCCTAGTTTGGCTTGGACTATCTTCCTAGTTTTGCAGAGGAACAGAAGTTAGAGAGAATAGTTACAGAGCAAGACACTGAATAGAGACGGATGGGGCAGAGAGGGAGAAAAGCTCCTATATAGAATAAAACACTTAGCATAAGACAGAGGAGGCTGGTGGGAGGAGCTGTAGGAGGACAGGCTCATTATAGTGGCTAGAATGGAATACATGGAATGGAGTCAAACATGTGGTTTCTATATAATGAATGTGTTTGACACCGTTCCATTTATTTAATTCCATCCATTACAATGAGCCTGTCCTCCTATAGCTTCTCCCACCAGCTTCCACTGGCAGAAGAACACTTAGACTGACCAGAGAGTGACCATAGAGTTAGACTGACCAGAGAGTGACCATAGAGTTAGACTGACCAGAGAGTGACCATAGAGTTAGACTGACCAGAGAGTGACCATAGAAGGATGGACAGAAGAGTGAAAATAGCACCTTAATCTGAGGAACAGCAAAGTCATGGACAGCAATCAGAGCCCTCCTGATCTCCTCATCGTCATAGGGAATCTGCAGAGCGGGGGCAGGGTACCGGAGTACGTAAGGTGGATAGGTAGGGGGTAGGTGGGAGTCAGGAGGAAGGGGGGAGTAGGGTAGGAAGGGTGGGAGTAGGATAGGAGGAGGGTGGGAGAGAGGAGGAGAGGTGGGTAGTAGAGGAAGAGGGTGGGAGTAGGAGTAGGAGAGGAGAGGGTGGGAGTAGGAGAGGAGAGGGTGGGAGGTAGGGAGGAGAGGGTGGGGAGTAGGAGAGGAGAGGGTGGGAGTAGGAGAGGAGAGGGTGGGAGTAGGAGAGGAGAGGGTGGGAGTAGGAGAGGAGAGGGTGGGAGTAGGAGAGGAGAGGGTGGGAGTAGGAGAGGAGAGGGTGGGAGTAGGAGAGGAGAGGGTGGGAGTAGGATAGGAGAGGCATAGAGGAAGAAGGAGAGAAGGGCAGAGAATTGTGGGAGAGCAGACAATTAGATGAAATGGAAATGGATAACAGACAGATGAAGAAAAGGAAAGACAGAGAGAGAGAGAGAGAAAAAGAGACCTTTCTTTTCTAGATTTGCTGAAGAATTAACTAGTCACTGTGTTCCGTGCATAAGGGTGTGCACAACATGTTCAGTAGTTGCATATTCTATGCATTTGGTAAATCTGTTGAAGATCATTCTCCACGTGATCAATTTGTCCAATCACTTCTTGCTTGTGTGTCGGGTGTGTATTTTTAAACTATTTTCATGCTTGTAGCTGGCATGCTCTCAGTGTGTCCCTGTTATGTGTTAGTTTCCTAGTGTGTGTGTGTGCACGTGTCTATGTGTGTGTATGTGTGATCAGTTTACCTGTAGCAGCTCGAAGGCAGCCAGTAGATCACCGGCGGTAGAGTTACCACGGTAGATCTGGTAGTACTCCAGCTGAGGGGGGAACCTTGGGGGGCCGTAGTGCTCATCACACATCTTAGTGATGGGCTTAGCAAACGTCCGACCAATGAACTCTGCCTTGCCCTGGATACCACCATGGCAACAGAGAAAACGGTAGAAATAAAAACTTCCTGTCATGTCCACTGGCGGTCAGTGTAAGCACAGAGCTAATACTGAAAACGGTGTATAAAGTGGGGACTATTCATAGCAGATGCTACTGTAAGACTAATAAAATACTTAAAAGAAGTCCTACTAGGGCCCATATCCCTATGGGTTCCATCAATTTATGAGAAGCATGCATGACTGTTAGAGTAAACACTTCAACCAAACCAATCAACTACTGTTTCAGCTATTAAACACAACCGTGTCTACAACTATTAACTTCAACCACTACTGGAGGAATGCAAGAGGGACATGCTTATGGCTACGTCATCGACAGATGGTAAACCTAGTTTGGGAATGGCCTTTAAAATAGCCTGTCCTGCCTCTTGCATGACTCAGCTAACTAGCTACGTTACTACGCAAACAGAAGGCCAAAGGAGAGGCGCTACTTCTAGCTTTCACACTGTACTTAGCCCCAACAGCGTCCACAATATGAGGAGGATCAGGAGGAACATGGTAAATGAAGACAGCAACAGATACACAGTAAGGACATACGGACAAACACAGTGTTTGGATCACAGATCTCACAGTACTTTGAATCCTAATATCCTTTGAATCTCACAAAACATTTGCTTCACTATGGGTATAGGTAGACCTCTTCCACAATGATAGATCCCCCACCCTCTCTCTCTATCTCTAGGGTTGTACCAAAGTGTCCTGGTCGTAGACCTCTTCCACAATGATAGGTCCCCCCCTCTCTCTCTATCTCTAGGGTCGTACCACAGTGTCCTGGTCGTAGAGCTCTACCACAATGATAGGTGGGTCGTCTCGTAGCTCGCCGGCCTCCCCGAACAGCTCAACATCATCAAACACCAACAGCTGATCCCACGTAGGGCACAGAGTCTCACTCAGGACCTAGAAACACACACACACACACACACACATACACCAGGTCTCTCTTGAAATATATTTGTATCTCAACGAGACTAACCTGGTTAAATAAAAGTTTTAAAAAGCACACACGCATGCACACACACACTCACACACACCCTCTCTCTTACCTCAGTGACCTGGCTGTGTGTGGAGAAGAAGACCCTGGCGAAGGGGTCTGACAGGCCGCTGCTGTCTGCAGCAAACAGACTCCTGGCCTGGTACATGTGAGCCCTCAGCTGGAACACCTGCTTCACTGCAGACCAGAGAGAGGACACAGAGATGAGACAACACTCATATACACAGCAGAGTAGAGAGAGGACACAGAGATGAGACAACACTCATATACACAGCAGAGTAGAGAGAGGACACAGAGATGAGACAACACTCATATACACAGCTGTGAGCCATCAACACTTGAGTACGTACTTCAATAAATGGGTAGAGGGAGTGTGTAAATATAAAACTTTTAAAGCAGATACCCACTGGGCACGTCAATTCAACGTCTATTCCACGTTGGTTCAATGTTGATTCAACCAGTGTGTACTTACTTACTACATCTACAGTATATACAGTACTGTATGGGGTACAGACTGTAGACAGACTTACTGTTATAGACCAGACTGATGGGGGGTACAGACTGTAGACAGACTTACTGTTATAGACCAGACTGATGGGGGGTACAGACTGTAGACAGACTTACTGTTATAGACCAGACTGGTGGGGGGTACAGACTGTAGACAGACTTACTGTTATAGACCAGACTGATGGGGGGTACAGACTGTAGAAAGACTTACTGTTATAGACCAGACTGATGGGGGGGTACAGACTGTAGACAGACTTACTGTTATAAACCAGACTGATGGGGGGTACAGACTGTAGAAAGACTTACTGTTATAGACCAGACTGATGGGGGGTACAGACTGTAGACAGACTTACTGTTATAGACCAGACTGATGGGGGGTACAGACTGTAGACAGACTTACTGTTATAGACCAGACTGATGGGGGGTACAGACTGTAGACAGACTTACTGTTATAAACCAGACTGGTGGGGTGTACAGACTGTAGACAGACTTACTGTTATAGACCAGACTGATGGGGGGTACAGACTGTAGAAAGACTTACTGTTATAAACCAGACTGATGGGGGGTACAGACTGTAGACAGACTTACTGTTATAGACCAGACTGATGGGGGGTACAGACTGTAGACAGACTTACTGTTATAGACCAGACTGATGGGGGGTACAGACTGTAGACAGACTTACTGTTATAGACCAGACTGATGGGGGGGTACAGACTGTAGACAGACTTACTGTTATAGACCAGACTGATGGGGGGGTACAGACTGTAGACAGACTTACTGTTATAGACCAGACTGGTGGGGGGGTACAGACTGTAGACAGACTTACTGTTATAGACCAGACTGGTGGGGGGGTACAGACTGTAGACAGACTTACTGTTATAGACCAGACTGATGGGGGGTACAGACTGTAGACAGACTTACTGTTATAGACCAGACTGATGGGGGGGTACAGACTGTAGAAAGACTTACTGTTATAGACCAGACTGATGGGGGGTACAGACTGTAGACAGACTTACTGTTATAGACCAGACTGGTGGGGGGGTACAGACTGTAGACAGACTTACTGTTATAGACCAGACTGATGGGGGGTACAGACTGTAGACAGACTTACTGTTATAAACCAGACTGATGGGGGGGTACAGACTGTAGACAGACTTACTGTTATAGACCAGACTGATGGGGGGGTACAGACTGTAGACAGACTTACTGTTATAGACCAGACTGGTGGGGTGTACAGACTGTAGACAGACTTACTGTTATAGACCAGACTGGTGGGGTGTACAGACTGTAGACAGACTTACTGTTATAGACCAGACTGGTGGGGTGTACAGTCTGTAGAAAGACTTACTGTTATAGACCAGACTGATGGGGGGTACAGACTGTAGACAGACTTACTGTTATAGACCAGACTGGTGGGGTGTACAGACTGTAGACAGACTTACTGTTATAGACCAGACTGGTGGGGTGTACAGACTGTAGACAGACTTACTGTTATAGACCAGACTGGTGGGGTGTACAGACTGTAGACAGACTTACTGTTATAGACCAGACTGATGGGGGGGTACAGACTGTAGACAGACTTACTGTTATAGACCAGACTGATGGGGGGGTACAGACTGTAGACAGACTTACTGTTATAGACCAGACTGATGGGGGGTACAGACTGTAGACAGACTTACTGTTATAGACCAGACTGATGGGGGGTACAGACTGTAGACAGACTTACTGTTATAAACCAGACTGGTGGGGTGTACAGACTGTAGACAGACTTACTGTTATAGACCAGACTGGTGGGGTGTACAGACTGTAGACAGACTTACTGTTATAGACCAGACTGATGGGGGGTACAGACTGTAGACAGACTTACTGTTATAGACCAGACTGGTGGGGTGTACAGACTGTAGAAAGACTTACTGTTATAAACCAGACTGGTGGGGTGTACAGACTGTAGAAAGACTTACTGTTATAAACCAGACTGATGGGGGGTACAGACTGTAGACAGACTTACTGTTATAGACCAGACTGGTGGGGTGTACAGACTGTAGACAGACTTACTGTTATAGACCAGACTGATGGGGGGTACAGACTGCAGACAGGAGCCTGTCCTGGGAGCCTTGTTCTCTTCAAAGCCATTGGGCAGGCCAGACAGGAAGTCCTTCCTCTGTTTGTTGAGGCCCAGCCACAGGTACATCTCCATCTTAGCCTGCACTGTCCACCCAGCTGGACCAAACCCCTTCTTACCAGGCAGCTGGGGACACAAACGTTACAGCGACGTTATAGGGACATTTATATAACTTTCATCAGCTATAGAAACATCTTCGCCTTAGCTTGGGATCTAGAGACACAACGTCACAGACATACAACAGCAACACCAACGTAAATTTCCTTTTTTATCACAGGCGCCAGGTTTTGTACTCATCACTTCATTCTCTATCAGAAAGTAGGCAGGCCCTCTCTGACAGTGTGTCGGTCAAAACATTGCATTCTGTACATTTATAAATCCCTTTAGCAAAAATGCCCGCATTACCTAACCTCGTTACTAACCTATAGAAGTACGAGATACCATACAGAGTCACAGGGATGGCTAACTCTTGACATTTCTCCAGTCACTACAGATTTAGGTAAAACGGCTTTTAGTTTCTTTGTACCTAACTTATAGAACAATCTTCAGAATACCCTACAGTTGGGCGCATTGGTGCCTTTCTGGCAATTCAGATTGTTGTTAGGGGACCGCTTTACTGAGGAATGTGTTTGTTTTTTCTATGATTGTGTTTGTTGTATTTCTATTGGTCTCTTTCCTATGCTCCTGCCTTGATTGTGTAACTGCTTGGGCTTGTCATTCAGGCATCCCTAGAAGAAGAAGCAGAGGGTGGAGAGAACCAAGAAGGTTCACGTACCCTGAGGAAGACAGCTTTGACCTTGCCACAGTCCTTGCCTGTCTCCTCGTCTATGATGGAGTAGAGGATGTCTTTGGAGGGGATGCGGGCGTAGGCGATACGCTTGTTGTTACTCATCATCCATACAAACACGTCTGGGATACTGTGCTGGGGCTGGATACAGGTTCAAAGTGTTATTGACACCGACATAGTGGTCAATACAGGCTGAAATTCCTGGGTATAACATAAATGACATTGATATCCACAAGGACGCACACTATTTCAACAGTGATTTACATTTTATGAGTGTACAGTTTATTAGTTCACAGTGGTGCTCTTTACTGTACAAAGTGATTGGTTATTATTATGCTAGTGTTTTATAAGGGAGAGTTAGGATTCACTGGCGGGAGGTTGCTGAATCTTTCTGAGGTTGCTTGTGTTCTCTCTATCAATTGCTCTGTCGATGCGCCTAGAATGTGTTATAAATAAAGTTGAGTGTAACAGAATCTGTACCTCGTCGGCAAGGAAACGGAGCCTGTGCAGGAAGTTCTGAACCATCTTCAGTTTGTCTCTCACTGTGTTCCTCTTCACCTGGGAGCGAATCAGCTTGGCCTGCTGGCCCATGCTTTCCTACAGAGGATATTACATTATACACATTCCCACGCTCTGCTACATGAGGATACATTCATAACCATAGCAACTCTCTCAATTACTCTCTCAGAGCAGCACTGTACCATCTCTCTCATGCAGGACTTGAGTCGCTCTTTGTCCAGTTTGGTTCTGCCTGCCTGGTTCTGGTCCTTGTTGGCCAAAGTCACGAAACGACTGAAAGTAAAAATACAGAGACACTTAAAGAAGATACTTTGGTTGGCATCACTGTGTCTCTGGCTTTGGCACTCCAGTCACTGTATCTGTAGAATCAAATCAAATCAAATGTTTGTCACATGCTTCGTAAACAACAGGTGTAGACTAACAGTGAAAGGCTTACTTGCAGGTCCTTTTCCAACAATGCAGAGTTAAAGGTAAAGATAAAAAAGTAATTATGAATTGATTATGGTTGTCGTATCAGTAATGTTAGCTCACTTGCAGCCTGTGCTGAGTTCCTCCAGCACCCCTCTGAGTCTACGCTCTGGATAGGCTTTCTCTGTCTTAATGATCTCCTGCACGTCATTCAGACCCTCCTCCTGTCAGACACAACACACAAACACAAACAAGGGCATCAGATACAATACACTCTTAGAAAAAAAGGTGCTATCTAGAACCTAAAAGGGTTCTTCGGCTGTCCCCATAGGAAAACCCTTTGAAGAACCCTTTTTGGTTCCATGTAGAACCCATTTGGTTCCAGGTAGATCCATTTTGGGTTCCATGTAGGACCCTTTCTATGTGGAACCAAAAAGGGTTCTCCCTGGAACCAAAAAGGGTTCTCCTATGGGGACAGCCGAAGAACCATTTTGGAACCCTTTTTTCTAAGTAATACCTTGAGTTAATTGGGATTAATTAACTTATTATCCTGCACAATGGTGCACATTCAACATGAGTGGTTACTGACCAGTTTGTCAGCGATCTTGTCCATGATGTTGGAGTTGTAAAGTCGTCTCCTTTGGTCCTGCCACCAGCTCTTGATGTAGATACATGGCTTCTTCTCAAAGTAGGGCAGGTGGAAGTAGTTCCTAAAGTTTGGCACAAATAAAATAAATCAAACATTTCTAGGCTGTGTAAAACAGATGTGATCCTATCAACTCTTATCTGACAGGGGAGAGGAAGAGTGTTGACTTTATCAGAGTCCCTCAGAGAATGAGATCAATGGAAACTGATTTCTTTCACATTTCAATTTTTTTTCCTTTTGTACCTTGTACCATGTTATTCTCTTATCTCCATTATTTTATGTTAGAGTATTTTGTGATACATACTGTATCCTATTCTATGAATAAGGAAGATCTAGACCAAGTGGTTCCCTGACTTTTTTTAGTTGTGACACCCCATCAGCAAAACAATATTTCAAACCAGAACCCTGGCTTTAGCTGTGACCCAGGAGGAACTAACGGAACATGACCCACCCACCACTGATGACCCCTGACCCTTGAACCCCTGCCCTCTGACCTGTCTGTGATGACAGGTTTCATGGGAGGGGTGGAGGACACAGTCACCAGGTCCCCATCATCATCCGCCTCGTCCTCACTGGAGTTTTGCTGGATCAGCTCTGACTCCTCATCACTCTCTCCTCCTCCTCCCTCTTTCTTCTTCTTCTTAGCTGCCGAGGGCTTGCTCACTCCATCTATCTGGTTGCCGTAGTTACCTGGGAGAAGGAAATGTGAAAAGTTGAGTGAGTAGTAGAATTTTATGGTTGTGTTATTGTTTGTGGTTATTTACATGCCAAACATACAAATCATTGAGTACTCTCTTTTTAGTCAAATACTTATGATAATTGAGTCGGTCAAGTTATTACTGTATTCCCTTGAGTGTAGTACTTACCTATTGTGACCTCGAAGCTGATTGGCTTATCGCCGATCTTCCTGTCGATCATGGTGGCCTCCAGGAAGGAACCAAACAGGAAGAATTCCTCTATTTTCCCTGTGGCACTCTGAACAACATAATAAAGAAGACAAAGTAAACAACAGAATACAAATGAAAGGTAGAACCAACCACCCTTTGACCTTAAACTCTCACACACGCAGTATGCAAAATAAACAAATACAGTCTCAGTCACTGACACGCAGGTCTTTCTTTTTAATCAAAACATGTTTTTTTCAAGTCAGTGTTGATTGAGAGCACGTTAGGTAAAATCTCTCTCTATTTCTCTCTCTCTCTCTCTCTGTCTCTCTCTCCTCTCCTCTAGGCTAAGGGGTGATAGCTACACCTGCACCTGGCATATAGTCAAACTGATATCAATAACTTACTGCACCCAAGGGAGACATTAGGGAGACATTAGCTAAACAAAGAGACAGCTAGGGGACAGTTGGGAAAGCTAATGTTTAGCCTGGGGTAACAAAGCTAATGTTTAGCCTGGGGTAACAAAGCTAATGTTTAGCCTGGGGTAACAAAGCTAATGTTTAGCCTGGGGTAACAAAGCTAATGTTTAGTCTGGGGTAACACTAGCTACTGATTTCCCTAAGGGCCAGTTAACAACTTTAACGGCAATTTAATGTCAATGCAATGTAATATACTGTAACAACAGAATGGAGACATCTAACCACTGACTGTTTATGGGGAGGTCAGGAGGTCATAGGCAGGGTCAAAGGGCAAAGCTGAAGACGCGTAGGGGTTATGTATCATAACTGAAAAGATTTGGGGACACTCAATAGTTTGTCAGTTTCTCCCAATAGTCCTCTGCCTCATAATCAGAATTACTGGGGGTGGGAAGGGTCATGATAGGTGAATAAAATGTCAAGTTTGAACATAGTACTGTAGTGTGAAGTGTGAGTCAATGACAGCCAGCCAATGAAAGGAAGAGCCAATGGCACTCACCTCAGACATACTTGGCAACCAATGAATAGTCACCATCCAATGAGCACTCACCTCTGAGATGTTAGAGACGGGCTCCACCTGCACCTCGGTGGAGCTTACAATCTCAGTGGAGGTGGTGTCCAGGATCTCCACGGCAACGGAGATGAGGAGGCGGGCCCTGAAGGACACGCCTTCCCCCAGCCCCTCATTCAGGTCCTGGTGCTCATCCATCAGAGTATACTGGCGGGTGGAGCCATACATGTTGACCCAGGCTGGGCCCATGGTGGGCAGGAACCCTGGGGGAGGAGAGGAGGGATGGAGGATGACAGGAGAATTAAAAAGAACAGGGTCCTGAGAAAGGCTATTGTATGTGTAGTGTGGTGCAGGAGCAGCAAACTATTGTTGACTTTCTTTAATCAGTTGGGTCAAAGCCCTCTAATGACTTGGTAAAAACGACTGAATACCAAAATGACTAATGTGCTACAATAGGATTGGATTGACCTGATGTCCTGTCAATATTATACTTTTGAGCTATGGTTGGGGTAGATATCACCTCACCTTTGTCACCATCATTGGCGATCTTTCGCAGGTCAATGAAGTGTGTTCCTATGGCGACGTCGTTGACTTTGTCGGAGTCTCTTATCTGGACCTTCATGCGTTTGCAGAGCGGAGGAAACATCTCAGTGAAGGCAACCTGCTCATTCCAGATCGGCTCATAACTACTCTTCTGGACCGACGTCTTCCCCTGGAGGAAATAACATCAACATACGTTTGGATTGACAAACACTCAATTCTTACACTAAGACACCTCATATTATGTAAATGGTACTGTATACTGTATTTATAATGTGATTTTGATCCATTATGTAATGTTATTTGTCTCTTTTGTTTATCAAATAAATAAATAAAACAGAGAAGTCATGATCTCCTGAGTAGTGGGCGGCTGTAGTGGACCTACCTTCTGTCCAGCGAAGAGCACTTGTACGTAGGGGTCCACCAGGTCTCTGTTCTCCCCTATGAAGGCCTTCTTAACGTTGGCCATGATGCTAGTGTTCATCTTGGGAAGGCCCTCAGCACGGTAGATCTTCACGTAGAACCGTGCCCACTGCCTCTCCAAGGGAACTCCCTCCGGAAGTAGGAGGTTCCTGACCAGAAACAAAAGGTTGAAAAAAGGTTGTAGGTCATTCTCTGGCCTTTATTATTTTATCCCCTAACCCCTCTAAACATTGTATTGCCAATCTACAACATTCTCTGACCACTTTACAACATTGTATTACCATTCTTCAACGTTCTCTGACCATTCTACAACTTTGTATTGCCATTCTACAACATTCTCTGACCACTTTACAAGATTGTATTGCCATTCTTCAACATTCTCTGACCATTCTACAACATTATATTGCCATTCTTCAACATTCTCTGACCATTCTACAACATTGTATTGCCATTCTACAACATTCTCTGACCACAATACAACATTCTATAACCCTTCTACAACATTCTCTTACCCTTCTATATCGTCTTCGTCCGTCTCGTTGGCCTTGTGGGGAGTCTTGATGTTGTCCCCCTTCCCCACCACGGCGATGTCACACTTGATGTAACCTTTGCAGCCGGCCGTGATGTCATCAGGGTCAGACAGCGTGGCCCACTTGTGGTAGAATTGGTGCTCTGTGACAGACAAGTATCCATCCATAAATCAATCAATCATTATTTCAACCAATTACAGGAACTAAATGTAACCATGGCAACCATCAGTCTCAGGACCTTACCACTTACCAGGCTGGGAGTAGACTGTGCCAACATCCAGCTTGAAGGTGCCAACCAAGGTGCCACTCCGCAGCAGGTTCTTAGAGTGGATCACCTGGTGAGAGAGATAGATAGATAGATAGATAGATAGATAGATAGATAGATAGATAGATAGATAGATAGATAGATAGATAGATAGATAGATAGATAGATAGATAGATAGATAGATAGATAGATAGATAGATAGATAGATAGATAGATAGATAGATAGAGAGATAGAGAGATAGATAGAGAGATAGAGAGTGTACTGCAAACATATGGGCTTCATTGGACATACATATGGGCTACAGAGCCTGAACGGCTGTTTGTTGTTGTTGTTTTGGAAGCAGTATAGAGCAGTGGAGCAGGATTAAGAGTGTGTGGGAGAAGGATACAAATGTTGGTTTCATGCTCAAAGGCTGTTACTATGAAGAGAAAGATGGAGTGGCTGTGTGTGTGTGTGTGTAGAAGAGCCACTTACTGAGAGCTTCAGGATCTTGTCAAACATGACATCTGGTGGGACGTGGAAGTCAAAGACAAAATACTGTGGGGAGAAGAAGAGAAGGCATGATGTGATGTGACAGATACAGTATCCTTACTTTCTGTCAAATTACCCATGATGATGATCATTCCATTGTGTTCAGTAGGTTCAAATGTTGAATTTAATCAATAAACCCCTGAAGGATTCATTGATCATGGACACAACACACATGTTTCTACATGCTTGATAGGGCTGGGAATTGCCATGGACCTCACGATACGATATTATAAAATAAAATAAAATTGTATTGGTCGCAAACACATATTTAGCAGATGTAATTGCGGGTGAAGTGAAATGCTTGTTTTCCAAGCTCCAACAGTGCAGTAATATCGTAATATCTAACAATGCACAACAATATTTTAAGAATGTGAAATGTCCGAATAATAGTAGAGAGAATGATTTATTTCAGCTTTTATTTCTTTCATCATATTCCCAGTGGGTCAGAAGCTTACATACACTCAATTAGTATTTGGTAGCATTGCCTTTAAATTGTTTAACTTAGGTCAAACATTTTGGGTAGCCTTCCACAAGCTGCCCACAATAAGTTGGGTGAATTTTGTCCCATTCCTCCTGACAGAGCTGGTGTAACTGTATCAGGTTTGTAGGCCTCCTTGCTCACACACACTTTTTCAGTTCTGCCCACATATTTTCTATAGGATTGAGGTCAGGGCTTTGTGATGGCCACTCCAATACCTCGACTTTGTTGTCCTTAAGACATTTTGCCACAACTTTTGAAGTATGCTTGGGTCCATTTGGTAGACCCATTTGCGACCAAGCTTTAACTTCATAACTGATGTCTTGAGATGTTGCTTCAATATATCCACATAATTTTCCTTCCTCATGATGCCATCTATTTTGTGAAGTGCACCAGTCCCTCCTGCAGCAAAGCACCCCCACAGCATGATGCTGCCACCCCCGTGCTTCACGGTTGGGATGGTGTTCTTTGGCTTGCAAGCCACCCCCTTTTTTCCTCCAAACATAACGATGGTCATTATGGCCAAACAGTTCTATTTTTGTTTCATCAGACCAGAGGACATTTCTCCCAAAAAACAGTTGCAAACCGTAGTCTGGCTTTTTTATGGCGGTTTTGGAGCAGTGGCTTCTTCCTTGCTGAGCGGCCTTTCAGTTTATGTCGATATAGGACTCATTTTACTGTGGATATAGATACTTTTGTACCTGTTTCCTCCAGCATCTTCACAAGGTCCTTTGCTGTTGTTCTGGGATTGATTTGCACTTTTCGCACCAAAGTACGTTCATCTCTAGGAGACAGAACGCGTCTCCTTCCTGAGCGGTATGATGGCTGCGTGGTCCCATGGTGTTTATACTTGCGTACTATTGTTTGTACAGATGAACGTGGTACTTTCAGGCGTTTGGAAATTGCTCCCAAGGATGAACCAGAATTGTGGAGGTCTACAATTGTTTTTCTGAGGTCTTGGCTGATTTCTTTTGATTTTCCCATGATGTCAAGCAAAGAGGCACTGAGTTTGAAGGTAGGCCTTGAAATACATCCACAGGTACACCTCCAATTGACTCAAATGATGTCAATTAGCCTATCAGAAGCCATTACATTATTTTCTGGAATTTTCCAAGCTGTTTAAAGGCACAGTCAACTTAGTGTACGTAAACAGTGAAATACAGTAAATTATAAGTGAAATAATCTGTCTGTAAACAATTGCTGGAAAAATTACTTGTGTCATGCACAACGTAGATGTCCTAACCGACTTGCCAAAACTATAGTTTGTTAACAAGACATTTGTGGAGTGGTTGAAAAACAAGTTTTAATGACTCCAACCTAAGTGAATGTAAACTTCCGACTTCAACTGTATATATGTGATGGGATGTATAGACATTGTGGACAGTAGGTGGATACTTAGTTGCCGATATGATATGATATATATTGCGATTCTCACGATTCTCACGATTCTATATATATTGCGGTTTGATATGGTGATTTCATTGCGATTCGATGTTCCATACATATTGCTCACCATATGTCTGGTGCAGAGGGACAAGAGAGAGCCATGAGTTTTGATCAATCATGGAAATAAAAGTGCTGAAAATACCTTGGCTCCCTATATAGAAAGAAGATGGAGAACAGGCTACGAAGGAAAGATACTGGAGTTTTGGTGCAGGTACAGAAAACTAGTAAAAAGTAATATTGCTAAAATAATATTGCGATATTGTCAAAACAATACGATATGATATATCTTCCAAAATAATACCCCGATTTGTAACTGTATCGATTTTTCCCCCATCACTAATGCTTGAGGTGAATAACTAACAGAATGCAACCAACAATTATCAAATTAACATACTTTCAGCATTGGTTGAATCAATTCTGAGTCACGTCCAGGTCAATTTAATTGAATACAAGGGTAATTATTACAGATTAATGCCTAGCAGGATCAGGACACCAGCTGAATAATGCTTTGACGTTTAGCTCAGCCTCCCTCTCGTGAAATAAGAGTGTAATGTGTATAGCTCAAGGCAGAAAGGATTCCTGTTGAGCACAGAGCAGATGCTTTGATCTGAACAGAGCCAGGCTGGTGCTGGAGCCTCTGGACTGAGACTGGCTGCTCTTCTCACTTTTTCAACTCAATTATACACAATGTAGAAGAGAGAGAGAGAGAGAGAGAGAGAGAGAGAGAGAGGGGAAGAGAAAGAGAGAGGAAGAGGGAGAAAGAGAGAGAAAGAGAGAGAAAGAGAGAGAGAGAGAGAGAGAGAGAGAGAGAGAGAGAGAGAGAGAGAGAGAGAGAGAGAGAGAGAGAGAGACTTACCTCATTGTAGTAGGGGCAGTTGGTGGACTCCTTCATGGAGGTGTACTTCTTGTCGTCCCCAATCTCCACACAGACCACAGGGTCCATGTTAAGGCCAACCAGCTGCCTGGCCTCCACCACTGTGATGCTAATCTAATGGGACATATTAGCATTAGGATTGCTGGAGGATTATCGCAATCAGGAGGGAATAAGCAGGGAGGGAATCTTCCAACTGGGAATCATTTCATTCCAAAACATTCCGCCCAAATGTGAATTATCCCTGCTGTGAACATCTCAGTCAGAGTGCATTGTTGTGGTTTCTGGTCACAGAGACTGGTACAGTACATTTGAGGCCAGTGTGCTGTTGTTGGCAGGGGAGACTCAGAGTTTCTGCAGCCTGGAGTTAGGCTACGTTAATGAGCTGCTAGACTCTGTTCTTCCCACCCAGCCTTCACACTATCCTCTAATTGTATCCTTACTGGAGCTTTCTTTCTTTCCTCTCTACTACCCTTCACCCCTCCATCCTTCCTTCTCTCCTCTCTCCAAGAACTCCAGCAGCTATTGTGTAATGCAGCTAAAGATGCATACAGTATATGGGTCATTCTACAGAAGTGAGGCAAATTGGCGGTTGAAATTTTTTCCCAAACTTTCAGCACACGTCTTCCAACATATTTCAGTTAGACATATATACTACTCACACACTTGGTTTGTATTGCATATTTGAAATATTTACCTGAATTCCTTACCACCCCACTAAATTTGTCACTACCGAAATATAATGAAAAAGTTGCAATAAAGGGAGTGTCACGCTTACTCACGCTCCCTCTCTCCAGCGCTTGACGTCGCGGGTCTACTAACCACCTGCCCTGGCAACCATTATTACGCACACCTGCTCCCCATCATTACGCACACCTGGACATCATCATCACCTTGATTACCTTCCCTTTATTTAGCCCTCAGTAGCCTCAGTCATCAGACAGTATTGGTTTGTTTTCATGTTCAGTACTCATCCCCTGTTTTGTTCATTTGCCTTGCTTCATTGTTACTAAACTCTCCTTCTGCACCTGCTTCCTGACTCCCTGCGTATACGTCACAGGGAGAACCATGCACAGTAGTGATCATTTTGATTAACCTTCTATTAAAGATTCATTTTAGAAAGCTTGCCAGCTTCACATTCCAGCTCAGGCTTCATCCGTACTACGACGATGGATATTGCTTGTCTGCCTGCCGCAAATTCTAACAGGCTTGTAACTGCATGCGCCTGTCGCACGTGGCTAGTCAAACGTCAAACTCTTCATTGAGACAATGCTGAAACATAAATATTTTTGACGAGTCAGTGCCATATTTTTATTTGTGCCGAAATCAAAATGAAAGGAAAGTTATCTTGCAAATTAATCAGGCTATAGTGTGAAATAGGCTTGTTGAAGTGCCGTCTTTATTTGATTACTAATCTTTAATGCCGTCTATGGTGTGCACCTTTTTTCCCACTTCTATCAATAAAATACAGTAATTGTATTAAGTCATACACAAGTTTTACTGTGCGTGAAGTTTCAAATGCATTCTGTAAAAAAAATAACACACAAAAAAACAGTTGATTAATAAAATATTGAATCAGTCATCTTCCTCAAATGAAGGGGATGATGGTGCAATCTTTGTGAGAGGCAGGGAATATGATTTTATTGGTCCTCAACTAATGGCTCAGACACTCAGTTAGCCCTGAGTTAGCCTGCCCAGGAGCAGGTTAGTTCTGAAAGATTCATTGCCATAGAAATGTACCTGGCTAAAAGCTGTCCCGAGTTGAACTCAGAGTTGACCAAAGTGATTCAAACCATGTAAGTAGTATAGGGATCAGGAGCCAAGGCCAAGATTTATACCAGGACATTGGTCCATTGGCTCTTTCTTCAATTGTAAGAAACTTAAGTAGAGTAAACTTGAGTACAGTACAGTACAGTACAGTAGAGTAGTGTACAGTACAGTACAGTATAGCACATTATAGACGTCTATGTTTTGGCCAAATAGATGTCAATGTTTGGGCTCTTGGAGGGTTGGAGCCCCCTGCTGGCTATGGCACAGTCTTTTAATGTGTGTGTTTCGGTTTTAATGTGTGTGTTTCGGTAGTGACATCAAAAGTTGGGACAGCATCTTTTAGATAATTCGTTTTTAAATCGTTTTTGGGGGGTGGGACTGCAATTTGCACCACTTCTGTAGAATCACCCATATACAGTGGAGACAAACACACACAGCTGGCAGGGGTAGAGTTAAGCCTAGTCCCTTTAGGGCAGGCATGGTTACATCTGACCACAGTGCATACAATCTTAATTTTCAGGAGTGCCTGTAGCCATCAAGGTGAAAATCTGTCGATGTGTCCTTGAGCAAGGCACCTAATCCTACTTTACGCCATGGCTGACCCTGTAAAACAACACATTTCTAGGGTGGCAAGTAGCCTAGCGGTTAGAGCGTTGGGCCAGTAACCGTAAAGGTCACTAGTTCAAATACCTGAGCTAAAAAATCTGTCAATGTGCCCTTGAGCAAGGCACTTACCCTAATTTGCTCGAGAGGTGCCATACTGCTGTATAACAACACATTTTACTGCACCTATCTTGTGTATGTGACAATAAAAAAAAAAAAAAATTGTACATATTTGTTTTGGAGGGGGGTGTAATTCTTTCCCTCCTCTCACCTGATAATCCACAGGCCTCCCAGAACTAGGCTCCATCTTGATATCAGGCTTTGATCTGAGAGAGTCAAGGAGACAAAAATCAGAGCTTTTCCTTGTGGAGTGTAGCCTGCAGTTTGCTATTTACTCAACTAGTACTGTGGTGTGGGTTATAAACATGAATAAGAGTGTTATAAAGGGTCAATGGATCATTGCAGTAACATGAACAATAAGTAAGTACATAAATAAGTACACAGACCTCTTGTTGGAGACATTGGTGGTGACGGCAGTGACAGAGGCCAGGGAGATGCAGTCTGGGTCCAGACCCCCCACCCCTCCCAGACGCATGGCCTTCCTGTCCAGATACTCCATGTCCAGTATGGCTGGCTCATCTTGGGGGTGGCATCACAATAACCCATGTTACTTTATGCCAGGGGAGGGAAACCCTCTTCCTGGAGAGCCACAGGTCTATCTCTATCTCTGCTCTAATACATCTGATTCAGCTTATCAAAGTCTGGATGGGCAGCTGATTAGTAAAAGCCTACCTTTCTTGTGGTCGTCCTTGGAGCTCTTGGTCTTGCCGAGCTTCATGGCTGAGAATACCCCCTTCCCCACCCTGAGGGAGGAAGAGAAGAGGAGGAGAAAGTAAAATAAATATAAAGAAACTACTGAAATCCTACAAATCATGTCAAATATCTGGGAAGACCTACTGTACCACTTTGGGGATAATGACAAAGACTATTTCCCCAAATTCATGAACTGTTCTCATTATGCTGACATTCAGAGGACAGTTAACTCTCATGTAGGGACCTATATATTAATCTGAGGAGGACCTCATTGAACAAAGAACCATATGAACGGTTCAGTAATACATTATGAAAAACTACAGTAACTAACTAAACCCTACACCAGGGGTAGGCAACCCTGTTCCTGGATTGCCACAGTTACTGCAGGATTTTGTTCGAACTAGGCACCACACTTGACCAACTAAGCTAATTTCAAACATACACTACATTACCAAAAGTATGTGAACATCTCATTCCAAAATCATGTGCATTAATATGGAGTTGATCCCCCCCTTTCCTGCTATAACAGCCTCCACTGTTCTGGGTAGGCTTTCCACTAGATGTTGCAACATTGCTGCGGTGACTTGCTTCCATTAAGCCACAAGAGCATTAGTGAGGTCGGTCACTGATATTAGGCGATTAGGCCTGGCTCGCAGTCGGCGTTACAATTCATCCCAAAGGTGTTCGATGGGTTTGAGGTCAGGGCTCTGTGCAGGCCAGTCAAGTTCTTCTACACCGATCTCAACAAACCATTTCTGTATGGACCTCGCTTTGTGCATGCTGAAATAGGAAAGGGCCTCCCCCAAACTGTTGCCATAAAATTGGAAGCACAGAATCATCTAGAATGTCATTGCATGCTGTAGCGTTGATTTCCCTTCACTAGAACTAAGGGGCCGAACCATGAAAAACAGCCCCAGACCATTATTCCTCCTCCATCAAACTTTACAGTTGGCACTCTGCATTCAGACAGGTAGCGTTCTCCTGGCATCCGCCAAACCCAGATTTGTCCGTCGGACTGCCAGATGGTGAAGCGTGATTCATCACTCCAGAGTCCAATGGCAGTGAGCTTTACACCACTCCAGCCGACGCTTGGCATTGCGCATGGTGATCTTAGGCTTGTGTGTGGCTGCTCGGCCATGGAAACCCATTTCATGAAGCTCCCAACGAACAGTTCTTGTGGTGACGTTGCTTCCAGAGGCAGTTTGGAACTCGGTAGTGAGTGTTGCAACCGAGGACAGACAATTTCTACGCATTACGCGCTTTAGCACTCAGCGGTCCCATTCTGTGCGCTTGTGTGGCCTACCACTTCGCGGCTGAGCCATTGTTGCTCCTAGACGTTTCCACTTTTTACATTTTTAGTCATTTAGCAGACGTTCTTATCCAGAGCGACTTACAGTTAGTGAGTGCATACATTTTTCATACTGCTCTAGCAGGGCAGAAATTTGATGAACTAACTTCTTGGAAAGGTGGCATCCTATGAAGGTGCCACGTTGAAAGTCACTGAGCTCCTTAGTAAGGCGATGGCTGTATGGCTGAAATAGCCAAATCCACTAATTTGAAGGGGTGTCCACATACTTTTGTGTATATAGTCTACCTGGTCTTCCAGGTCAGTTCAATCAAAAACATGAAATGCCTGTGGCACTCCAGAACGACGGTTGCCTACCCTGCCCTAAACCAACTTAACCCCTTGCACCATCAGGAGAGAAACATTTAGCAGAGATGAACATCACATGGATGAGACAGTCTCTTCACCCCCGACCCCCATCACAATAGAACACAGTGGTGTCCAATAACAACACACAGTTATTACAGAGGATCACATATCACCACCACAACAAAGGCCTGGACCGACAAATAAGGTCCTTAATAATAAAAAACTATGAGCGTGACCGTCCAATTAGCTGCAGATATAGATACATGTCAGATAGAAGATTTTTCTGGAAGGTTTTCTGTTTGTGGAGCAGTTGATCAGAGTTCAATTTCTGCTTTCCATCTTTCCTTTCATTAATTCACTGATATCTATCAAACCCTCTTTTGATAAGAACCATAAAATGAAGGCGATAAGATAAAGTGTTCTTTCAAGAAAATATATAATGTTACACTGTATTCAACTTGACAGGTTTGGGAGGATGAACTGGAAAGGGAAAATCCTTCAGAAAGAAGCAACATACAGTAAGACTACAAAAGCAATTGTTCTCTCAAGGCTGATGTGTCTGCATAATATTAAAAAATAGCCAGGGTCTAGCCACGCTTCTCCTAGTCATTTCAAATCAAGGTCAAACACATGCAAGGCAGAACAGACTTGAATAAAACCCACATTATCAAACATATTCATGACAAGTCAGCTTTTGTGTGTTCAACTGACAAGCCACACATCTACTCACCTAGTAACTATACTATTATTATTGACATTATCACAATGCAATGGACTTTAGATTGTAATATTTGTAAATCTGTTCAACAAAGCCAAATACATCTCAAAACAACGCAAGAATGCAACCATCAGGTGTGGACTACAGATGTAGGATCTTAATTTGAGCCAGTTTGCTACAGCAGGAAAATAATCCTGCAGCAACAGGAAATGTGAATTATTATGTGGATTATAATTAATGGACCATTTTTGTAGGGGTTGATACATTGTTCTTTAGGGAAAATCAAGTCTGACATTTTAAAGTGGAAATTACAAACTTTACAAAGCCTTTTTAAACCTCAAACACACTACAAGTTTGCATTTCCTGCTGTGAAGGAAAATTCTCAGCAACAAAAGAGTGATCAAATTAAGATCATACAGCCTCAGTCAGATTAACAAACATTTAACCTTTTACTGCAGTGGGCTAAATCTGGGTCACACAGAGTGATTCTTGGTAGTCTTAAACAAATCTATACACCTCACACACCTGGTTATTGGCTTAAAAAAATAAGACACTTTTGCCATGTCAGATATAGAGTTGAAATGTATTCAATTTTGAGTTTGCATCCTAATATTACAGAAGACTGAAATATAACAAAATTGTTTGACATAGAAACACCGGATTTCTGTCATAAAAATCCATATTTATTTCATATGAAATTAGGAAAAATATTAATAACATTCCACCCACGAGGCTAAAGAGGGCGCTTTTGGTCACTAACTGCAGGAAAGGGCTATGCAGATCATACTAATCAATACGCAAATGCAAGTGGTTTATACGTACCATAGGAAAGATACCAAGGGTCCAAACCCAGCTCAGGATGACAACACTAGCTACCTCCCTGTCTCTCAACAGAATAAGCTTCAACTGTCCCTCATTCACTCTATTCTATACTTAGAGTTCCTTCCATAAACAGGAGCCTAGCTCACAGGCACACTAGAATCCAGGTAGGTAGGTAAAGAGGAATACAGGTGTGCATGCAGGGAGCCAGAGGAGGGAGAGGCAGGTGAGAGTATGAATCTAAGGCTGGAGATGATACAGCAGTGCAGAAGCTGCTGAGGTGTTGGGGAGGAGGGAGGGGGAGCACTGATGACCAAATAATATGAGTGTAGCCAAGCATGGCAAGGGATCCATTGGAGCACATATACAGTACACTCTGAAACGCAGACACACACGGGCACGAAAGCACACACAAGGGTTGGAACCGGTTCAGGGAACAGAACTGAAAACCGGAAAATAACAAAACATTTTGAGGAACAGAATCAGAACCGGGAACAAAAGTGATCTATACTGTTCCGGAACAGAACTGTTATTTTACAAGCATGGAGACCGGTTAATAACGTTATTTTACGTTATGGGCATTTTTTCCCAGTCCCATAAAAAATGCAACAAAGCGCCTATGCAAAGCCCTCACTCTTTTTCCAGTGTCTGCCTGCCAGCTGAAACTCTTTGCTAGTGTGTGCAGGCTACCTGCCCCTCCCCCTCCGAAACATAAGGTACTGTAGCCTATTGACGTTACAAGCGTGATTCAGAAATTAGGGAGAGATATTTTTAACTAGAGAAGAATGGATTCACTTTTTCAATGCTAGTTAAGGATAATATAGTTATCATGTTTCACATTTGATTTATTAATTACAAAAAGGTAAGACATGTTTTTATTTTAATTCTGGTGCCACTCTGCGCACACACAAGCTTGTTAGCATGGTCCAATGTTAAGCCAACTCTCAGAAGTTCAAAGACATTCAAAGTTCCTTCATAGAAGCCGCTCCTCCGTAGGTATAATTCTGTGGGACTAATTCAGTTAATGCATGTCATAAAAAGATGGCCAGCGCTTCAAGTCAAGCCTCCTCCTCCACCCTCTCTAGTTCTCTCCTCACCCGCAAAATTTCAGTTGCATCTCGCGCCTACACTTGTCTGTCCAATGCATGTCAACTACTAGCCCATTTCAGAGGTTTAAAAATGTTTGAACCAGTTCATAACTTTATTTTGCTGGTCAAAACAGTTGAACAGAACAAAACTATTGGAAAATAATTTTGTTTCCAACCCCTGACACACGCACGCACACACACACACACACACACACACACACACAAACACACACACTGTGGTGGTGGTAGAAGTATTTGGCCTCTCACTCTGTCAGAGCAGAACGCTACTGTTGAATGAACTGGGAAGATTAAAGAGGAAAGTTTGGAATCTGTCTGTCAGAGAACTGTAGAGGATCACAGCGTCTTATTGCAGTCAGCAGGAACAAATTGGAGGAGATGGAACTGGAGCAGACAGACTCAGAAAGCTCCACCACAGAGTGAGCTGTCACCAGGGATGAAAACCCACAGAAAAATGGGCTTAATACACATCAACGCCTCTATAACAAAGAGACCAAAGAGACACTCTAATAAAGTTACCAACACTACAAAAGAAACACAGAGCCGACAGAGTGATACCTACTTCTCCTTTCTTCCTTTTCCAGTCTTCTCTTTTCCTTTGCTGTGCCAAGCACATAGTGAATGCAGATTGGGGAAAAAAGAGTGGTTAACAAGCATCACTATCTTCAGAGAGAAGCCGTGTCAGAGCGAAAGAAAGAGAACTGATTGAGAGGCTTTGCCTTTTTGCTGTTGTTGTTTAATCAGTGACCCGGTGACTCTAGTTTAATAAAGAGAGTATAGACAGGGCTGTGTGAGACTGTATGAAAGGTTAGTGAGTAGGCAGAGCAGAGAGATGGAGTGATGCGAGATGGAAATTAAAAACTGACTGAACTTCAGAAAGGGTAAATCTGAACAAATATGCTGCTGGAGGGACAATTTCTGCACTGTTTTCTTTCTCTCTCGAGGTGATGGAATTCCAACTCAATGAACAAAAGTTACATTATCCCTAAAATGAGATAGGTAACGATGTTTTTATAAAGTATATATGAGGGAGTACTATGAAGTCTTTATGAGCAGTAATACAAGCTCTGTGTAATCAGAACAATGTTACAAAGTACCTAGTCTTTTTGTTCTTCTTTTTATTTCAACTGAAATGGAAGAAAAACCAAGTAATCAACAACAAAGAGTGAATCTGTAATTCAAAACACTGCAAACCAAACTAATCAAATCACATCGAACCAATCAAAACCACACAAACTGTATGCTTGAATCAGGTTGTAGAGTAACTCATCAGACCAACATTAATTTGACATTTTAGTCATTTAGCAGACGCTCTTATCCAGAGCGACTTACAGTTAGTGAGTGCATACATTTTCAATACTGATTAATGACTGATCAATCTTGATGTAACCAACCCCCTGCTACCGACCATGTCGATTAATACTGATCAATATTATCTATAGAGTGATTTGGTCTAATTACAAGGGATATTTTGTATTCAGTAAATAATGAATAAGAGTGCTCCTGTATGTGTATCATGACTCATGGGATGGTTGTCACATTGATATTGTGATTGCTTGTCAATCTGACAACCATCCCCATTGAAACAATGTACCCAGTAAGCTATTGACTTGGAAAATACGTCTAGAAGACTTATTTTCCGGATGTTGAAAAGACATCTACGTTTCACAAGTTTGGACAGCACAGCACAGCACAGCACAGTACAGTAGAGTTTAATTCAGCAGAGTACAGTACAGTTGAGTACAGTAGGGTACAACACAGTACATTATACTGTGCTCTACTCTACTCTACTCTACTCTATTGTATTCTTCTGTGCTGTACTGTACTGTCTAAATGTATGATTGGTTCTGATTTGGTAGGGTCAGCCCAAAAATCTACAAAAAAGGATGTCCAAAAGACGTTGGCGTTGGTCTGTGCTCAGTGGTTATTTCTCAAGTAAATGTACAGTATATTGTAGTGTTCTACAGTATGTCCCATGAGAGACGTGTATAGTATGTGTTTGAATAATTTTTGCCGTGTGTGTGTGTGTGTGTGTGTGTGTGTGTGTGCGTGCGTGCGTGCGTGCGTATGCTAGTGTGTGTGCATGTGTGCGCACACATGCGTGTGTGTGTGTAATATGTATGCCACTTCAGCATTAAACCAGTACCTGATAGGATTCAGCTTCTCACTGCAGGAGAAACACACAGCATGCTTAACATACTGCACAGTACACAACCTGATGTACTTCACACATACGTGTGTTCATAAATAATACATACAAGTATTAATAAATCAAGTCACTACAAATCAAGTTATGTGTAAAGATAGATGAGTAGAGAATACATCAGTAAACCAGGACAATTGCCAACAGTCTTTATGATGTACCTGGCAGCTATAGCCTGGTATCCATCACCATGTATGGTCTTGGGTTCAAACCCTCTGGACCAGAAAGAAAATAAATGAATAATTTATCTTAGTTTATCAATACAACATCGAATGAGAGTCAGAGTTACAAGAGAGGGATAGGAAGAGAGGGATAGTAAGAGCGAGAGAGAGAGAGAGAGAGAGAGAGAGAGAGAGAGAGAGAGAGAGAGAGAGAGAGAGAGGAGAGAGAGAGAGAGAGAGGAGAGAGAGAGAGAGAGAGAGAGGGGGAGAGAGAGGGGGAGGAAGGAGGGGAGAGTGGAAAATAGATAAAAAGAGAGAGAGGGAGAGAGGCAGGGGAGAATGGTCAGTGTAACAGAAAAAACAGGTAATATAATAATATATATATAATATAATATAATAATAATAAAGTTTCACCACAAAGCTCTGTTCTGCTCTGGGGGCTCTGCTGAATAGAGTCTCTCTCACACACACACCCACACACGCACACACGCTCGCATGCACACACACACACGCACACAGTGTTCTCTCAAGAGTGTCTCGTGGTCAGATGGTCAGACAATGATCATGTGAACCTGAGAACCAGAGCAGTGGTTCAGTGTTCCGGAGCGGACCGTGGCGGTCTAAAAACGTATCGACTGTTCCACTGCTGTCTCAGGAAGTTTTCTCTATTATTAATATTAACATTTTAGTCATTTAGCAGGCGCTGTTATCCAGAGCGACTTACAGTTAGTGAGTGCATACACTGGCCCCCCGTGGGTATCGAACCCACAATCCTGCCGTTGCAAGCGCCATGCTCTACCAACTGAGCTACAGGAGGAAAACCGCAATGGTTTTCTAAATCTCTATTTAAATTACAATTATGACACAAGCGTTGCAATCCGACTTCTATAAAAATGTAACCTTTTGAAATATGACCGTCAATATTACATTTACATTTTGTCACGCCCTGGCTCTGGGGACACTTGTATGTTGAGCCAGGGTGTGCATTTCATTTTGTTTATCTAGTATGTGTATTTCTATGTTGGCCTGAGTGGCTCCCAATCAGAGGCAACAAGTGTCAGCTGTCGTTGGTTGTCTCTGATTGGGAGCCATATTTAAACTGTCTGTTTCCCATTTGTGTTTGTGGGATCTTGTTTCAAGTCTGTTTATGTTAGACCGTGAACTGTCACGTATCGTTTGTTGTTTTTGATCGTGTCTCTAATTAAAGAGTATGTTTGCCTGCAACGCTGCGCCTTGGTCCTCATCTTTGGTAGACGATCGTGACAGAAGATCCCACCTCGACTGGATCAAGCAGCGTGACGAGGAGAGAGGATGGACTTGGGAGGAGATGAGTGCGAGTCTGGCAAGAGGGATGGAGGCCTTGGCCACGGGTAGGAGTGAAGCCCATAATTTTTTTAGGGGGGGGGCTAACGCCGTGGACGACGGGGCAGCAGGAGGCCGCCAGGTTACGGGAGTCACTGGTCACCAGGGGGAAGGAGGATGTAGAGGCACAGCTAGAGGTACTGGCGTGTGTTGCCAGTCCGGTCCGGCCTGTTCCTGATCCCCACGTAGGGCCAGTGGTGTGTGTTCCCAGTACGGTCCGGCCTGTTCCTGCCACTCGCACCAAGTCAGTGGTGCGCTTCGTCAGCCCGGCACGGCCCGTTCCTGCTCCCCGCACCAAGTCAGTGGTGCGCTTCGTCAGCCCGGTCCGGCCCGCTCCTGCTCCCCGCACCAAGTCAGTGGTGCGTTTCGTCAGCCCGGCGCGGCCCGTTCCTGCTCCCCGCACCAAGTCAGTGGTGCGCTTCGTCAGCCCGGCACGGCCCGTTCCTGCTCACCGCACCAAGTCAATGGTGCGCTTCGTCAGCCCGGTCCGGCCCGCTCCTGCTCCCCGCACCAAGTCAGTGGTGCGTTTCGTCAGCCCGGCGCGGCCCGCTCCTGCTCCCCACACCAAGCCAGTGGTGTGCGTCGTCAGTCCGGCACGGCCCGTGCCTGTTCCACCGGTGGCTGGTCCGGCACCGGTCAGATGCTTCACGCCGGAGCTAGAGCAATCCGCTCCACCAGTGTGCAGTCCAGCTCCGGCCAGCGGGGCCAGACCGGACCAGGGGTTACTTCATCCTATCCCAGGTATTCCTTAAAGAGGTGGGGTTTCAAATGTCTCCGGAAGGTGGTGAGTGACTCCGCTGTCCTGGCGTCGTGAGGGAGCTTGTTCCACCATTGGGGTGCCAGAGCAGCGAACAGTTTTGACTGGGCTGAGCGGGAACTATGCTTCCGCAGAGGAAGGGGAGCCAGCAGGCCAGAGGTGGATGAACGCAATGCCCTCGTTTGGGTGTAGGGACTGATCAGAGCCTGAAGGTACGGAGGTGCCGTTCCCCTCACTGCTCCATAGGCAAGCACCATGGTCTTGTAACGGATGCAAGCTTCAACTGGAAGCCAGTGGAGTGTGCGGAGGAGGGGGGTGATGTGAGAGAACTTGGGAAGGTTGAACACCAGACGGGCTGCGGCATTCTGGATGAGTTGTAGGGGTTTAATGGCACAGGCAGGGAGCCCAGCCAACAGCGAGTTGCAGTAATCCAGACGGGAGATGACAAGTGCCTGGATTAGGACCTGTGCCGCTTCCTGTGTAAGGCAGGGTCGTACTCTCCGAATGTTGTAGAGCATGAACCTGCAGGATCGGGTCACCGCCTTGATGTTAGCGGAGAACGACAGGGTGTTGTCCAGGGTCACGCCAAGGCTCTTTGCACTCTGGGAGGAGGACACAACGGAGTTGTCAACCGTGATGGCGAGATCATGGAACGGGCAGTCCTTCCCCGGGAGGAAGAGCAGCTCCGTCTTGCCAGGGTTCAGCTTGAGGTGGTGATCCGTCATCCATACTGATATGTCGGCCAGACATGCAGAGATGCGATTCGCCACCTGGTTATCAGAAGGGGGAAAGGAGAAGATTAGTTGTGTATCGTCAGCGTAGCAATGATAGGAGAGGCCATGTGAGGATATGACAGAGCCAAGTGACTTGGTGTATAGGGAGAAAAGGAGAGGGCCTAGAACTGAGCCCTGGGGGACACCAGTGGTGAGAGCACGTGGTGCGGAGACAGCTTCTCGCCACGCCACTTGGTAGGAGCGACCGGTCAGGTAGGACGCAATCCAGGAGTGAGCCGCGCCGGAGATGCCCAGCTCGGAGAGGGTGGAGAGGAGGATCTGATGGTTCACAGTATCAAAGGCAGCAGACAGGTCTAGAAGGACAAGAGCAGAGGAGAGAGAGTTAGCTTTAGCAGTGCAGAGAGCCTCCGTGACACAGAGAAGAGCAGTCTCAGTTGAATGACCAGTCCTGAAACCTGACTGGTTTGGATCAAGAAGGTCATTCTGAGAGAGATAGCAAGAGAGTTGGCTAAAGACGGCACGCTCAATAGTTTTGGAAAGAAAAGAAAGAAGGGATACTGGTCTGTAGTTGTTGACATCAGTGGGATCGAGTGTTGGTTTTTTGAGAAGGGGTGCAACTCTCGCTCTCTTGAAGACGGAAGGGACATGGCCAGCGGTCAAGGATGAGTTGATCAGCGAGGTGAGGTAGGGGAGAAGGTCACCGGAGATGGTCTGGAGAAGAGAGGAGGGGATGGGGTCAAGGATTCAGCAGTGAGGAGAATGTGGCAAAGAGCTTCCTAGGGTTAGAGGCAGATGCTTGGAATTTAGAGTGGTAGAAAGTGGCCTTAGCAGCAGAAACAGATGAAGAAAATGTAGAGAGGAGGGAGTGAAAAGATGCCAGGTCGGCAGGGAGTTTAGTTTTCTTCCATTTCCGCTCCGCTGCCCGGAGCTCTGTTCTGTGAGCTCGCAATGAGTCATCAAGCCACGGAGCTGGAGGGGAGGACCGAGCCGGCCGGGAGGATAGGGGACACAGGGAGTCAAAGGATGCAGAAAGGGAGGAGAGGAGGGTTGAGGAGTCAGAATCAGGAGATTGGAGGGAGAAGGATTGAGCAGAGGGAAGAGATGATAGGATGGAAGAGGAGAGAGTAGTGGGAGAGAGAGAGCGAAGGTTGCGGCGGCGCGTTACCATCTGTGTAGGGGCAGAGTGAGTAGTGTTGGAGGAGAGCGAGAGAGAAAAGGATACAAAGTAGTGGTCGGAGACATGGAGGGGAGTTGCAGTGAGATTAGTAGAAGAGCAACATCTAGTAAAGATGAAGTCAAGCGTATTGCCTGCCTTGTGAGTAGGGGGGGACGGTGAGAGGGTGAGGTCAAAAGAGGAGAGGAGTGGAAAGAAGGAGGCAGAGAGAAATGAGTCAAATGTAGACGTAGGGAGGTTGAAATCCCCCAAAACTGTGAAGGGTGAGCCATCCTCAGGAAAGGAACTTATCAAGGCGTCAAGCTCATTGATGAACTCTCCAAGGGAACCTGGAGGGCGATAGATGACAAGGATATTAAGCTTAAATGGGCTAGTGACTATGACAGCGTGGAATTCAAATGAGGAGATAGACAGATGGGTTAGGGGAAAAATTGAGAATGACCACTTGGGAGAGATGAGGATTCCTGTGCCACCACCCCTCTGACCAGATGCTCTCGGGGTATGCGAGAACACATGGTCAGACGAGGAGAGAGCAGTAGGAGTAGCAGTGTTTTCAGTGGTAATCCATGTTTCCGTCAGCGCCAGGAAGTCGAGGGACTGGAGGGTAGCATAGGCTGGGATGAAGTCAGCCTTGTTGGCGGCAGAACGGCAGTTCCAGAGGCTGCCTGAGACCTGGAACTCCAGGTGTGTGGTGCGTGCAGGGACCACCAGGTTAGAGAGGCAGCAGCCACGCGGTGTGAGGCGTTTGTGTAGCCTGTGCGGAGAGGAGAGAACAGGGATAGGCAGAGGCATAGTTGACAGGCTGCAGCAGATGGCTACAATAATGCAGAGGAGATCGGAATGAAATGAACTAAACATCTGGGAAAGGAGAGAGCAGGCCTCCCTCACCAAAAAAAATAATATATATATATAACTCTCCCAACTTCCACCTCAGAAACTATCATTGTTTCACTGAACCACCCGAATAAAACTCTCCCAACTTCCACTTTAGAAATTAGAATTGTTGTAAACTACAGCAGACTGTTATCAGTAGCTGTAATTAAGTACAGCAGCTACCAACCACCTAACGTTAATGCCTCGGATAATGAGGTTAGAAAAACAGCTGAATGGTGGCAGCTAGCTGGCTCAATCACAGGTACTCTTAAGCATGAAATAACATTGGAAACAACTAACCACAGTTGCTAAAAGTTACCAGTAGCTACCTATCTCAAGAGCTTAGCCGTTCTGGCTGGTTAGGAATTGGTTTTCATGAAACAAGACTGAATTGGCTGCAGGGGGTATTGAATATGGCCTCTTAGCTATTGCTTAGATTTTTTTCCTCCTCCTCTGTGTACTGTAATTGCAATAAGGTTGTATTCTGGCTGCTGGTGTGGTATTTATTTCATCATTAGTGTCACACAGTAAGAGGCTTTATCAATATTTGACATAAGAGAACAATCCTTTGAGTATGCACCCTATACTGGATTAAAAACAGCCTTCCATTTGTGTGTGCATGCGTGAGTGGGAGGAGGAAGAGAGATGTGGCGAGAGAGTGAAAATACCAGGTTGATCACAAGAAAGAGCTGTCGACTTCAGATGTTTCAAAAGGTCCTGAGGACATCGATATAAGCCTTCCTCGGTGCTCACAAAAAAACAGTGGCACAGCACTGGGCTCAGAGACGGAGCACGCTGCTTAGACCACTGCACCAATGCAGTTCACAATTCTCTAGCAAGCAGGGAGAGTATGTGATGACACTTAATGGAAACAGCACATTGTTTTTTAATTATTTTGTTTGAAGCCTTCCCCAAACCATAGCCCTAACCTTAACCACTCTGAATTATTACCGAAACTTAACCATTTTAGCTATTTCTGTTTTAACCCTGTAACAACGCAGAATTAACCCTGTAACCACACAGAATTAATGAGTAAAAAATCGACATTCATCCAATTACGGCAAATTCTGAAGTGAAACTATGAGATTGCAAAATACAGCAGTTGACTGAGGAAGGAGGGAGGAGAGGCTGAATAGCAGTAGTGGCAAACTTTCACCAGGCTTTCTCTGAATCCCCCTCCATCTTAAATGTTTTATTCTGCTCTGCCCCCAATAGTGCTCTTGCATTTTTAAGTCTGGTATTGCATCAAGCTTCAGGCTGTTTCCTGCTTGTTGTTTCAAACACAACTCCTTCTCTAGGGCTGGGTAACATGCCTTGGATAAACCAATTAAAGCTAACCCACAGAAAAGGCTCTTTAGTGGAAATATGGGTGGCAGTTAGCTTAGTGGTTAAGAGCGTTGTGCCAGTAACCGAAAGGTTGCTGGTTCTAATCCCCGAGCTGACTAGGTGAAAAATCTGTCGATGTGTCCTTGAGCAAGGCACTTAATCCTAATTGCTCTGGATAAGAGCGTCTGCTAAAATGTAAAGAAAACATCTATGTTGACATCCTTAATGATGTCTGAACTCTTTAGGGTGACTCATTGTTTTCCCATAATCATCTCTAAACCTTGTATCATAATCCAACAAGGCCGGTATACTTCATTTAAAGTATCTCATTATAGAATTTATAAGGGAATTATCAGTCAAGATGAAATAGGCGACAGATTTAAGCATGGCACACAGGTGTTGCTATAAGGATTTACCCCAGGAGGCCGTTCTTGGGATCGTCATGGTGATCTCCTCTCACACCGTGGCTTTAGACAGGAAGTCAGAGAGGGTCACTTAACACGCTCAGTCAGTCAACGTAGTGGAGCAAAAAATTAAACACTGTACTCAGACACACTGAAGAAGACCTCGAGGGAAAATGGTAAAACACAACAAGGAAGAGTTGGTTGGAGATGCTTGCCATCGCACCAGGACACAGAAAATGCACAGCATGTGCATGAATTTCAGCACTGCAATAACATGAATCTAAAGTTGCCTCTACAACTAAGCTCTTCTCTGAGTACTTCAAACAAGCCATAGCTTCAAACAAAAAACACATTGCTACATTAGGAATCAAAGACTCCAGAACATTCTACCAGTGCTAAGTTCACATCGACCTCATTTGAATAAAGACCCTCTACATGAAAAACTTTTGTAATTTGTTAGCGCTGCTGTGAGCTCATACGGCCCCATAAAGACCTTCTACATTAAAGACTTAATGTAGTAAAGATGGCAAAAGATGGCGCTGACAGAGAAGGCCGTCATCTTACGAGTTCCAACCTGACTTTGCCATTTTGTGACTTTTTTTGTGTTTATCTGTACTGTTTTTGTACAGAAAGTTCCTAGTCTTATTACATATGACCGCCAACCACTTTTGGACATCATATTGACAGTTGCTAATGTCACGATCGTCGGATACAGAGGACCAAGGCGCAGCGTGGAAGGTGAACATATTTATTAAATAATGATTACACGAACAAAAACAACAAATCGATACGTGACGTCCAAAGGTGCAAAACACAAACCTACACAGGAACAAGATCCCACAAACACTGTGGGAAAACTGGCTGCTTAAGTATGGTTCCCAATCAGAGACAACAAGCAACAGCTGATACCCGTTGCCTCTGATTGAGAACCACACTGGCCAACATATAAATACTAAACTAGAACGAAAACAAATGAAAACTCACACCCTGGCTCAACATACTAGAGTCCCCAGAGCCAGGGTGTGACAGTACCCCCCCCCAAAGGCGCGGACTCTGACCGCGCCAACCAAACACCACAGGGGAGGGACCGGGTGGGCACTCCGCCTTGGCGGCGGATCCGGCTCCGGGCCTGATCCCCACTCCCTCTCTAACCCCCCAAAGTACCCCTGGTCCGGTCTGGCCCTGCTGACCGGAGCTGGACTGCACACTGGTGGAGCGGATTGCTCTAGCTCCGGCGTGAAGCAGCTGACCCGTGCCGAACCAGGCACCGGTGGAACAGGCACGGGCTGTGCCGGACTGACGACGCACACCACTGGCTTGGTGTGGGGAGCAGGAACGGGCCGAGCCGGGCTGACGAAACGCACCCCTGACTTGGTGCGGGGAGCAGGAGTGGGCCGGACCGGGCTGACGAAGCGCACCACTGACTTGGTGCGGGGAGCAGGAGCGGGCTGGACCGGGCTGACGAAGCGCACCACTGACTTGGTGCGGGGAGCAGGAGCGGGCCGAACCGGGCTGACGATGCGCACCATAGGCTTGGTGCGTGGAGCAGGAACAGGCCGGGCCGGGCTGACGACGCGCACCACAGGCTCGATGCGAGGAACAGGAACAGGCCGGACCGTACTGGGGACACACACCACTGGCCCTACGCAGGGATCAGGAACGGGCCGGACCGGACTGGTAACACACCCCAGTACCTCTCGCCGTGCCTCTACACTTTCCCTCTCCTCTGTGACCAGTGGCCCCCTTAACCTGGCGGCCTCCTCTGCAAACCCGCTGGACCGCTCTATCGCGGCCTCCTGCTGCACGTCGTCCACGGCGTGAGCCCCCCCCTAAAAATGTTCTAGGGGTCTCTCCTCCCCGTGGGCCAGGCCCAGTCGAGGTTGATGTCCTTTAGCGATACCTCTGGCGCTGGCTCCTGGACACGCTGCTTGGTCCAATGTTGGTGGGATCTTCTGTCACGATCGTCGGGTACAGAGGACCAAGGCGCAGCGTGGAAGGTGAACATATTTATTAAATAATGCTTACACGAACAAAAACAACAAACGATAACATGACGTCCAAAGGTGCAAAACACAAACCTACACAGGAACAAGATCCCACAAACACTGTGGGAAAACTGGCTGCTTAAGTATGGTTCCCAATCAGAGACAACAAGCAACAGCTGATACACGTTGCCTCTGATTGAGAACCACACTGGCCAACATAGAACTACAAAACTAGAACGAAAAACTAATGAAAACTCACACCCTGGCCAACATACTAGAGTCCCCAGAGCCAGGGCGTGACAGCTAACCTCAATTTCGACTTTAAAACCTACTTCAACTCCGACTCAGCTGTTCGCTCGTTCACACCGGACGCTATTCCTTTGTTTCATGGGCTACCAAAATGCAGCAGACATAGACGCGGTAGATGGGCTGACATCCTGGTGAGACTGAGACGAAGAGAAAATCAACCACCACTCCCCTCTGTTTTATTGGCAAATATCCAGTCACTCAAGAATAAGATGGATGAGCTTTGTTTGAGATCTCCTATCCGAGAGACTTGAAAAGCTGCAATATTATATGCCTTGTAGAAACTTGGCTGGTTGAATCTATGAACACGTCCAAAGGGGAGGGGTGTGCCTCTTCATAAACAACAACTGGTGTGCTGCTTCCAGTGTGAAGGAAATCTCAAGCTTTTGCTCACCTCATGGTGAGCTGCAGACCTTTTTATCTACCAAGAGAGTTCTCATCTGTAATTATCATGGCTGTCTACATCTCTCCACAAACCAATGCCACTTTGGCACTCAACGAACTGTATGGGGCCATAACAAAGAAGAAAACACACACTCAGAGGCAGCGTTTCTGGTGGGAGGAGACTTTAGCGCAGGGAGACTTAAAATCATTCTACCTCACTTCTATGACACGTCTCCTGCTCCACTAGGGGCGCTAAAACCATAGACCACTTTCATTCTACCCACAGAAACGCATACAAGGCCCTCCCTCGCCCTATTTTTGGCAAATCAGACCATGACTCTATCCTCCTGCTTCCCGTTTACAAACTAAGCTCAAACAGGAAGTACCAGTGACATGCTCAATACGGAAGTGGTACAATGAAGCAGACATGAAGCTTCAAGACTGTTTTGCTTGTACAGACTGGGATATGTTCCAGGATTCATCCAATAGCATTGAGGAGTTTACCACATTAATCACGGGCTTCATCAATTAGTGCATAGATGATGTCGTTGCCACAGTCACTACACTGACATATCTGTGCTGGGCTAAAGGCTAGAGCTACCGCTAACAAGGAACGGGACATGGACGCATACAAGAAAGCCCGCTACGACCTCCAACGAGACATCAAACATGCAAAGGAAATATAGGAGGAAGGTGGATTCCTATTACACCAGCTCCAACGTTTGTCGGATGTGGCAGGGCTTGCAGACGATAACGGATTACAAAGGGAAACCCAGCCGTGAGATGCCCAGTGATGCAGAACTCCCAAACGAGCTAAATGCTTTTTATGCTTGCTTCGAGGAAAACAACACAGAGTCCTTCATGAAAGCACCTGTTGTTCCGGATGACTGTGTGACTCGCTCTCCGTGCCAGATGTGAGTAAAACTTTTAAACAGGTTAACACTCGCAAGGTCACCGGGCCAGACGGAATACCAGGGCACGTTCTCAGAGCATGCGCAGACCTGGCAAGTGTCTTCACCGATATTTTAAATATCTCCCTGTCCCAGTCTGTAATCCCAACCAACATTGTCCCTGTTCCCAAGAACTCCAAGGTAACCTGCCTAAATGACTATTCCCTGTAGCACTCACATCTGTAATTATGAAGTGCTTTGAAAGGATGGTCATGACACACATCAACACCATCATCCTAGACACCCTGGACCCACTCCAATTAGCATACTGCCCCAACAGATCCACAGATGACACAATCTCAATTGCACTTCACACTGCCCTCTCCCACCTGGGCAAGAGGGGAAATATCTATATGAGAATGCTGTTCATAGACTACAGCTCAGCGTTCAACATCATAGTCCCCTCCAAGCTCATCATCAAGCTAAGGACCCTGGGACTGAACACCTCCCTCTGGATCCTGGATCCTGGACTTCCTGACGGGCTGGCCCCAGGTGGTGAGGGTAGGCAACAACACCTCCGCCACGCTGTCCCTAAACACGGGTTCCCCTCAGGGGTGCGTGCTTTGTCCCCTCCTGTACTCCCTGTTCACCCACAACTGCATTGCCACGCACGACTCCAACACCATCATCAAGTTTGCTGACAACACGACAGAGGTAGGCCTTATCACCGACGGCGTTGAGACAGCCTACAAGGAGGAGGTAAGAGACTTGGCAGTGTTGTGCCAGCACAACAACCTCTCCCTCAATGTAAGTAAGACCAAGGAGCTGATCGTGGACTACAGGAGAAAGAGGGGAAAGCACGCCCCCATCCACATCAACAAGGCTGTAGTGGAGCAGGTCGAGAGCTTCAAGTTCCTTAGCGTCCACATCACTAAGGACTTAACATGGTCCACACACACCCACACAGTCAAGAGGCTGAGCAGATTTGGCATGGGCCTTTGGATCCTCAAAAAGTTCTACAGCAGCACCATCGAGAGCATCTTGACTGGCTGCATCAGTGCAAAGCGCTGGAGAGGGTGGTGCGGACAGCCCAGTAGATCACTGGTGCTGAGCTCCCTGCCTGCCTCTATCAGGCGGTGTCAGAGGAAAGCCAAACACTTCAGCCACCAAAGCCATAGACTGTTCACTCTGCTACCGTCCAGCAAACGGTACCGGAGCATCGGCTCTCGCACCGACAGGCTCTAAGACAGCTTTTACCCCCAAGCCATAAGACTGGTAAATAGCCATTAGACTGCTAAATAGTTAATTAGACTGCAATGGTTACCCGAACTATCTGGATTGACCCTACAGTATCTTGCACTGACTCTGTGCACACTCACAAGACTATATACAGTGGGGAAAAAAGTATTTAGTCAGCCACCAATTGTGCAAGTTCTCCCACTTAAAAAGATGAGAGAGGCCTGTAATTTTCATCATAGGTACACGTCAACTATGACAGACAGATTGAGAAAAAAAAATCCAGAAAATCACATTGTAGGATTTTTAATGAATTTATTTGCAAATTATGGTGGAAAATAAGTATTTGGTCACCTACAAACAAGCAAGATTTCTGGCTCTCACAGACCTGTAACTTCTTCTTTAAGAGGCTCCCCTGTCCTCCACTCGTTACCTGTATTAATGGCACCTGTTTGAACTTGTTATCAGTATAAAAGACACCTGTCCACAACCTCAAACAGTCACACTCCAAACTCCACTATGGCCAAGACCAAAGAGCTGTCAAAGGACACCAGAAACAAAATTGTAGACCTGCACCAGGCTGGGAAGACTGAATCTGCAATAGGTAAGCAGCTTGGTTTGAAGAAATCAACTGTGGGAGTAATTATTATGAAATGGAAGACATACAAGACCACTGATAATCTCCCTCGATCTGGGGCTCCACGCAAGATCTCACCCCGTGGGGTCAAAATGATCACAAGAACGGTGAGCAAAAATCCCAGAACCACACGGGGGGACCTAGTGAATGACCTGCAGAGAGCTGTCCCCAAAGTAACAAAGCCTACCATCAGTAACACACTACGCCGCCAGGGACTCAAATACTGCAGTGCCAGACGTGTCCCCCTGCTTAAGCCAGTACATGTCCAGGCCCGTCTGAAGTTTGCTAGAGTGCATTTGGATGATCCAGAAGAGGATTGGGAGAATGTCATATGGTCAGATGAAACCAAAATATAACTTTTTGGTAAAAACTCAACTTGTCATGTTTGGAGGACAAAGAATGCTGAGTTGCATCCAAAGAACACCATACCTACTGTGAAGCATGGGGGTGGAAACATCATGCTTTGGGGCTGTTTTTCTGCAAAGGGACCAGGACGACTGATCTGTGTAAAGGAAAGAATGAATGGGGCCATGTATCGTAAGTTTTGAGTGAAAACCTCCTTCCATCAGCAAGGGCTTCGAAGATGAAACGTGGCTGGGTCTTTCAGCATGACAATGATCCCAAACACACCGCCCGGGCAACGAAGGAGTTGCTTCGTAAGAAGCATTTCAAGGTCCTGGAGTGGCCTAGCCAGTCTCCAGATCTCAACCCCATAGAAAATCTTTGGAGGGAGTTGAAAGTCCGTGTTGCCCAGCGACAGCCCCAAAACATCACTGCTCTAGAGGAGATCTGCATGGAGGAATGGGCCAAAATACCAGCAACAGTGTGTGAAAACCTTGTGAAGACTTACAGAAAACGTTTGACTTGTGTCATTGCCAACAAAGGGTATATAACAAAGTATTGAGTAATTTTTTTTATTGACCAAATACTTATTTTCCACCATAATTTGCAAGTAAATTCATTAAAAATCCTACAATGTGATTTTCTGGATTTTTTTTCCTCATTTTGTCTGTCATAGTTGACATGTACCTATGATGAAAATTACAGGCCTCTCTCATCTTTTTAAGTGGGAGAACTTGCACAATTGGTGGCTGACTAAATACTTTTTTCCCCCACTGTATACACACTACAGTGAGGGAAAAAGGTATTTGATCCCCTGCTGATTTTGCACGTTTTCCCACTGACATAGAAATGATCAGTCTATAATTTTAATGGTAGGTTTATTTGAACAGTTAGAGACATATAACAACAACAAAATCCAGAAAAACGCATGTCAAAAATGTTATAAATTGATTTGCATTTTAATTAGGGAAATAAGTATTTGACCCCCTATCAATCAGAAAGATTTCTGGCTCCCAGGTGTCTTTTATACAGGTAACGAGCTGAGATTAGGAGCACAGTGCTCCTAATCTCAGTTTGTTACCTGTATAAAAGACACCTGTCCACAGAAGCAATCAATCAATCAGATTCCAAACTCTCCACCATGGCCAAGACCAAAGAGCTCTCCAAGGATGTCAGCGACAAGATTGTAGACCTACACAAGGCTGGAATGGGCTACAAGACCATCGCCAAGCAGCTTGGTGAGAAGGTGACAACAGTTGGTGCGATTATTCGCAAATGGAAGAAACACAAAATAACTGTCAATCTCCCTCGACCTGGGGCTCCATGCAAGATCTCACCTCGTGGAGTTGCAATGATCATGAGAACGGTGAGGAATCAGCCCAGAACTACATGGGAGGATCTTGTCAATGATCTCAAGGCAGCTGGGACCATAGTCACCAAGAAAACAATTGGTAACACACTATGCCGTGAAGGACTGAAATCCTGCAGTGCCCGCAAGGTCCCCCTGCTCAAGAAACCACATATACAGGGCCGTCTGAAGTTTGCCAATGAACATCTGAATGATTCAGAGGAGAACTGTGTGAAAGTGTTGTGGTGCAAACCTGGTGGCCTGAGATGTGTGCAAACCTGGTGGCCAACTACAAGAAACGTCTGACCTCTGTGATTGCCAACAAGGGTTTTGCCACCAAGTACTAAGTCATGTTTTGCAGAGGGGTCAAATACTTATTTCCCTCATTAAAATGCAAATAAATTTATAACATTTTTGACATGCGTTTTTCTGGATTTTGTTGTTGTTATTCTGTCTCTCACTGTTCAAATAAACCTACCATTAAAATTATAGACTGATCATGTCTTTGTCAGTGGGCAAACGAACAAAATCAGCAGGGGATCAAATACTTTTTTGCCGACTGTATATACACACTCTACACTGACACTCTGACACAAAACCCACACACATTCACATACACTACATATACACACACACACATAACACACGCATACTGACACAACATACACACACACATACACATACAAACACACTTTCACACTCATCATATTCTACAGCTACAGCTACAGTATTCTTTATTCTTACTCTTATCTATCACTTTACCCTGCCTTCATGTACATATCTACCTCAAATACCTCATACCTCTGCATACTCCCTGTATATATATATATGTATTTTATTCTTCTTGTGTTACTATTTTTCTTTGTATTATTATTTTTTAACTCTACATCGTTGGGAAGGGCTCGTAAGTAAGCATTTCACAATAAAGTCTACACCCGTTGTATTCGCCGCATGTGAAAAATACAATTTGATTTGATTTCACTTTCTACAACTGTCATTTGGTGCTGCAGTACACTTATCAACGTACAAACTATAGAGATAAAAGACCTCACAACACAACACCATCCCAATGTTGTTTGATGCGCCGCCAACCTGTTGCATTCTGGGTGGGATCAAAGGAGGTCCTGAAAGCAGGATGGCCTCACATTGGTACAGAATGAGCTTGGTTGCATCCCAACACAAAACAAAACCAAATGAATGAAAGAAGTAAACAAAAGCCTAATCAAATAAACCTTCTCATCAATCCCCGCTTTGGTTTCCTCCGCTTTATAAATGAGGAGTATGCATATTTCAATAGCGCAAACAAATAAAGAGAATTTAAGTACTGTATATGTGTCAGTGTGCTTGTGTTGATGAATTCATGACTGTGGCATCTAAAGGGATAATGCCTTTGTCTCTCACACTAAAGACCCAGGTGTTGTGGTGAATGTCAAAAGGGGATACAAAGACTAACGTTTCCCTCAGGTAAATCCAAGGGGAATTTTCTGGACATGTCATTATACGGTAGGTCTTCCAACGTAGGTTGTTCCCAATGCCAACCCATTCATCATAGCTAACTGGGTGTGTGTTCCATATTTAGTGGATGTGCTTTATTGGCAGTATAACAAGACACGTGGGAGGTGATTTATATGAATAGCAAAACCCCTGCAAAGCAAGCTGGCTATGGCTGGGCGGAGATGATATAAAATTCATTAAGAGATCCGCAATAATTCATTCTGGACTCCCAGAGAAAGCCTATAACTGGTGAGATGGGGTTTTACATTTTAGTCATTTAGCAGACGCTCTTATCCAGAGTGACTTACAGGAGCAATTAGGGTTAAGTGCCTTGCTCAAGGGGACATCAACAGATTTTTCACCTAGTCGGCTCGGGGATTAGAACCAGTGACCTTTCGGTTACTGGCACGACACTCTTAACCACTAAGCTACCAGCCACCCATGGGTTGTGTGTGTGTATGTATGTGTGTGTGCGTGTTTGTGTGTGTGTGTGTGTGTAAATCTGTAAGTGTGTAAGTGTGTATAAGTGTGTGTGTGTGCATGTGCGTGAGTGAGAAAAGAGAAAACACTTTCTCTTCTATCACTCTATCATGGCAGCTCAGACCTGAAGACCACAGCACACACGGCTTCATCAATTCAAATCAAATCAAATCACATTTTATTTGTCACATGCTCTGAATACAACAGGTACAGTGAAATGCTTACTTACAAGCCCTTAACCAACAATGCAGTTTTAAGAAAGAATACCAAAAAAATCACACAAAAATACAATATATAATAATACTACATAAAGTAACAAATAATTAAAGAGCATTAGTAAAAAATAACAATAGCGAGGCTATATACAGGGGGTACCGGTACCGAGTCAATGTGCGGGGGGCCACCGGTTAGTCGAGGTAATTGGGGTAATATGTACATGTAGGTAGAGTTATTAAAGTGACTATGCATAGATAATAAACAGAGAGTAGCAGCAGCGTAAAAGAGGGGCGGGGGTCAATGCAAATAGTCTGGGTATCCATTTGAGTAGATGTTCAGGAGTCTTATGGCTTGGGGGTAGAAGCTGTTTAGAAGCCTCTTGGACCTAGACTTGGCGCTCTGGTACTGCTTGCCGTGCGGTAGCAGAGAGAACAGTCTATGACTAGGGTGGCTTGAGTCTTTGACAATTTTTAGGGCCTTCCTCTGACACCGCCTGGTATGGAGGTCCTGGATGGCAGGAAGCTTGGCCCTAGTGATGTACTGGGCCGTACGCACTACCCTCTGTAGTGCCTTGCGGTCAGAGGCCGAGCAGTTGCCATACCAGGCAGTGATGCAACCAGTCAGGATGCTCTCGATGGTGCAGCTGTATAACCTTTTGAGGATATGAGGACCCATGCCAAATCTTTTCAGATTCCTTAGGGGGAATAGGTTTTGTCATGCCTTCTCCACGACTGTCTTGGTGTGCTTGGACCATGTTAGTTTGTTGGTGATGTGGACATCTTGATCACGTTAAGGTAGAGGTTGTTGTCCGGGCACCACACGGCCAGGTCTCTGACCTCCTCCCTATAGGCTGTCTCGTCGGTGATCAGGCCTACCACTGTTGTGTCATCGGCAAACTTAATGATGGTGTTGGAGTCGTGCCTGGCCATGCAGTCATGAGTGAATAGGGAGTACAGGAGGGGACTGAGCATGCACCCCTGAGGGGCCCCCGTGTTGAGGATCAACGTGGTGGATGTGTTGTTACCTACCCTTACCACTTGGGAGGTGCCCGTCAGGAAGTCCAGGATCCAGTTGCAGAGGGAGATGTTTAGTCCCAGGGTCCTTAGCTTAGTGATGAGCTTTGAGGGCACTATGGTGTTGCACGCTGAGCTGTAGTCAATGAATAGCATTCTCACATAGGTGTTCCTTTTGTCCAGGTGTGAAAGGGCAGTGTGAAGCGCAATAGAGATTGCATCATCTGTGGATCTGTTGGGGCGATATGCAAATTGGAGTGGGTCTAGGGTTTCTGGGATAATGGTGTTGATGTGAGCAATGACCAGCCTTTCAAAGCACTTCATGGCTACAGACGTGAGTGCTACGGGTCGGTAGTCATTTAGGCAGGTTACCTTAGTGTTCTTGGGCACAGGGACTATGGTGGTCTGCTTGAAACATGTTGGTATTACAGACTCAGACAGGTAGAGGTTGAAAATGTCAGTGAAGACACTTGCCAGTTGGTCAGCGCATGCTCGGAGTACACATCCTGGTAATCCGTACACGTCCTGAATGTCGACCTGTTTAAAGGTCTTACGCACGTCGGCTACGGAGAGCGTGATCACACAGTCATCCGGAACAGCTGATCTTTCAGAAGAGCAGAATGAGGAAACTGTACCACTGCTGGGATGCAAGCATCACAGACAGTGTCATCTAAGTTGCACCATAGGATGGCAGGAGGCTGAACTACCCAGTCTTGGTCTTCTGTTTGATATGTGCCTGTACTCAAACTCTCATTAACTCTGGCTGCTCAATAATGTTTTAGGATTATGGCACTTAGCCTTGTGCTTCTCTACATCCCTGATCTAGGGTAGGCAATAAAACCATCTTAATGAATATCACACAGACCAGATTCCACTACCTCTCACCGTCGTCATTTAGCCCCCAGCATAATCATAATATGATCCTAATTATTATACATTAAATAGAAAGCCCCTTCTGTTGTGACATTGATTTATATGTATGGCCGGTATGGAATTACTTACTGTTTCATTATGGTGAAATGTCATCACACATAATGTCAGATCATAAGTTCAAGTTCAAGTTTGAGTTGTCACATGCACAAACCCAACAGGACAGTATTCAATATCAACAAAGTAAAAAAATATATCCGTAACAAAAAAATACAGGAGAAATAAGAAATAAGAGAAGAAGCTATATATAGGGTCAGTGCCAGTACCAAATGTACAATGTGCAGGGATACTGGAGTATTGAGGAAGATATGTACATGTAGGCAGGGATTAGGAGAAAGTGACTGGTAGCAGGATAAATAATAATACTAATAATAGTAAATAGTAAATAGCGTGGTGGTGAGTGTGTGGGTGTTAGTGTGTGGGTGTTAGTGTGAGTGTGTTAGTGTGTGAGTGTGCAAGAGTGTCAGTGTAGGCGGATGTACATGTAAACAGGGCTGAAGAGTGACTGGTAGCAGGAATATATAAATACTTATGGTAATATACTAATAGTAATTGCAATCAATCATCAATGAACAGCAGCATAGTGGTAGTAATAAATCTAATCAATAATAATTTTAACCGGCAGTGTAGGTGTGAGGGGGAAAAGTAGTTATTAGCCATTTAACAGTCTTATAGCCAGGGGATAGAAGCTGTTTAGGAGTCTGTTTGTCTGAGCCTTGGTGCACCGGTACTGCCTTCCGGACGGGATCATGGAGAACAGTCCTCCCTCCAAGGAGCACCAACTCAGACAGGTTAATACAATGGCATCAATGCCCGTTGACATCATCAAAGTGCTTCCATGAGGTCATCATTGTGCCCCCAGTACTGTGGTGTCCCCTTTCCGCCCCTGTGTTTCCATTAGTATTCTGTGTGTATGGGCTCACTGTGGTTCTCTGTCACACAAAACCTCAGCTCTCATTACATTTACATTTTACATTTTAGTCATTTAGCAGACGCTCTTATCCAGAGCGACTTACAGTTAGTGAATACATATATATTTTTATTCTGGCCCCCCGTGGGAATTGAACCCACAACCCTGGCGTTGCAAACGCCATGCTCTATCAACTGAGCTACATCCCTGCCGGCCATTCCCTCCCCTACCCTGGACGACGCTGGGCCAATTGTGCGCCGCCCATGAGTCTCCCGGTCGCGGCCGGCTGCGACAGAGCCTCTCCTCTGAGCTACTGTACTGTACGACTGACAGGTCTTGCTCTTTGTTACCACAGTGATTAGGGGATGACAGGTCAGGTGCCCTCGTCTAGCATCAAGGACAAGTGTGTGTATACTGTACCTGTGGACAGGTACTGTAGAGCACAGTGGATACTGAGTCTATGGCTGTGTGTCTAGACTGCAAGTGTGTAATGGATACGGTGTGTGTGTGTGTGTGTGTGTGCATGTGTGTGTGTGTGTGTAATAATACAGTTCCTCCTTAGTCTGTGTCCTCCTTACAGGACACATACAGTACGTACAGTTATCATAACTATGGGGACACACTATAAAAACAATTTTCGGTAGATAGAACCCACTAAATCAGTACATCTAAACTCTAGGAGATTATAAGAGTATTTGTCAGTTCAATAGATTTTGATGAGGATTCATGACCAGAGCCCCATTTCATTGTAATGCCCAGTTGACTCCCATCGTAACCAGTCTTTTCAGGGGAATGGAGGTTATCATGGTGAAAGACTCATGTTAATACATCCAAATAAGTGGCTGATGTATGGCCACACACACACACACACATGCGCTGATGCACACACGCACACGCACACACACACACACACACACACACAAAAACATGTGTTATGACGATTGATTAAGGGTCCTAGCCTAGCCAGGCAGACTGGTCAAAGTGAAATCAATACCACCTACGCATTATTAGCCCACACATTATTCAGCAGAAAATACAACACCACACAGAGAGAGAAGGCTAACGTTGGAGGAAATACGTTCCTAGCGTGTGAGGAACGTGTTTGCTGGCTAGCTAATATTTATATCTTTTTTTGGTTTGGCTAGAGTTATGCTAACCCGTTTGCAATGCTTTTAGCGTTGCTTGCTATCTTGCTGGCTAGCTACAGAGGTTACCTGTCTACTTAGCTACAGTAGTTAGCAACTGCCATCAGTTGTTGTTGTGTTATTATCATATTTTGCCTATTCCACCGTTTGTAGAATGCGTACTGGCATTTGAATATAACACGGGAAAAGGGAATCCGGACACACTGTGGACATGGTAGACACATTTACATGTAGGTGTAGACGCATGACATGTTCTGAATTCCATGATCAAAACGCTATGATCAGAGCACTAAAGCTGCATGAACAGTGGAACTATGGAACTGTCGAACTGTCGAGTCTAGACACAGCCTAATAGTCATCAGCAGAAAGCACTGCCTGGAGGCTGGAATATACTGCTGTAACACATTCACTCCATACAGGCTGGTAGACTATGGTGCCAGCTACAGGAGTAGAAAGGTCTGTTCAAATGCATGGTGTGTATAGTAGATGATGATGATGATGATGATGATGATGATGATGATGTCTTTACTTTTGTTGTTATTAATGACGATGATGATGGTTATGATGATGAAGATTGTTATATGTGGTGTTGGTGTATCTTGAGCGTAAAGGTCTATTTAATGACTATGCTGACAATAATGATGTCTTTGCTTTGATATTGTTGTTGTTAATGATATCGTTTTAACGATGGTGTTGATACATGCAAGTTTATAATGATGCTGATGATGTTTCAGCTATACTAATGGAGTTGTCGACTCACTTCCTAAAAGTGGGAATTCCATGGATGGATCGCCCCGGTGACACTCCTGACCCCTGGCTGTGTCCGGAGAGCAGACTGTCCGTCTCAAACTGGAACGTTCCCTCTGGGTCACCCGGAATGTCCAGGAATTCTCCGTCACTCCAAACCCCCACAGTCCCATCCATGGTCGTGTACTTGATGTCTATGGTAACGCTGGTCTGGAATGGAAGAGTCAACAAATGAATTAGGCAAAACAAATTAGAAACACACTATGATCACACAGGAAATGAACAACAACTACTAAAGGCTTCATTGAGTATTCATAAGATCTTCATATGCCATACATAAACTCAGCAAAAAAAGAAACTTCCCTTTTTCAGGACCCTGTCTTTCAAAGATAATTAGTAAAAATCCAAATAACTTCACAGATCTTCATTGTAAAAGGTTTAAACACTGTTTCCCATTCTTGTTCAATGAACCATAAACAATTAATGAACATGCACCTGTGGAACGGTCGTTAAGACACTAACAGCTTACAGACGGTAGGCAATTGAGGTCACAGTTATGAAAACTTAGGACACTAAAGAGGCCTTTCTACTGACTCTGAAAAAGACCAAAAGAAAGATGCCCAGGGTCCCTGCTCATCTGCGTGAACGTGCCTTAGGCATGCTGCAAGGAGGCATGAGGACTGCAGATGTGGCCAGGACAATAAATTGCAATGTCCGTACTGTGAGACGCCTAAGACAGCGCTACAGGGAGACAGGACGGACAGCTGATCGTCCTCGCAGTGCCAGACCACGTGTAACAACACCTGCACAGGATCGGTACATCCGAACATCACACCTGCGGGCCAGGTACAGGATGGCAACAATCCCTCCATCAGTGCTCAGACTGTCCGCAATAGGCTGAGAGAGTTTGTAGGCCTGTTGTAAGGCAGGTCCTCACCAGACATCAACGGCAACAATGTCGCCTAGGCCTGTACTCTGGAGCGGGATCGATTTGGAGGTGGAGGGTCCGTCATGGTCTGGGGTGGTGTGTCACAGCATCATCGGACTGAGCTTGTTGTCATTGCAGGCAATCTCAACGCTGTGCGTTACAGGGAAGACATCCTCCTCCCTCATGTGGTACCCTTCCTGCAGGCTCATCCTGACATGACCCTCCAGCATGACAATGCCACCAGCCATACTGCTCGTTCTGTGCGTGAATTCCTGCAAGACAGGAATGTGTTCTGCCATGGCCAGCGAAGAGCCCGGATCTCAATCCCATTGAGCACGTCTGGGACCTGTTGGATTGGAGGGTGAGGGCTAGGGCCATTACCCCCAGAAATTGCAGGTGCCTTGGTGGAAGAGTGGGGTAACATCTCACAGCAAGAACTGGCAAATCTGGTGCAGTCCATGAGGAGGAGATGCACTGCAGTACTTATTAAGTACTGCAGTGCATCTCCTCCTCATGGACTGCACCAGATTTGCCAGTTCTTGCTGTGAGATGTTACCCCACTCTTCCACCAAGGCACCTGCAATTTCTGGGGGTAATGGCCCTAGCCCTCACCCTCCAATCCAACAGGTCCCAGACGTGCTCAATGGGATTGAGATCCGGGCTCTTCGCTGGCCATGGCAGAACACATTCATGAGGACTGCAATTTACATCTGCAGTCCTCATGCCTCCTTGCAGCATGCCTAAGGCACGTTCACGCAGATGAGCAGGGACCCTGGGCATCTTTCTTTTGGGCATCTTTCTTTTGGTTTTTTTCACGCACAAACGAGCAGTATGGCCTGGTGGCATTGTCATGCTGGAGGGTCATGTCAGGTGAGCCTGCAGGAAGGTAAACCACGATGAGGGAGGAGGATGTCTTCCCTGTAACGCACAGCGTTGAGATTGCCTGCAATGACAACACGCTCATTCCTATGATGCTGTGACACGTCCACCCCCCATGTACGGACCCTCCACCCTCCAAATCGATCTACTTCATGCAGTCTGTTGCCACACCAGAGACTGATGCGTACTTTTGACCCCCCCTTTGATCAGGGACACATTCCAATTTCTGTTAGTCACATGTATGTGGAACTTGTTCAAATCAAATCAAATCAAATGTTATTTGTCACATACATGTGTTTAGCAGATGTTATAGCGGGTGTAGCGAAATGCTTGTGCTTCTAGCTCCGACAGTGCAGTAATATCTAACAAGTAATATCTAACAATTTCACAACATATACCTAATACACACAAAACTAGTAAGGAATGGAATATAAGAAAATATACATATATGGACAAGCAATGACAGAGCAGCATGGACTAAGATACAGTAGAATATTATAGAATAGAATGCAGTATATACATATGAGATGAGCAGTGCGAGATATGTAAACATTATTAAAGTGACTGTAAACATGATTAAAATGACTAGTGTTCCATTTCTTAAAGTTTATGTCTCAGTTGTTGAATCTTGTTATGTTCATACAAATATTTACACATGTTAAGTTTGCGGAAAATAAACGCAGTTGACAGTGAGAGGACGTTTCTATTTTTGCTGAGTTTAGATGCTTCACAAATCTTTCATAATCAATTTCATATTGCTTAAACTAAATGGTAATATAAAAGTGGCAGTGAAAGAGGTAGCCAAGATCCGTTGCTCTAATCTTTTCTTGTTTTGCTACGTGACATGGATGCCTCAGGATTAGTAACCCTCTCTGCTGGTGTGTAAATCAATGGGCGAGAGAGAGGGAAACACTTCCTTCGACACTTCCACTAATCTCTCTCTTTCACTCCTGTGGGGGTGTGAACACTAGGGGTAACTCAACCCAACTCTCCCCTAGTCATTGCTCCATGACAGGGTGGGTAACACATCTCCAAACAGTCCCCATAGGACATTTGACATCTGTAGTAAGAGAGACTCATAATGTTCATAATGACATCTTTAACTAAACTGGAACAACGAATCCATTCTTGGTTGACATTAAACTAAATTTGCCTTCCGGCTTTCTTGTCAAGTGAATATGGGAAGACAAAGTGTGACAACTGTACATTTGTGAGACAGCAACTGCCTACAATTTCTGTAAAACTATTTCTGTAAAGCTCAATATTGGTTGACAGAGACAGTTGTGGTCACTTGTGGCACAAAGATCAATTTGGTTTGACAGTAAGTGCTTAGATTGATCTGAACAGGAAGAAGTAGAGACAGAGCAGTTTTTCTTTCCTGTCTTTAGGGGACTTTTACACCTCCCTGGACAGTCAATTTATTACAACCCAAGCAATTTGTTACACTCTTTCTCTCTCTCTATTTCTCTCTCTCTCCCTTTCTGTCTCTCCCTCTTTCTCCTCTCTTTCTCTCGCTCTCTCTCGCTCTCTATCTCTGCCCTGTGACTCCCCGGGAGTATCACTGCAGAGCCAGTGAAGTTAGAGGCGTTACCATGGTAACCCCGCATCTTTCAGCGGGGCACAGTAAATAAAAACACTTCTGTTCAGTTAGAACTCAGGTGAGACTCTGGGCCGGCTGTGTTCATCTACCCTCCCTCATCAGAGACAGAGAGGGGTGCAGAGGGGCTGAGAGCTGTGTGTGTGTGTGTGTGTGCGTGTGTGTGTGAGTATGCCCCAGGCCATTCTGACTTGTGTGAGATATCATCTCTATAGAGCCATTTCCAGGCTGCGTCATGAAAAGTTGCAGAAACCAGCTCTGTTTACTAGCAGTGGATACGACCACATGCAACTTCAAATGCCACTCGTGCAAGTAAACAAACACGTAATCAGATGGTTATCATCTACAACATCGCTATGCTATCAGAGCTAGCCAGCTAGGAGAGGTAAAATATCACAAATAGAGCTAGATAAAGCCAGAAGAATAATATACTTGTTGAACATAGCTATAGCCATCAGTCTTGCATGTTTTCATGGTCATCACTCACTCCCTGTTAAGTTTGTCAAGGTCCCAACATCAGTGTTAGCTATCCTGCTACAGAGTTTATTGGTGCTGGGATGAGCTCTCACACAGTCTCTCTCTGTTTCTCCATCCCTTGCTCCCACTATCTCACACTTCCTCTTTTTCATTTTCTCAAATAGTTTCTTTCTGAATACAGTGCATTCGGAAAGTATTCAGACATCTTGACTTTTTCCACATTTTGTTACGTTACAGCCTTATTCTAAAATGTATTACATTTGTTTTTTCCCCACCTCAATCTACACACAATACCTCATAATGACAAAGCAAAAACAGGTTTTTAAACAGGTCTTGGTGGTTCCAAACTTCTTCCATTTAAGAATAATGGAGGCCACTGTGTTCTTGGGGACCTTCAATGCTGCAGACATTTTTTGGCACCCTTCCCCAGATCTGTGCCTTGACACAATCGGAGCTCGACGGACAATTCCTTCGACCTCATGGCTTGGTTTTTGCTCTGACATGCACAGTCAACTGTGGGACCTTATATAGACAGGTGTGTGCCTTTCAAAATCATGTCCAATCAATTGAATTTACCACAGGTGGACTCCAATCAAGTTGTAGAAACATCTCAAGGATGATCAATGGAAACAGGATGCACCTGAGCTCAATTTCGAGTCTCATAGCAAAGGGTCTGAATACTTAAATAAGGTATTTCTGTTTTTTATTTGCAAACATTTCTAAAAACCTGTTTTCGCTTTGCCATTATGGGTTATTGTGTGTAGATTGATGAGGAATAAATATAATTTAATCCATTTTAGAATTAGGCTGTAAAGTAACAAAATGTGGAAAAAGGGAAGGGGTCTGAATACTTTCCGAATGCACTGTGCAAACCATGAGGTTGAAGGAATTGTCCGTAGAGCTCCGAGACAGGCTGTTGTATCAATACTCACCTGAGGTCAATAAAATACTTGTCTATTTGGCTGAGTTCGGTATATACAGTATGCTGTCCATAGATCAGTATGAAGGACTCTCATTCTTATGGCTCAAGATATCTAAACTGATCAGGGACCAGTGTTGGGACTTACCCTGATGGCGGTGTTGTTGTCATCGATGAGTGTGTCTGTCACCTCCAGCTGCCCCTCCTCCGCCACCTTCTGTAGAACCATCTTGAAGGTTCCAATGACTCTGGAACAACAGAACCACAAGAACCATGAGCAACCACTGTTTCACAAATAGAGAAGAATATTCCTGATTCAGTTGGTTGTGGCATAGGACTGTGCCTTGGCTAAAAACATTGGTATTGTTATGTGATCGTTCAGAGAGAAGGCTTCAAGTAGGCCACACTTGCATTTCAGCTGAGTTTGGTAGGTTCCATTGAATTAGGTTGATAGTGCTGTCCTTGAACAGCTCAGTCTGTTTCTCTGTATCTATCTCTCTTTTCACTGTCTTCCTTGACTATCTGACATTCCCATATGTGTGTGTGTGTGTGTGTGTCTATGTGTGTCTGTGTGCGTGCGATGATTGTGTGCTTGTAGGCAGAGTGATGGAGACTGGCTCTGACAGGCAGGGAGAGTGTGTCATTGTCGCCAGCCGCTACAGCAACTAACCATTAAAGAGGAGCAGACTGAATAATAGAATCCTATTAGAACTCAGAGATAGAGCTACAGACACAGATGCAGATACGGACGCACACAAACACTGAAGAAAAGGTCACACACACTGTTTTCTTTATACACTTTCACTTTCTCTTTTCCGATACTGACATATTGTCACGTTTCCCTGTGTTCTCATGCCTGTTTCTCTCTCAGAGAAAGGATACAGCTATGTAGAGTATTAAACTTCAAAACTTCAAACACAGCCAGGTTGCTCAAGATCCACTGCGAAATTAGACGTCCATCCAGGGAAGCAGGATGTCAGGAGATGACTTCAAAACCGGCCACTAGGGGCAACGGTGAGCACTATAACCATCATGTAGGCTTGGGTTTCGCTAGGTGTTGTGGACGGGCATAAGCTGCCAGCTCCGGCTCCGAGGGTCGCGTGTTCAATCCCAGTGCTAGGCACTACTTATTTTTTTATTTATTTTTTTTACCCTATCCCAAACCTTAACCCCTTAACTTAACTATTTGGAATTAATGCCTGAACTTAACCTTCAAAATGTTACGTTTATGGACAAGAGATTGGAAGTCTGATTCTGCAGTGAGACTGTCAGACCTTGTTGTCAAACCAGCAGCTCTGTTCTCGCCGCACACACACACACACACGGACACACGGACACACGGACACACGGACACACAAACACACACCATATCCTCTGCACAGCCCCACCACCCTTCCGCCAGTGAGGACTTTTTGAAGTTAAGTAGCAACCAACTCTCTCCCCATTCCAACACCAGACAGTTATTTCCTCATAATATTGTCGGGGGAAACTCATTAGCTGCTATCGCTGCCCTGAGGAAAAACAACTTGAACAAAGTGTCTAAGAAAACGTAGGTGATTCATTCATTAAGTATATGGACATAAGAGTGCTGTTAACTTCCTGTCCTTGAGCAAAATTGCCTGAAATAAATTGCTGCCTAGAAAAACAAAATGCAATTATTTTCAATTGTTTTTGACGCAAAAAAAACCTGAAGGCTGCAAATGACTTCATTGGGCGATAAGCCTATCTCAATTCCCATTCTCTAACATCCCAGAGTTTCACCATGTACCAGACTGCATAGAGAAATATGGATTACACTCTATGACCAACACGTATAAAGGCTTCATTAAGCCTTCATAGAGCATTTATAAGGCCTTCATATGTGCTTCACAAATCATTTACAAGCAAATGTAATTTGCTGTTTGTTTAAAGTGAGAGCGAAACCTGGAACACTCCGTATTCAGTCAGATAATTATAAAAGTGTGAATCATTTATATAGTTTCCCCCTGACAATATTATAGCAGATCAATCAGTCACACACCACACAAAGACCCAGTATACTGGAACCCATTGGGCTACCACTGCCATATGTCAGGCCCAGCCTGATAATCATACACTAAAACAACCCTAATATATATCCACACGCACGCACACACACACACACACATGCACACACACACACGCACACACACACACTGGAGGAGGTTGAGGGCGGGACTTCTCCTAAGGGACGGTCAGTAACAATGAGAGGCCTGGGGATTATGAGAAGGGACAGGCAGGGAGCAAGCTTGGGCTATTAGGATATGTGTGACTGTGGTTGTGTGTGTGTGTAGAGAGAGTAACAGAGGCGGTTTGGTCCTTTCACTAAAAGACCAATCACCATTGTGTTCATCACTCTAAATTCTCTCTAGCTCTGTATCCACTTTTCTTTCACCAACCATTGTATCTCTCTTAGGCTGCCGTTACACAAAGCAACTTTGGTTGCTTCCAGAAACATCCCTTTGCAACTATTTTTATTTGTTTAACCTTTATTTAACTAGGCAAGTCAGTTAAGAACAAATTCTTATTTACAATGACGGCATACCCTGGCCAAACCCTCCCCTAACCCGGACAACCCTGGGCCAATTGTGCTCCACCCTATAGGACTCCCGATCACAGCCGGATGTGATCTGCAACTTTGTTGCATCCAGTTGAAACTTTTCAGCTTTGTGCAACTAGTTGCAAGCCACAGCCAATCAAAACGAATACTTTGTCACATGATCTATTCAAAGTTTCCGAATTCCTACCCAGATGTCATGTCAACACAGCTGCCTGTCACTGCTAGTGCACATAAAGGTTGACAGAAGAGACATTAGCAGAACGGGAGATATTTACAAATTGGCATCATGGCTAGTCTGATGAACATGGTTTGGCAGTCAATAAATGCAATTATTGAAGTGAACCCAAACCTTTCCCTGACCAGTTTCAACTGAACTTGTTCACAATGAACTGTGCTAACTAGATAGCTAACATGAGCTTAATTCCTTGCTAGCTTGGTTAGCTCGTTGCTAGCTAGCCGTGTTGGTGTTTGAAATGTCATTTTGGCTAGCTAGCTAAATTGTACAGGCTGCATTTTGTCTATATCCATGCTGTTACAATAACCAAACAGTTAGATAAACTAATAATTGGTGAAACCACTATGTAATGCAACAGAACAACATGGGGTGAGTTTAGATTTCTCAAACAATATGACAGAAGTAGCTTCAATTAGATTTGCTGTTACATGCAATTTTAATCGCGTTTGAGTTGCTTCATGTAACAGCAAAGTTGATTGAGACGATGTCACTTGCAATCTGCAACTGCAACTAAAATTGTGTGAAAGTTGCTTCGTGTAAGCCTGACTCTCTCTTGCTTTCCACCCTTTCCCTCCCTTTCTACCTTTCCCCAGCGGCATCGCTCTCTTCGCTCACTCTCTCCTCCTGGCATCTCTAGCTCGAGAGCTTATCTTTTCTCTCATCTCTCTTCTATTATGCATCTTCGATCTCTATCTCCTCTCTCCCATCTCTCTCATCTCTCTCTCTCTCTCTTCTCTCCTCATGCTTCTCCTAATCTCCCAACTCCTGTGCCTGTAATCTCCCTAACTCCCTCCCTCCTGAGAGATGGATGCAGTATGCAGCAGAATATTGTAGCCAAAAAATAACAACTGCAGCCAAATGAAGGAAACATTAGTCAACACAGACATATAATTCAATAGAGGACAAACGTTATGGACAGAACTTTACTCCGGGTTTAATCCTCACTGTCACAAATCATTCCCCCACCAGCACAGACAGCTAGGCTTAATCTGGAAGTAGGTAAGACTTCCCATACTCAATACTGAATAATACCATGGTATACATGTCCTTGGATGATTCTCTAGTTTGGAGTATAGCTTATCTCTTTTTTCATAGAAAAAAACCGATTGAAACTTTTATTGCATCCATCTATTTGGTACAGGAGAATACAGGAAGACAGTCTGTCCCCTCCACTGTTCTCTCTCCTCCACCCCTCTCTTCTCTTCTCCCCCATCTTCCTCTCCTCTCTACTCTGTCCTTTTGTTATCACGATGGTGATCGATACCTCGATACCTCCTCAGAAAAGTGAACGGTTTGTCGGTTCCTTTCAGCCATTGTAACGCGTATACAACTCCTGAATAATTGAAGAAAACCAGCCTATCATGTTCTGGCTCACCCTTTAGCTCTTCAAAAGGTGCTATTCATTATTGATCCTCATTTGCCAAACAATTTACTTTCATCTGCTTCATAATTTAGAGCAGAGGTAATCTCCTTCCTTCTCAAGTGAAATTCATTTTTCTTTCTTGGTCAACCCTTACAATCTCAAGTTAGCTGGCTTCTATCGAGTAATACATTAAAATGAAGCTTAACTACAAGAATAAGTGTTGCTGTTAGAAGAAATGACTGCAGAGAAGATCTTGGAATATGAGGGGAAAACAATACACAGGTTGTTTAGTATTCTCTCATAGAAATGAAGGAGAGCTTTAAACTTGCACATGATTTAGTTTTCATCGTCACATTACAAAGCAGTGCCCCCCGTTGGCCAACAGTGAGACATGAATAAAACTTGTGTACACACACACACACACACACACACACACACACACACACACACACACACACACACACACACACACACACACACACTGTCACGACTTCCTCTGAAGCTGCCTCCTCTCCTTGTTCGGGTAGGCTTCGGTGTTTGTCGTCACCGGCCTTCTCGCCACTGCCACTGCCGCTCCTCGTCTTATCATTCCATTTGTTTTGTCTTGTTTATTACACACACCTGGTTCATATCCCCTCATCAGTACCTGTATAAGAGTTCCCTCTGCCCCCTTGTCTTTGTGTGTCATTGTTTATTGTGGATGTTAGATTAGCTCGGTGGATCTCCTTGTATTTTGTATCGGCGGGATATTTCACCAATGTGCCTTGTTGTTTCCCAGTGTGCCTGATTTACGCACTGGAGTGTTTGACACATTGCTGCGTACCGCTGTGTTTTTGGAATAAACCCTTTTATTTTGTGACTTACCCTGCTGCGCCTGACTCCTTCAAAATCACTCACCACAGAATCACACACCCAGGCATGTAGTCAGCAGGAGAAGAGCACATGCCTGGAGTTGTGGCACGGGTCCAAAAGCATTCTAATATGCTAGCCAGCTTGGGAGAAGCGATGGATCGGGTTCTTCAGGTCGTCCAACGCCTGGAGAGGAGAGGACCCGACCCTTCGTGACCAGCTGAGCGACCAGATCCAGCCACCCACACCCCAGCACCCAGAGGGATTCATCTATCCCGACCAAGGGATTATGACGAGACAGCTTCCCGCTGCCAGGGATTCCTCCTTTAGCTGGACCTCTACTTCTCAACCATCAGCCCGGCTCCATCCGAGCAAGAGAAGGTGTCCGCCCTTGTCTCCTGCCTCCCGGGGTAAGCCCTGGAGTAGACCAACGTGGTCTGGAGTGAAGTAGGAGCCGCGTTGGACAACTACAGGGCTTACCCCGGGAGGCAGGAGACAAGGGCGGACACCTTCTCTTGCTCGGATGGAGCCGGGCTGATGGTTGAGAAGTAGAGCTGGCCTGCCGGGATACCATGTTGACTTTTGACCAGCTGGTGGACATGGCCATCCGGATGGACAACCTGCTAGCTGCAAGAGGACGTCCTGGAAGGGGCCTGCCCGTTCCACCCCCCTTCAACCCGGATTCAGTTCCGATGGAGCTGGGTGGTGCAGTGATCCGGGAGAACAGAGGACGACAGCTCCAGTGTCACTCTTGTGGCAGGAGAGGACATTCTGCTGCACGCTGTTGTCAGGGTTCTTCCGGGTCTGGAGGCGGCAGGCAGAGCACTCTCGCGTCACCCCAGGTAGCGCAAACCCACACTGGTTCAGAGCCGTCTGCTGCGCACTGCACCATACAAGTCACCTTCCCTGATTACACAGTAGTTTCCCAGTGTAAGGCGCTGGTCGATTCAGGCGCAGCTGGGAACTTTATGGACAGGTCGTTAGCTCAGAGTCTAGGTATTCTAGGTCTAGGTTCCCCTATCCATTCCACTGCACATCAAAGCATTTGACAGTCGGCCATTAGGGTCAGGGTTCGTTACAGCACCAGTCACGATGGTTACGCAAGAGATCCATAGAGAGCAAGTCACCTTTTGTTATTATTTTGTCTCCTGATTTTCCTGTTGTGTTGGGTCTTCCCTGGTTAGCACTACACAACCCGACCTTTTCATGGCCGCAGAGGGTTCTCACGGGGTGATCGCCATTGTGTCAGGGTAGGTGTCTAGCTGTTTCCGTTGGTGCAACCACGGTGGAAAGTCCAGACACTACCTCCACCGTGCGCATTCCCCCCGAATACCTTGATTTGGTGCACGCGTTTTCCAAAATGCAGGCGACCAAATTTCCACCTCATCGGGCGAGGGATTGCGCGATAAACCTCCGGGTAGACGCTGTGCCTCCCAGGAGTCATGTATATCCCCTGTCGCAGGCTGAAACGGAGGCGATGGAGACATACAGTGGGGGAAAAAAGTATTTAGTCAGCCACCAATTGTGCAAGTTCTCCCACTTAAAAAGATGAGAGAGGCCTGTAATTTTCATCATAGGTACACGTCAACTATGACAGACAAATTGAGAATTTTTTTTCCAGAAAATCACATTGTAGGATTTTTAATGAATTTATTTGCAAGTTATGGTGGAAAATAAGTATTTGGTCACCTACAAACAAGCAAGATTTCTGAGTCTCACAGACCTGTAACTTCTTCTTTAAGAGGCTCCTCTGTCCTCCACTCGTTACCTGTATTAATGGCACCTGTTTGAACTTGTTATCAGTATAAAAGACACCTGTCCACAACCTCAAACAGTCACACTCCAAACTCCACTATGGCCAAGACCAAAGAGCTGTCAAAGGACACCAGAAACAAAATTGTAGACCTACACCAGGCTGGGAAGACTGAATCTGCAATAGGTAAGCAACTTGGTTTGAAGAAATCAACTGTGGGAGCAATTATTAGGAAATGGAAGACATACAAGACCACTGATAATCTCCCTCGATCTGGGGCTCCACGCAAGATCTCACCCCGTGGGGTCAAAATGATCACAAGAACGGTGAGCAAAAATCCCAGAACCACACGGGCGGACCTAGTGAATGACCTGCAGAGAGCTGGGACCAAAGTAACAAAGCCTACCATCAGTAACACACTACGCCGCCAGGGACTCAAATCCTGCAGTGCCAGACGTGTCCCCCTGCTTAAGCCAGTACATGTCCAGGCCCGTCTGAAGTTTGCTAGAGTGCATTTGGATGATCCAGAAGATGATTGGGAGAATGTCATATGGTCAGATGAATATAACTTTTTGGTAAAAACTCAACTCGTCGTGTTTGGAGGACAAAGAATGCTGAGTTGCATCCAAAGAACACCATACCTACTGTGAAGCATGGGGGTGGAAACATCATGCTTTGGGGCTGTTTTCCTGCAAAGGGACCAGGACGACTGATCCGTGTAAAGGAAAGAATGAATGGGGCCATGTATCGTGAGATTTTGAGTGAAAACCTCCTTCCATCAGCAAGGGCATTGAAGATGAAACGTGGCTGGGTCTTTCAGCATGACAATGATCCCAAACACACCGCCCGGGCAACGAAAGAGTGGCTTCGTAAGAAGCATTTCAAGGTCCTGGAGTGGCCTAGCCAGTCTCCAGATCTCAACCCCATAGAAAATCTTTGGAGGGAGTTGATAGTCCGTGTTGCCCAGCGACAGCCCCAAAACATCACTGCTCTAGAGG